ATAATATAATTTTCTTATAATATATCATAATTAATTATTTTGTTAAAACTCAGATAATTATTCTAATTATATTTTAGATTTTTTATATTTTAAAATGAAATGTTTATCCTCTAATTGGTTATGTTTATCCACAGTTAGTTACGCAAATTCAAACATTGAGCTTTAATAAGTTGTACTGATGCATAATTTACTTGTAATATTGAATTTTAAGTAATATGCATTAATATATAGTACTTCATGCATAAAAAATAGTTTTTAAGAATTTTTGTCAAATGCTTTATAACACAGTATATATATTGAGGGGAAACAAATAGTTGATTCATGCGAAACACAATGAAAACGATGATGAGAAGTGATAACCGTTGGAAAGAGATCAAAGCGGTCTAACAAATCGAAACAACACCTTTAACAATTTTATGCTTCAAATTCAAATTAAAAGTATAAATAAGTTACATTTTTAGTCCTTGTGGTTTGTAAAAAATTATAATTTTTATTCTTATTGTTTAGAAATTGCAATTTCTATCATTATGCTTTGCAATTCATTGTTATTTTCGTCCTTATAATATATAGTTTATTGTTGTTTTAGTTCTTGTGGTTTACAGTTCCTTACTTTTTTTAGGCTCATGGATGCAAATAGCAATGAATTACAAATTATAAGGATGAAAATCATAATTTCTAAATTGCAGGGACAAAAACCTAACTTATTCTAAAAGTATTACTAATTAACGGTTAACTTATTACATTTGTAGATAACTTGACTAATCGACTTGAATCAAATTAGGATGCATTTATAATCAGGACAAGAACTTTCTAGACCTGACAGTCCTTACCTAACAATGAGATATACTGAATTTGTTTAATCTAATTTTTATCGGAATGAAATGTAAAAAACTGTGCAATGATTCTACATCCTCATGCAAATGGTTTCATCAACTATGCAACAAAACCCTAAACTTTGACATCAAACTTTTAACAATATTCTCATAATTTCAATCAAAACAACACACTGACCACACAACTAACAAAATCTTTTGAGCTTTGAAGCAGCCTGACAATCCAAAAACCACATCAATTTCCCTACATCGGGTTGAACCATCCTAGCAGGCAACACAGGACATTCAGAACCCACGTCATCAATTGCCAAATGGGCGGCCTCCGCTTTCCCTCCACCTATTGCCGCCATCACCACGTTGGCGGCAGAATTGATCACCGGCAGGGTGAATGTGATTCTTTCCAGTGGAGGTTTTGGGGAGTCGGTGATGAAGGTCACCCATTCGTGTTTTTCTTCGAGCATTGAATGGTCAGGAAATAGAGACGCCACGTGGCCATCTGGGCCAATCCCGAGAAGGATTAGGTCAAACTTCGGGCAGTCGTTGATGGCGGAAACGTTGATCACACGAGTCTTGACTAGTTGTCGAATGACGAATTCATACTCGTTGGCGGCTTCTTCTGCAGTGAGAGAATCATTGATGGAATGTACATGGCCGGGAACAATAGGTAACTGCAAATGCAAAATATGTTAATTATCAATTTGTAACAGCTTCAAATGAGAACATAAAATATTTTGAAAACCTATGAACCAATTATTCATTATGAATATCCCCAAAGTATTCATCATTATTATTTATCATAAATATTATGTCTTTTCATTATTCATTATGCATGATACTCATCATTTATATCTATTACCATATTCCTCATGAATAAATTATCAATAGTTGATTCCTAAATTTTCAAAATATTTACGATACTTATTTGATACTCTCCCTATCAGTTCAATTTGCTTTTCGCACATGTTGAACTACACCAAATTGTTACTTTTTATCTATTTCTCATGTTTTACTTGTGCATTTATTCATAACACCTTTTTTTATCGTATGCCAGTCTAATTTTTTCTAGTCTTTACTGTATACCAGTTTTAGTTTTTTCCTTCTGTCTAATTAATAATTGTCGGTTTCTGATTCGTCATTTGATTTTCCTCTCACGTGTCTTTAGCTATGCTTCCTTTTTTTTTTCCCCACCATACTTGTTTGTTTGCTCAAACTCCTATTTTTTCTCACATGTTTCGTCTTAATTTTTGTTTTGCAAGTTAACACTTTCTACAGAACAAGATATACAGATTTTGTTTGATCTGATCTATTTTGCATTTTTTATTTATAATATATTACTCTCTCTATTCAAAAATAAATGTCTACATTACTATTTTAGTTTGTTTTATAATAAGAGTACACTTTCGAAAATAAATGTCTATTTTCTTATTCTACCTTTAATTATGAGATGATGAAAGTATCTGTTTTCATAATTAAGCATAAACTTATCATTTTATTAATTAAAAAATGTAATTATTATATATTTACAAAACTGTGTTTTTTATTATTATTATGAACATTTATTTTAAAATGTAATAAATACATAAGGTACTACCCAACGGACAACACAATACATACCCATGTTCTTCTCTTCCCCTTCTTCTATAGTTTCTTCTCATTTAGAACCCAAAATTGTACAAAAACACTTAAACCCCAACTCGAATTTAATTCAAAAGGCCAACCGTTTTTATCCGTTACCCATTCCCATTTCGTTACCTGCTATTTTAATGGGTATGGATACAAATAATTACCCGTTTTATTATCAGTTGTTCTAGATGAATAGCGTAACAAAATAATCCGTATCCTACCCATACTTTACCCGTTGCCGACCCTACGACCAGGTCTTTGAAGATTACCAAATATGGAAAGATGGACGCACTCAAGATACAATAGAGGGCACCCCTTTGAAATTCCCAAAAAACCCTTTTGTTTTCTGAAATCTACGAAAAAAACCTTCTATAAAACCATTTACAAATTGGAAGTTCCTTTAGTACAGTATACCGGGAAAATATGGGTCATGATGTGGTAATTCTCATGTCATAATAGTTATTTCTGTAAAAAGTAAAAAAAAAAAAAAAAATTCTTTCATTAACCTTAGATGTTCATATCAGTTTGCGTGCACCACGTCTAAACCCCAGGCTTCGAAGAATAGCCAAGAAAACCCCCGACGGTCTTGCAGGACTCAAATTGTCAAGATCCAGAGGTAAAAAAAAGGAAACGTATAGACAAGTTAAAATTTGCATATAAAGATAAATTACCTTGGACAAAAGATGATCCTTGGCAAGCTTATAGTTGCTATCAACATGGTTCTTGGCCACAACACGTTCATCGGCCCAAAATATATACCATTTCGACCAATCCACCGTCTTACTGTAAGGAGCTTCACACAGTTTCCTGTTTTTAATCCCATACAATTTTTTTAAAGTATGTAATATTTATATACAACAAATACCATAGACACTGTATCTGGTGAGGTTTGAATTCTTTACCTCCAACGAGCCTAGGATTTACGGGTAAGGGTATGTTTGTTAGTAGTTTAATAAACTCACAACTTGGTTGGTTTGTTTTACATGGCTGCTTGATAGTGGATTAGTTATATAGAAAATGACTTATTTAGTAAGCTTCTAGTAGAGACCTTTGTGCAAAAAGATAAGTTTCTTCCAAACTTGTCGCTCTTAATTAAAAAAACACGCTTCTTCAATCTATAAAAAAACCCCATAACAAAAACTTTCATAATCCACACAGACAACTTTATCCATACAACTGTTTGTTAGTATCTTAACGAGCTTAATAGGACTAACAACTTATTGGTCAGCTATACATGACTATTTGATGGTGGCATAATGATATAGCAAGTGACTTATTTAGTAAGCCTTCAGGGGAAACTTTATGCAGAAATCAAAGTTTTTTCCAAAGTTGTCTCTCCCAATTAAACCCCCCTCTTTCTATCCACGAAAATCTCTTCCAAACAAAAACTTTCATAATCTATAAGATAAAATAATCCACAAAGACAACTTTATCCGTACATGACTTAATGGAAAAAACCACTCATATGCTGCCAGCCGTTATTTATAATTCACATAAACATTCGATCAAACACTTGGAAGGCATAGTCGCATAGAATTTTCAGTACCTTATCAAGCTAATGAGCGATCCACCCGATAGAGCAACAGCAAAAACGCCTCGTTCTTTGATCGATATCTCAGATAATTCTGCAATATAATCAACCAAATCTCTGCTAAGTTCATCCAAACTTTCATGAATCCTCACCTCCCCTCTGTCTTTGATTGATCCAACAACAGCCATATTTCAAAACTCCAAGAACAACAATGGCAACCCTGTAACACATATAATCTACTTTAGATTCACAGGATGCAACTTATCAAAAAATGCAATGCAATCGTAGTAGGACGCAAATTTAAACCGAAAATTCAGTTTTGGAAAAGAACTTAGTGGTGATACCAATGAATAATTTGTGGGAAACAGAAGTTGATTCCTCACTGGTATACAGTAAATTAAGTAAACAGTGATAGTGTTCATGGAATTCAAGAGGAAATTCAGACAGCAAAATTAGTGATTCGAGGAATACCCATAAAAGATTAAGACAAAATAGTGCTGAATTTAGTATAAAATCTCCAATTGGGATCTGAAAACAATGATAAGGTGAACCTGATCATATTCATAAGGAGATTCTGCATTAGATGTAAACCCCAGATCAAAAATCAATTCGAATTATGAATTAAGAACAAGCACATAAACAATTTATTGTCAAAAAAAGGCATGCATTTCATGAATCTGTGATGTGGAGAAGAGAGAGAGAGAGAGAGAGAGAGAGAGAGAGAGAGAGAGAGAAGGTTACCAAAAAGAAGAAAGCGAGGAAAATGGAAGATGGGTAACAACAAAACTATGTTTTTATAGAAAAGTGATGATTCGCATACAACCAAGACAAAAAAAAAATGCTCCCCAGTTTGGACTAATCTTTGTGTTCAAACATCCTTTTATTATTGACAATTATATGTGATACTATTATTCTATCACATATGATACATGTGTGATACTAAATCAGAGACTAAGCCCCCTCACAAGTATTATTACATGTGATAAGGTTGTTCTTGATATGATACTATAATTCATCAAGACCATCACATGTGATGTTAAATCATAGACGCAGACAACATTGACACGGCCTAAGTCGTAGAACACGTCGTCCGTACATCATAGGGTCCTTTCGCGCGTATTATCACATGTAATAAGGGTGTTCTCATGTTTTCGTTTGAACCTCCACACATATATATATATATATATATGTATATGTATGTGTGTGTACGCGTGCACATACAAGTAATATATACATATTATTTATATATGAATGGTTATCAAAATGTTTTTTAGTTTTTATTTTTTTTACATTTTTCCTTTAAACCTTTTTTTTATATATATTGTTTTTTAAAAACGGTATATTATTAAAAACACAGTACAATATAAAAAATAAAAAACCCTTAATAAAAACAAGTGCAAGTTATGGTTGATTTTTCCGTCCAACTTTTGTTGATATTTTTAGACAAACGTTTTAAATAATTATTTCATTTGATAATAATTATTTAATATTTATAATTTTGATCATATCATATAAGTTTTTTTTATTAATTTTATATTTGTTAAGAATATTTTAAATATTTAATTAATAATCAAATATTTTTATTACATTAAATGTGAAGTCAAACGTTGTATTTTAGTCATGTGTATTTCAATTTAAATATTTGATTGATAGTTGAATATTTTTATTAATACGAAGTCAAATGTTTGAAATTTCTTGACACCAAAAAAATACTTTTTTTTTCTCTTTGAGTTGCTTGTATTTTGTGAACAAAATGTAATAAGCATTTTATTTTTTATTTAATGTAATAAAAAATTTATTTAAATTAATGTAATAAATTTCAAAATATCATTTTTGATACTTATTTTTTTTATCGTAACATAATTATCTTGTAACATTTAATGATATGGATACCAAGTTTATCATCATCATCTATATAACCATTTAGTAAACAGGTATTTATGTTATTAAATATTACAAGATCAGTATGTTGTCAGTCAACATGAATACAAATAAAAGGAATTCTAAATTATTCATACATTAAATAGAAACTAAATAGAATTTATTGCATTTAATACATTTTGCTCCATTTACATTGTTAAATAACTAATTTATTTGTTAAGATTAAAACCAAAGCAACTTGAAATTAAGAGGGACTATTAAAAAAAAAAAGGCAAATTGCATGAAAATGTAACATACTTAAATTTGATTCTTATTTTGATCAAAACTCTCAATTTGATATCTAAGATGTAAAATTTTAAACATTTAAATACTCAGGTAACCAGTTGAAGCATTAACCGGTTATCATGCTAATGTGACGAGTGATGTGGTATCCAACGGCCTCAAGGGTTTCCACGAAATTCAACTTACTATCAACCTGCACCTCAGGTAATGGTACTGCCAAATTCGGATCAGCTAAACACTTTCGTAGGTTAGAGATATGAAAAGTGTTGTGAATGACATTGAGTTCCTCCGGCAATTCCAACTGATATGTACTAAACTAACCAGCTTACAAATTTTGAATGACCCAACATATACCTCTTTCCCCGAATCGTACAACACCCCTCCACGGAGAAACCTTTGACATCACAAAATTTCCTACCATAAATTCAATCAGTTTGCGGCGTATGTCGCCGTAATTTTTCTGTCGATCCTGAGCCGTTTTAAATCATTCTCATATCTGATTTATCTTTTCAGAAGTTATTTGAACGATTTCTAGACCAGCCAACTGTTTTTCCCCTACTTCATTTGATTCTCCGCCTCTTTCTATAATATATTATTCTTCCCAATCCAACTTTTATACTTTAAAAATAATCAATATTAAATATATATTAAACTATTCTAATCAGACAATGCTATTTGTACCCCTTGAATCAGGTCAATTCATACATTAAAAATGTAAAAAGTAGATTTTAATGTTGATATATATCAAGAAGAAAATATCAGATGAGAGTACATTTATCGATTATAAAGATGCAATTAGCCTCCCTCATTCGATGATATAACCTTAAAACACGTATAAAAAAAACTACCCCATATGATGACAAATCAAGGACCGGTGTCATATTTTAGGAATGTATCACCATCACAAATATATATATATATATATATATATATATATATATATATAGAGAGAGAGAGAGAGAGAGAGAGTTTTGTAAGTTATTATGCAATCATTTACATTTGTACAATCAATGCAACTCAATCTCAACCGTCTATTTAATTTGATGAATATGTGATTTAATAAAAGTTTTAATTGCTTCATAATATAAAGTATTGATCATAACTAATAAACTCTAGTCATATTCCATAAATATTCAAATCATAATAAATGAATTCTCATCATTTTCATAAATATTTCAATTGATTGGGTTGCATTAGTTGTACAAATAAATATGGTTGCATTTGAAATATACCATACATATATTCTTAATAATTTTACTATTTTAGGTATGAGCATCAATCAATCAATCCTTTAACATGTTGACAATTTTCATCAAAAGGGTTTATAGAATTTGTTCTTAATAAAAGTTTACACTTTTTATAAGAATATTGAAGACTATGCGTCGTTCTATAGACGACAAAAATATTATCTTTACAAGTCTAGTATTTCATAGGTTTAAAAAATTGTATTTGAACCCATGACTTCAAAGTTATAAGCCTTCCGAGCTACCAAACTGCGTTCATCCTGAGCCAGGATATCGAACCCTCCATGAGATTCATAGTTGCATTAGTTATAGCTTCCTTGTTCATAGACAAAGCAGATTCGAAATTGTCTTTCATTCCAAGGCCTAACTTGTATCCATAAGCTTCATACGAGACTTTGGACTATCCGAACAGATACTTCGTGGTCGTTTATAAGTTGGGTATTTAACGTGTTCATTCTAGCTGTAAACCTTGATAATTACGTGTATATTGAAATTTTATAATATATCTGATCCTAACACGTAATAAATATGTTTTATATGGAAAAATGAAATGCACGTTGATGTTGATCTCTCATTCCATCAATCTTGTAATTAGCTCAAATGGGAATCGTACACTTGAGAGAGAAAAGAAGTCAAATTTACAAAAAGTTGGATAAATGTGATGTTGATGTTTATAGTGTGAGATATCACAACTTTCATATAAAGAAGAGAAACAATAAACACTAAATGTGTGGTTATATGGATGCCCATTTAAAATGGCCAACAATCATTACAACTTTTTGGTATCTCTCTCTATTCATACATTATATATATATATATATATATATATATATATATATATATATAGGAGGGTAAATTGTATGAAAAAATGGTGTATTTTAATTTGATTTATATTTTGAGTAACGTGTTTTTAGAACTTTCATTTGGATACCTAAGATGTAAAGTTTTAAACTTTTAAGTATCTGGGTAACTGATTGAAGCATTAACCGGTTATCTGATGTGGCGAGTGAAGTGGTATCCAACTGAGTATTATTTGCTATTTAATCTAATTTCATCTCATCGCTCGTCACATCAGCATGGTAACCGGTTAATGCTTCAACCGGTTACGCGGGTACTTAAATGTTTAAAACTTTACATCTTAGTTACATAAATGGAAGTTTTGGAAATACGTTACCTAAAATGGGAATCAAGTTAAGGTACATTATTTTTTTCATGCAATTTTCCCTATATATGCTATTAAAGGTGTACTCGCATAATGCAGTGTTATATTTCAATTCAATTTTAAAATCGAGAATTTGAATCTTCGATTCTGGTTTATGTTTTGTTTTATTCTCCGTCTCTCTCGAGTTTATTTTGTGACTTTGTGTGGTTTAAGAGAAGGTGAGAATTTTCGATTGTATTAGTTCTATGAAGTATTCTATCGTGTTAGTAGAGCAACACAATTATATTCAAATGTGTTCATCTGTTGGTTATTGATCAGTTTTCTGAAATTCAAACGTACATAGAGCTTTAAAAAGTTACATATGCAATAATAAGTTGTAACTTGAATTTTTAGAGAATTTAAGAAAATGGGTACATATTATATATACTAGAAGGATACTTGTACAATGCAATGAAATACATCTCGATTTTAATGTTCCATTATATTAGTTGTCTTTATCGATGTTATAATACGATTTTATATTATTTTGAAAAAATAATAATGTATTTATTTTTGAATAAAATATAATTTTGAAGATACAATAAAAAAATGAAAAAGAATATATTGATATTAGTATATCAAATTAACTACTTAAAAGTTCTTGTTTTTTTTTTTTTTTTTTTTGTGTAATTTATTTTACCACAACTCATCCGTTGATTCTTCAGCATCAGTCGGTTCGAACCTCCACTTAATTTCACTCAAGCTTCATGTTATCAAATTCTTCTTCTTTGTCTTTGCAATCCTTTGTTTGTCCAAAAACAGAAACCTGCAATTTTTTTTAATTATAAGATCAAATTATGTGTAAGTTCTTTAATTTAATTTTTATTATAATTTAGTTTATGTTTAATAACGAAACAATTTGTTTTTGGTTCAATAAATATAATTTTCTATAAAGATAATAATTAACTATTCTGTTAGATTTCAATGATAAATCCAGACTATATTTTAGATTTTTTATAATTAAAATGAGATTTTTATCTTGTATATGATTAATTTATACGCTGTAAGTTACACAAATTCAAACATAGAGTTTTAATAAGTTATACCTATGTAAAATCTACTTGTAATCTTGAACTTTGAATAATATGCATCAATAAACAGTACTATATTCATGAAAAAAATGGTTTTTAAAAGTTGTTATCAAATGCTTTATAATATAGTTAGAACGTAAATATATTAATATGAATATACCGATCAAACTCGATTAATTAAGAAAATTATATCAATTCAAGTATTGTATACGTCATTAGTCTGATCCAACTCTTTAACAACACGAAAAAACCAATGTTCAACTCTTTGACAACATGAAAAACCAAAAGCCTTTTTTTTAGGGTACTCCCGAGAACAGATCCAGTGGAGACGGAGTCGGGCGACTGTTTACCAAAAACACAGGTCTCCGCAAAGTCTTCTCTATCTAATGAATGGGGAGGATGCAGGAATAGCGACATGTACTAAATGCAAACTTTTCGTTTACACAGTAGTAATATTCTTTGTTTCTCTCCCCCAGTGGGGGGCTCGCACGACGGGCTATTAGCTCAGTGGGTAGAGCGCGCCCGGTGTTTTTGCTTGAGCTGTACGAGATGAAAGTCTCATATACGGTGTCGAGATACTGTTGATCAACCAATTAATATGACTTGTGAGGTACAACAATTCATAATGGAGGCAGTCAATCAAATTAAAGATAATAATATGAGATATTCTATATTATATAATTTTATAATAATGTGAAGCAAATATATATTTTGAATTTTCTTAAAACTCCCTAAAACCAGTCAATAACTGATTGTTAAATTCAATAGTTTTCTCCCTTTTTCTTTAAATCTATATTATCTTTATTATAATTATAATTTTAATTGAATAAATTATATAAAAAATTGAGTATTCTATTATCTTAATTTGATAATATATATATATATATATATATATATATTGACACATTTTTAAAACTCATAAAATTATGATAACTTTAAGATTTGAGAACTAGTGCATCATGTGTTATTTTATAAGTTTTTTCACCATATTTAGAATATTAATTAGCATATATTTGTTTCACAATGTGAATCTTTTTAGTTTGTTTGTGAAACAAAAGTTTCACGTTATGAACCGCGTACATATAAAACAAATATATTTTAGAAAAAAAATATGTTCATCAATTCATTAAATAAGAAAAAATCATGTAAAACAATATTTTAAAATAAAAGTTCTCACGGTTATCATAGTTTATGAAGCACTCAAATTATTAAGCTCATATATATATGGTTGGGTTCTAGAAAAAAAAATTATAGTGAGAAAGAAAGTTATGGTGAAAAGCGTAAAAAGAGATTTTCAACCTTAAATCATTCATAATTGAATGTCAATATTGATGATGTACACCGAGATTCACCGGATCAATTCTCTTTTAAAACACAATTCATGAATAGATATGAGATTAAAAATAAACAAAAATGTAGATTTTTTCTTATGTTTAAAAAATAATAAAAACATATTAAAAAATTATCAAATTAAAGATAATAATGATGATGGTACAGCCTTGCTAATCAATCATATGACAGTAAATAAAACACAACAATAAATGGAGTTGAAGACGTGTCAAGTGGCTAAAATGAGCACCAACGCCCATATGCATGCCGTGAGAAGAAAACGACTTTATATCAATCTAATTGCTTTATATGAATCAAGTAGGAAGGTAATTTTGTAATGTATCGAGACATATTTTGATTTTAATGTTTTGTTTTATTATTTATGTATGTTGATATAATATGATTTTATGTGGTTTTGAGAAAGAAATGATGTTTTTATTTTTGAATAAAATATATATTTTAAAATATTATAAAATTTTGAAAAATATATATGGATATTGGTATTAAATTAATTATTTAAAAGTTCTTGTTTTATGTAATTTCTTTAATTCATAGTTTTTATTATAATTTAATTAAGTAATTTAATAATATAATTTTTTATAAAGATAATAATTAATTCTGTTAGAACTCAATAACTATCATAATTATATTTTAGATTTTTTATATTTAAAAGGAGATATTTATTTTGTATTTGATTATGTTTAAATAGTAGTTAGTTACACGAATTCAAAAAAGAAACTTTAATAAGTTGTACTTACGCATAATTTACTTGTAATCTTGAATTTTAAGTAATATGCATCAATAAACAGTATTTTATGGATAAAAAATAGTTTTTAAATGTTTTTATTAAATGTTTTATAATATAAAAATATATAACAAGTACTATAGTGAAAATCTTTTAGGTCCCCTTTCATTTGTAGCATTTGATTGAATTTAAAAGCATCTGAAATTGATTTTCATTTCTATTTGATTTGAAATATTTTCTGAATTTGAAATCTTCGAATTTCATTGAAATCTCACAAAGAAAATTTTTTAAAATCCCTCGGATATGATTGATATTTTACGGAATTTTGTATGATTTATATGTAATAATGATTTAAAATATGTATTAAAAACGTATGAGTTCTAATAAAAACTTGTAGCTGGACAAAAAGTTAAACTTGGAGATGAAAGTCTTCTTTCGTTTCTCGATAATGAAGTTTGGACCATCCGGACAGATACTTTGTGAAATAGTTCTTTGACCAATTGGGTAGATCAAGATTACAACAGTCACAGCTGCAACTTTGCCCTACAGTGAAAATTCTTATAAAGACTTAACATATATACCTTAATAAGAACCTTCATTATAAATACTCTAAATTATTGCACAAAATCTAAATCACTCAAAAACATTCTGTCAAATTAAATGGACCTTCCGGTTTACTACCCTTTTTTAGAGGTTATATACGTAAAATAAAGAGTATTATAATATTTTCTTTTTAAATTAGCTGATCACCTTTTATTGGTATGAAGTATTAAAATAATAATCTCTCTCGATTTAGAGATTCCTCTAAATTCAAAGATTTTTTTTTTATTAACCTGAATATCCAACCCGCTATGCGAGCCGACTAATTTCAAGGTGACCACCCGCTTCACGGGTAACCCGGAGTCACTGCATTTGAACCTTCGTGGTAGAAGGGGATTTTTATTTCTCATTATATTTGAACCTGAGACCTCTAGACACTTTTGATCTTTGGAGTCAAAGCCCAAACTAATCAGACACCACCTTTGTGGTTTAAATTCAGAGATTTTTACAATCTTTCTCCTCTTTTTTCTATTTTAACATATAAAATAGCATGGTTTTTAGAACAAAAAAATTGTTAAAATCCTTCTTTCTCCATTTTTACATAATTATTAGAGATGCTCTAAAGAACAAAGAAATGCAATGTTTAAAAGAAAGAAATAATATTTTATTAAATGTATAAAATATTTTAATAATATAATTAATGATGTAATCTCCAAAATAAACAATCTCTTAGAGTTGAATACAATTATTCTTAAAGATTCCAAACTTTGATTTTTCATTTCAAAATACTTTTAGAGAATCTGTTAGAGATGCTTTTACATGTTGGAAGAAAGTAAAGGTTGGATTTTTACTAAAAAACTGGGACCCAATCAAGAAAAAACACGAAGTTCTTTGAAAAAATGTAACCACACAAGTCAAAAAGAGGGGGTTTTACGTCCGAAGTTCTTTCATAACCTTTAGGTGGCAAAAAAGCTCGAAAAAGCTTCATTGTAGATGCTCTAATAAGATTAGATATCACGTGCTCGTCAATCTCCCCGACGCGAGGTCGTGCATAAAATAACATCTCGTACCCGCAACTACGATAAATCCCACAACACTAATTGTAACAGGAACGACCAACTCCTGCCACCACTTCTTTTTACGTTTTTGGTTACCAACAGACGCTGGCTGCTGAGGCGGCTTTCGTGTTGGTTTCTTTATATAAGTCGCGTATGAATCTATTTCTTGTTTTGTTAACGCTGGCTTTAACGAGCATCTGACAGTTTGGAAATGGCGAGCATGTACAATGGAGGCGGTTATGTCTTCTCTGAGAGCTACTATTCCAGCTTCTCTGCATAGACCTTCTAACTCGGCACCTGTAAAGTACTCGGTGTCTTCCGCTAGTTGTCGGAGATCAACATCGACGCTGATCTTCATGCCTCGTGTATGCACACGGAGTATCTCATATCGAGCTTCTAGATCAGGTGGGGGCACATGTAGTACCTGTAAAAATCGGAAGTTAATTTTTAGCAGAAATGTCATTAAAATAATATGGTCGTGTTAGTCGGTGGTACTCTCGTGCAGTGATAGAGGTGAGTGATGTAGAAGTGAAAATCAAATGCGAACCAACAAAATGTTGCAAACTCAATTGAGATTAATTTTAAGCTATGATTTATATTGTTTCATATGTTCTATTCTTGTGTGTTTTTCATATATGAAACGTATTTGTGTTTTTTTTTCATATGTGAAACAACCCTGAAACATATAAAACAACACATGAAAACTGATTCATTCATCGGTTTGCAACATTTTTTGCAATTCATATTTGATTCGCCCCCTACAGGAAAAATAATAATGCAAAGGTGCATTCATACATGGGGGCGTGCATAGTACATATAAGTAAAATACCGAACGAATATACAAAAAAGGATAAAAATAAAAGAAATTATCTTTACAAGATCAAATCGTCCAGGTCGCATTAGAGCGGCATCAATTGCATGTGGCCGATTCGTGGCAGCCAAAACAAGTATTCCCTGCGAAATAGGTAGAAAAAACAGATAGGAGTTGGGTCTTGTCGTTAAATGACCTTCTGTCAAGTTCTTTTTCTTCTTAAATCCATCGACGGTTTGAGAATGTCACTGCTTAACAGAAGAATGTAACTTCCATAAACAATAATGCCTAGAAACTTGTCAGAAGGTCATGTATTTAATAAGCACTTGTCAGAAAGTCATTTAGCTAAATAACCCTGACACTTAACCCTAAATCAAACGAAACCAAAAGAACCCAGTATAACCCATTCACAGGTGGGATCTTGGAGGGATAATGTATGCAAATTGGCCTCTACCCCAAAGAGTAGAGCAATTGTTTCCGTAAAGACAGAAGGATGTACAAATCCCATACCAAATCCCAATATTCGTTCTCTCTTAAAAGGGGAAGTACTCTAACATGAAATCGGGCACGTACTTTAGCCTCTTCTAAACCATCCATTTCAGTGAGTAGAGTAGATAAAAGTCTCTCCCCAACTGTGGTACTCCCGCTTGAACCGCTTCCTCTGCTTATTTCACAAGAAAAATTGTAGATAAGATTTCTCTTACGAAGTTACAGAAAAACCCTATCTAGCTGGATCTGAAAGTGTTTGAATTCGATACTTTTATGAGTTTTGTTCTAACTTCACCTTGCATAGTAGCAATCGATGTAAAATTTAAATAAGATAACAAAGAAATTATTTAATTTTGCAAGTTGCAAAGAGTAGAAAACCAAACTTGCAGAATCACTGTCCTAGTTAAGGTTGTTCCATGAAGTCATAAGGATTCAGATATTGAGGGTGTGTTTGGTACATGGACAGGACTTGAGGGGCGAGAGTCAGCAGGTGAAAGAATTGTGAACGGTTTTAACTTGAAATTTTAGTAATTTACCCTGATTTTTAATCCACCTGTTTTGGTGGGATACAAAAATGCATTTTTGTCCCCTCGGGTCTGTCCCTGTCTAATATTGCACCAAACGTAGGATAACAAGTTTTTGTACTGTCCAGTCTCATCTTGTCCTGCATACCAAACACACCCATGGATACCAAAAGAACGATAATTTCTTCCCCACAAAATGCTGATGAAAAATGCCTCGTGGATGGAGACACAAAGATAGGATAGCCAAGAATCTCTTACGGAATGCATAGTAAATGATGGATAATGGTTGGTGGATGCTTACCGTTTAGCTGCAATGACATCGGCTTCATCAAAGAAGATTATGCTTGGTGCAACAAGGCGAGCTCTACGAAACGTGTTACGTAATAAAGCTTCGCCCTCTCCAACGTACATTGAAAACAATTCTGCACCACTGAAACATAACTTGTAAAAAGAAAAGGTTTTGAAATCCTTTATACTATCTGGCATTCAGAACGTCAACAGGGAAATAAATTCCACTGGTTTTGTAGATCCTCCAACTTTAGCGAAGATGAATCTATAATTATGAGAAGGGTAATCTGCTATTAACTTTTTCTCCTAGTAAGATTCAAGTAATTAAGACCCAAACAGACTATCAACAACACAACACTAGTGTACCAAAAACTGCGAGCTCTAGTTCTTTTGACATGGAATAATAATATAAAAACCATCACCAAATTGTAGCACCTAAATGGTTTTAGACCATATATCACTAGAAATTCAGGTCATATTTTGTCCACACAGATAATTAAGTTAGAAAGCTAATATGCTAACGGATATACTAATAACATGAAACAGAGATAGTAAAGGATGGATTTTTGTGAAAACCCACTATGAAAAAGTTAACATTTCAGTCCTCGTTGCAACCAGATGCAGGAAGGAGCATGCCTTTGATGAAGGGTATTGACAAAGATACATACAGGAAAAAAAAAATATATATATATATATATATATAGAGAGAGAGAGAGAGAGAGAGAGAGAAATAGGGAGGGAGGGAGGGAGGTTCAGAGGAAAACCCCCAAAAAATGTAAAACTGATGAACACCCTGGTAAGGTGATCATTCATCTCGACGGTATGCACATGTGCATACAAGTAACTAAAGTTGTTTCTTGGTTTTTTTGCATGTTTGCATGTTATACACATGTGCATACCGGACAAATTGCTTACAAATTACTTGTATGCACATGTGCATATCGTCCTATTGAACGGTTACCAAGGTGTTTCTCATTTTCTTTTTGCGGTTTTCCCCTGAACCTATGTGTATATATGTATGAAGTAATAAAATATAGTCAAACCTTAAAGAAAAGAAAGAGGCTTGAGCAGCATGAGCTGCTGCTTTGGCAAGAGTAGTTTTTGAGCATCCTGGAGGTCCATGAAGAAGAATTCCACGCATAGGAGAAACACCTAACCTTGAAAATGCATCGGAATGTTTTAAAGGCCATTCAACAGCTTGCTTGAGTTTTTTCTGCTCCATGCAACAAGTCATCATTAGTTAAAACAGAAAATCTCCATTATAGCAAGAAACTCATTTTACAGACCTTCAAATTGTTTAGTCCTCCAATATCATCCCAAGAAACCTTAGGAATTTCCACAGTAACACCTCTTGTTATGCTTGGACCAACAATAGACCTAGCATTCTTCCAATCATCCATAATTAAGGTACAAACATTAGCTTCTTCATTTGCATTTGAAGATCTTTTTACTGCACACATTGCAGCCTCACGACATAAAGCTTCTAAATCAGCCCCAACATAGCCATTGCACAATGCTGCTAATACTTCCAAGTTAACAGTGGGATCCAGGGGAACTTTCTTCGTATATAGCTGAAGGGAAGAGTAGACAAGGGGAATGAAACATACAGCAATTTAGCATTTAGGCAAGTATAATTTGCATGCTCCTAGATACAAATAAACACCACTTCTCACATCTGCCTATAAGGTAACCAAAACAATGTATATACATTACCTTAAGAATTTGAAGGCGTTCTTCTTCACTCGGAGTTGTGACTTCGATTTCAGAATCAAATCGGCCTGACCTTCTTAATGCAGGGTCAAGTGCATCCACCCTGGCAAAGAATAGGACATGTTAGATTTATTATTAGACTCACCACATTCATGATTAGGACAGCAAAAATAGAATAAGTACAGTTGATAACCTGTACTTGGTTAATTCCTAATAAAGGCATTGAAGTAAAATAACATGACCTTAACATATTTGTTGTCTCTTTCAACTATTACGGTCATTATCAGGATATAGCTTTGTATCATATGAAGAATGCAAATGGAAGGTGCCCGTAAAAAAGGGATCGAGTACATTGCAGCTGTTTGAAATATCCTTTTTTAAGTCAAACCTTCTGAGTAACCAATTTATGTGGTTCTAACATGCTGAAAATTTCAAACGAAAAAAAGTTTGAGCCAAGTTCCCGATACTTCTTATTTGTTTATTAAATCTCGCCTCATTAGCAACCTAAACACATTCAACAAAAATACAAAATAAATTTGGAAGTCAATCAATGACCTCACTGGCTCTCACTCATGTTGTAAGATGTCCTGTTGGGCTTGCATCAATTGCCAACATAAGGTTTTTAAAATATTGGTTCATATAAGATATCATTCAGATTACAAAAAGAGTTCTACAACTGTCATCTCAGAAATAAACAAGATAAATATAAGCACAAGACTCAGACTTGTTAAAACATAAATGTAACCACCAAAAGAAAGACAGTGAATTGATCAAGTCTTCACCTGTTGGTTGATGCCACCACCACGACTTTCGTCCCCGATGTCGATGTTGCACTTGAGTCCATAAGCATGATAAGTTGAGATGCTATACGGATATCTTGCTGCCTTCTGCGTTTTGAGGCATATATTAAGAGGATTACTTAACAGTTTAAATTATCACTACTTAGATTGATGCTTCAATTCATCATGCACTGCACTCTCACTGTTCATGTTGAAAAGTAGCATAAAAACAAGAACATGTCAACTTGGTGCCTGTTCAATGATGTTCAATTGAAGTAGGAAAGACAAAAACCTTTTTATTGTAGTTCCTTTCACAAGAAATGAATATAATGAATGTATTACTTCTGAGTTCTGATAAAATATGGATATATATTTCCGGATAAAGGAAATGATAGCTATTAATTTTACAGAGAACTTGATCATTGTGGCTTATCAATAAGGGGAGAAATAATCGTCTCTCCATGTTCTCAGATAGTGCATATGATTATCAGAGTTCTGGCATTCAAAGTCCTATGTCTGCGATGTTTCCAGAAACCCTCCGATTCAACAATAGGTGTAAACTACTATAAGTGGTTTACTATGGGCCAAATACCCCCATAGCCATTGCATTACTCCAAGTTAAAAGTATAGTAAATCTTGTGGAACAAGATGGATTATAACTACTTTTGTATTGACTGTTACGGGATAACTAGGTTATTTGGCTTTTCAACATTTCCCCAAAAAAGAAAAGGTTGTGATTCTTGTGGGACACAAGGAGTATAAGATTGCTGATGTACCGAGAATCACGACGGGGACAGATAGCATCAATTTCATCTATAAAAATAACAGACGGTTTTCCCAGTTTGATGTGTGAAGATGCTTCTGCAAAAGCATCCCGCAAAATTTTCTCGCTTTCACCAGCATGGGCTCTGTGAACAGAGTGTGGACTGCAAGAAAACACAAAATCGGAAGATAAGTTTAATCACCAGACCTATATACTATGGTCAGAAAACATAATCGTTCATTTTGAGTTTCTTTTGACGACACATTACCTTAGACGCTTTCATACTAAAATCTATGGTATAAAAAATAATTTTAAAAAACCCACCTACATGCATCCTATAAATCTGAAATTCTGTTTAATAAAGAAAAATTCTACTATAACAGAAGTTTTCAGGGAGTATATACTTGTGTTATAGAGGGTTAGCAGCAACTGCCTCCAATGGGTGCCATGGCTTGAAGGGCAGGTTTAGCTGGTATCAAAACTTTGTGCCTATTTGCTATTAAGAACATAATCTGCTCTCTAGATTTTGTACGACAAATTGTACTTATGTACATGATCAATAGACAACACCATGTCAAGCATATCACCAAAATTAGTAATTAAGAAATTTTGCATGAGAAGAGTGATGACAGACTAGATAAGAGCTCCATGCCATCTACGGTGTGTTTTTGTAATCCCAATTCTTATTTCAAAACCAGCAAAACATAAAAGACCCGAGATTGAACCGAAAAGATAAAATTCCACCTATAATAAATCAGCTACAAAAAGAAATTATGAACTCGGACCAACAGCAAGAGGTATGTAGGTTAAAAGGAAATACCTCAGAACTATCAAGTGTGCATCACATTCACGAACAACTGCTCGAACCAAGCTAGTCTAGCATCAACAAAAGAACATCACCATCAATGAAATAACAACCACTGCTTCCCGGCAAATTGTGACCGCAAGAAATCATCCCTGATAAACTTAGTGGCCACAATTGTTGTGTCCGCCTGGAATCGAACCCTGGGCAGATGGTCATTCCCTGGACCTCAACCACTAGCCACAACCCTTGTTGACAGAAGTAGACTTTGACCTAAATGTCTTCAGTAGTTTACATGAACAAATGACATATATTTGTTCAACACTACAAATTTTCAGATCGTTATCAGAACTTCCATGAAAAGGTATCAATTGATATCTTCTCAAGTTGAAAATTGGTTGCTTGATCGAAAATCATTTGTGCATCTTTAAGTTACTATGAAAGAGAGAAACAAGAGCAAATCGAATTTCAAAAAATAACCCTAAACTCTGATATTACAAATTGTGAATACCTTTCCAGTGCCAGGAGGACCGTAAAGCAGCAAACCGCGAGGCCACTACAGAAAAAGAAATTGAACAGTGATCAAAGGCATGAAAGCTGTGTCTGTTTGTAAGTCTGTTCGTGGAGTATATGTACCTTAAGGCCAAGCTTTCTGGCTTCACGAGAGTAGAGAAGAGGATATGTTATAAGTTCTCTAAGAGCTTGAAGAGCTTCAGCATTGCCAGCTATGGCTTCCTCTGCCTTCCACTTCCGGACATCGTTCGAGCTACAACTACTCTCCATTCACCGGCAGGCGGTGGCGCAAACGACGGGGTTGCGGAGATAGAGCGCGCGAGAGAGTTCATAAGCACGACGGAGTGAGGGTTTATGCTTGAAAGACGAAAATTTTAAATATTTCGTATTAAGTCCTGTATTTTAAAATAATGACATAAAATACCCCTAAAGTTTTACTCTTTACATTTACATTTACATAGCAAGACTAATGCATTTTCTTTTCACTTTGTCCAGTCATTTGCTCGTTAAATTCAAATGATTTAAATGTTTGGTTCATATATTGATGACGCGGGAATCTTTTGAATTTCTTAGATCAAAGATTCCACTATTTTACGGGATATGTCAAAGATTCTAATTCCTTTTAACAATTTCATCCAACCAAATTAGTACTCAAATTTCATTCTAATTTCTTTAAAGTCAAATTTTTTAATGAATTTCAATTCCACCAAATTTCATTTTGTAAATCAAACATCTCCCAAGAATTTTACAATGAAAAACACAAATCAAATCAAATGAATCTAACATATCTGAAAAAGAGTAGTATATACGTAGATCTAGGGTTGTAAACGAACCGAACGTTCAGTGAACCGTTCGGCGGGAATTTCGTTTATTTACTAAATGAACGAACATGAACAATTTTTTTGTTCGTTTAGTTAAACGAACAAACATGAACAAGAATCTCGTTCGTTATTTTATGTTCATGAATGTTCGTTCATTTACCGTTCGTTTGTTTATGTTCGTTTATATATTAAATTTAATATATAATCTTTTATTTATTTACTTTGAATTCAAATAATATTTATTTATGTTCGTTTAGCCTGTTCATTTATGTTCGTTTAGCCCGTTCGTTTATGAACGAACATAAACGAATACAAACACACCTGATTTCTAAACGAACGAACACGAACACAAAGATTTTCGTTCGTTTACCGTTCGTGTTCGTTCGGTTAAGTTAAACGAACGAACGAACATGAACAAGCCTTTGTTCGTGTTCGTTTACAACTATAGATTTGTCCTCTAGAATAAAATATTTTCATGAAAACCCTCCATTTGTAAAAAAATAAGACGAACAAAAGCAAGACCAACAAGGTTGGGGCGAGTCTCTAAAGGCTCCAACCGAGTCTCATGCATCTGTTCAACCAATTTTCGCAAGTAGATTTTTCTGAGTATGAAATGTGCATATGTTAAACTTTTGAGGAGTGCTCCTGGATATTGGAAAATACAAGAAATATCAATCAAAAAACTGAAAAAATCTCTCACAATCAATTAAAAAAACCGATGGTCTTTACAATATGGAATTTTTTCATTACTGATATAATACCCGCAATATTCATCGGGCCAAATTAGCACAAATAACATTAATAATAACATTTGATATCAAGCGCGGAATCACAGACATCGCATGAAAATTTAGTTACAGTCCAAACTCTCTTTCCTTGTAATGTATTCAGCTGTCATTTTGTCTCCAATCGTTGGCTGATCCAGTAAAAGGTCCTGGTGGTTTTAGCCTAACGGGTAAGAAGGTGGACATACTTGCAGAAATAACGGGTGAAAGATACCAAATAAAAATCAGATCGGATGAATGAGTGCACTTCCAGCTGAAGCTTGATTTGCAGCACGATTACTTCCAAAATTCTTCCGGTTTGATTCCCTAGCAATTCTCGAACCAAACTGTAAAAAAGGCAAGTGAAAATTGAGAATCTGATAGTATCCTTGAAATAATAACAGGGAACAAAGAAAGCCATAGGGTTAGTTAGGGTGCGTTGGTATGCAAAAGAGACTAGATAGGATTGGACTAGATGGGGCGGGTGAGAGTGAGATAGGCATGCGAAAGAATTGTGCAAAGTTTTAGGGTCTTAATTTGACATAAGTAAGCCTGTTTGTAGCAGCTTAATTAGCTTAATGGGACTCGCAGCTTATTCGGTCAGCTGTACATGATTGTTTGGTAGTGACTTAATGACAGAGAAAGTGGCTTTTAGGAGAAACTTTATGCAGAAAGCCAAGTTTTTTCCAAACATGCCTCTCCCTGTTAAAAAAACACTTCTTCCATCAATGAAAACCCCACCCAAACAAAAACCTTCCAAATTTTATACAGACATTAATCCATACAGACAACTTTATCTATACAGGACTTAATGAAAAACCAACCACACGGCCCCTTAGTAATCTACCTATCTTGTCCATATCCTTGATTTTTGTTCCACCTGTTTTGGTGCCACTCGATCGTCCTATCTTTAAATCTCGCACCAAACATGGGTCAACAAAATTTGTCCTGTCTTGTAGTGTCTCGCATACTAAAGACGCCCCAAAAAGCCAATCGCTATCAACATATTGTTGAATCGATTAACAATGATAACGGCCAGCCAATTTAGACAGCAAACCCATTAAATCCCACTCTTTTCCTCTACACCAAAGGCTATCCGCCAATATAGATTATTTATGGAAATAAACTTATAGATGTATGCATGCCTGAATAGCTCTTTTAGGTAGAACAGCTGCTTCATGCAAGTTGAGCATTCTTGCAACCTTCAAGAAAAATGAGAGTATTTAGTGGTTGATTTGGAATGGCAATGTGAAGCAAACTAAATGTGTAGTACAAACCAAACGAAACCAGTATATCCCACCTGGAGGTGGGATTTGGGGAGGGTAAGATGTACAAAGATCTGGCCTCTACACCAAAGAGTAGCAGTTGTTTCCGTGAGTACTTTCAGTTTCACATTCAAGTACTTCTGGTTTTAGAACACTTATTTAAGTTACAATGCAACAATAAAATGTCGTACCCTGGAATCTTATAGAATTGGCAATACATACCTCTCGCAAGATCTTCTTATCGCCAACTCCACTTGGTTGGCCAAGGTCTGCGATCTCCCATAGTGGAATATCAAGCAGTACCCTTATTACATCCTCATCCAGAAAAGGAAATCTAGCCTAAAGAAAGCAGAAATGTTATTAAAGTATTTGGGCCTGTTTATTAGCAGCTTAATAAGCTTAATGGGACTCGCAGCTTATTCGGTCAGCTATACATGACTGCTTGGTAGTGGCTTAATGATATAAAAAGTGGCTTATTCAATAAGCTTCTAGGGGGAGCTTTATGCAGAAAGCCAAGTTTTTCCAAACCTGCCCCTCCCAATAATAAAACAAGCTCATTCCATCTAAGAAAAAACCCCTCGCAAACAAAAATCTTTCCACCAGATTAGTCCACACAGACAGCTTTATCCATACAAGACATAATAGAAAAGCATCCAAACAGCCCCTAAGTCAAGAAGACAATAATTTGGACTAACAGCAGAGGTACGTACCTCTCTGCCATTATCAGCTATGCATCTATCATCTCTACCTAGGTTTCTCTTCCATATTCTCTGCATATCCAACTTCATTTCCTCATTTAGCCCAGCCCAGCTGATGATCCATATTGAGCACGATATAATAAAGCTTATATTAGTAATCTTACTTCACTGCCTATAGAAACCATTTAAAGAACTTAGAAAGGAAAATAATAATATGATAAAATTCTCCAAGGGGGTCATGGAAGGATTTGGAATCTTTGGTGTGTTTAGTTTGTAGGATTTGGAATGGAATTGAATTTCATTCTTAATAAATAATTTATACAAAATAAATTATAAATAATTATAAAAATTATTAAATCACCTTTTTTATTAATTGATTATTACAAAACAAAAGTTTTTAACATATTTTAAAACATTATTGCCTACAAATCCTACGAAATCCCGTGAAATACCAACCACCCCCGTGGGATTTCCAAATTCTATGTTTGTGGGAAATCCAAGAAATCCTTCAAACCAAACATGGGATTGGAATGGCATTCAATTCAATTCCAAATCCAATCCAATTCAATCCTGCAAACCAAATGCCATTTTGGTTTTCTGAGAACATAATGGTCAACAAATACTGTTTTCCAATCTGGTTTCACTTTTTTTATAAGAAAAACAAAAAACCTTACCAAACGATATTACAGTTTTCTACTATGAGATGGGGATAAAACTAACCCGCTTTGTCTGTATTTAGTTTTATGGCGGCCATAGCCAGCACATTGCTCGTCGGCACCAGAACCAACCAAGAGGATCCTGGAGTCAGACTTGTACTTAAAACGATGGTGTTCCGAATCATCATTCCTGCCTATTTCTTCACACACCCAGCCATCACCACCAGCTGCCAACCACAAAGCAATCCCAATATTAAGGTCCTGTAACATCAGAAAGAAATTGAAGCTTTCATGCATAAATAACACTATGTATTCCTGAATCAGGAATAAATAACACTATGTATTCCTGAATCAAGATGAACAGAGTTGAGGATTGTGTTAACAAGAACATGCCCTTCTAAAATTCATCTTATAAGAAAGAGAAATACTAAAACTATAAATGATCGAAAACGTAAGTTCAAGGAGTTTGCTTCAAGCTTTCATTTATACTTTCTACTTCCAATAGAAAAGTGTAGCAATCGTGTAGCCAAATTTCAAATTAAGTACACATATAATAATATCTAAGGACCATGTTTTGTTTAGAATGGAACAAACCAAAGAGAGAAAAAAATAATTTTTTTAGAACATTTGAAAATTGTGTGCATATTAATGTGGTAAGATGGTACAATATCCTTGTAGTATTATAAAAGTATTATTCCATGCCTTTCTTTCTCCAGGGACACCCAAGTGAAATTGTGTGAGAACTGTAGATATCTACAAGTTTTGCTGCTTCAGCATCAACAAAGGTTGGGTGTACATAACCGTTATCATGAATGCCTTTTGTTTTGTGTCCTTTCAGAGAAAAATTACACATGTTCTTTTGTGCCATTACTTGCAAAACCCGGAACAGTTTATAACAAGGTTAAAAGAAATTATTACAGCGAGATGGGAATTTCAGCTTTCTCAAAAGTTAATTAGTATCAAAACACGAACTTGTAGACACAACATCAAGGGTTGAAAAGGGATCAGTGATTACTGTTAGTAGCTTTTCTTGGAAAAATTATTGAACCAAATTATTGGAGTAACATTATCACCACAACTGCATAAGCATTCAAAACTCTACAGTAGCTTAAACTTGAGAAGTATGCAATAAAGTTGCATACACATGCTTATAGTATAAGTTTGACCAATCACATTGCTACATATATACATAGGGTTGGGTTGGTTTTTCGTGAGACCCTTAAAACCAATTTATGTTCATTGATCAACTTTATAAGCTAATGATCTAATGGTCTAAAATTGCACGGTGGCAATTTTGTGATTATTGAGAAGTCTCGTGGCAATTTTGTGATTATGAATGTTCAGATTGTAGATCTAATCCAAGGGTTGAGAATTGGTCTTATAGGTCTCACATAAAACTTTTGGTCTCACATGATCCCAAGTCTATATACATACATATATATATATATATACATACATATATATATACATACATATATATATATATATATATTAATGTTAAAATTAAAATTAAAATGCACTATAAATGGATCTAAGTACCATGTATGTATTCGAAGGATTAATAAGTGACATGACATGCTTTGTCTCCAAAGTCAATTTAGGCAATTCCGCATCTATCTCTACCAGATTCCATCTGCATTCAAAGCGTTTGTATTATGAAAGAACTACAAGAAAGTCAAAGTGTACTCGAGCATACAGAAAATCAAATAAATTTTTACAACCACGCTAAGAACGGAAAAAAAATAGGACTACTTTAGGAGCAAGAACCATACCTTCTTAACGAAGCTTTTTTTCTCAGCTCAATCACGCCTGCCCTAGCAGAGATTCTATCAGGAGCTGACTGACCATCAAAACTTACATTCAGAAGATCAATTCCAACTGCCAACAGAGGTGTGATAATAAGCTTGTTGAAAACGAATATGAAGAAAATCAACATTTGCCCCTATTCATTTCTTTTTTCTCCTATTAGCGAACAAGGTCTTTTGGGAAAATGAGCCTCTATAAGAAAACTCTGTCCTTGTATTGATCCCTGAAACGCAATTGTTGAAGGGCATGTCGTAGAATTGGTAATTCAGGGACCATAATATGAAATGTCTACAAGTTGAAGGACAAGTTATGGTGGTTGTTTTAAAGCTCATCACCTACATTCTAGATCCAAGCACTCATCCAACAAAGCTGCAAGTATCATAGAATCTAATCCACCAGAAAAAAGCACAGCAACTGGAGAGTTACCCTGCAAGTCGAGAGCAAATTGGAGTACATAATAATAAGCATCAAGAATTACTCCTATCCACAACAAGTTGCTTTACTAATATATCAAGTTGGTAGCATATTCCCTAGTCCGGGAATAAAATCATTACCCTTTAACACCCACAATACCTTGCTTTTCTTTGTCTTAATTAAAAATAAATTATGTGTGTGGCCACAAAAAAATTAAATGAGTATAATGTTGTAATAGTTTTGGAATAGAGGGAGCAATTGTCTACCAAACCTGACTGAAAATTCAATGTCAAACTAGTGAAAGTGCAACCATCAGATCTTGTATAAAGATACACTATATTCCATCAGGAAAACCTCACTACACAAATGCACAAGCCTCATAGTGATTTCATAGCAAAATATTTGGGAGGCCAGGTGAAAATAGGGTCCAGTTCACAATTTACCCTGCCATCGACCTGGTTTCTTTGGCATCCGTCTTCAATCTAACCCGTTTCAAAAACCCTTGTCATCAGAAAGCTAATGGCGCTTAGTGGATTTACAATGAGTCCACAAATTACAGATTTGTCCATTTCTTTATCGAGTTCAAGAAAGAACCACAATTGCTAGTTTTCACTTTTCCAAATGAGAAAGAGAGAATTGACTACGATAACAAAATTGTTGCCGACAGCAAGCTTGACTGCTTGAGATCATAATGACAAGATATTCTTCTATTTCACTAAATCATATAACTCAAAAACCCAAGAAAAGGGGCAGTGAGATAAAGTTTCAACCAACATATAGAGCCAAAATATATAAAGCTATATTCACTGACAAACCAGATGAGTTCCCGAAAATATTGTGCGCCGTCTCACAGATTCTTTAAGTACAGCCAGAACTTCCTGATGCAAATGCCCTGTGGCAATGAAAAAAAAAACTAGTTGCAGATCAACACAGAAGTTAATAGAACATGTTTCGAATCAATTAACACAAAAAAACAGTGTTCAGACAGGTATGTATGAGAAAGAGGATAAGTACAACACTATTTACATTGCATCAGTGGTAGCATGAGGTACAAAGACAATATCAAACATCCAACACATGAACCACGTGAGGATACTTTTGTTAAACGCATAAGATTGTTTTGTAATGAGTACTACTACCAGAAGAAACTATGACATTGACTCAAGCTAAGAAGCATTTTAAATGACAAAATCGACTTTTTACCTTGTTGCTCACTAGAAAACGTTCCATGGGATTCAATTAAATCTTCAGGTCTGGGTTCAACATAAGTTCTCTCCCACTTAATCAGTTCTTCCAGCATGGGATCGGTCCAGTTATGTCTTCTGACTTCACCCACCAGATTTTCATCCAATTTCAAAGCACTCATGGACAGGCTGTAGACTGCACATGGGAGCTCTTCCCAAAACTTCACTTCAGTTGGCCCATTTTCATATCCAATATCTGGAAGCAAAAGAACATCAGTAACCAACAATAAACCAAACAAAACAAACCCGGTATATCCCACCCGGAGGTGGGGTTTCCATCAGTAACCAACAATAGAAAGTGAAATCATGTGCATGATTCAGCAAAGGAAAACAAAGAAAAATGTCATCTTAAGGAAATACACACATGATTATTGATTGCATCAGAAATAAAGCAGTATTATTTAAAGCATCAGAAAATGAATAAAACAAAGGAAAAGTATGTTCACAACGAAGAAAAAATCACCACATTGTTCCCCATCGTAGGACTGTTACTAGACCGTCCAAATTAAATGTCATCTTAAGGAAATACACACATGATTATTGATTGCACTTTCCGGCACCAGTGAACTGATGTCAACCATCTCTAAGTAGACGGCACTGATGTTTCATAGACACTGGTTTTGGCAATAATTCAGGGTAGGGCACTAATCTTGCCAGGGGTTTTAGTACAGATGATTTTGAGGAAAATTGTTATGACCTAGACATCAGCCTGTAATCATGTATATGCAAAGGAATATAAAACTTGCAATTTACATTCCTATGATAATTCCTATTAACAGGACTAATTACACTAGTCTAATATTTACATTAGCCACATATATACTATTACACTCGCTGTCAAGTTGTTGCATAGATTTCCTTCATGACACAGCTTGGATTAGAAAGACATGAATGACTTTCTTGGAAGAGCTTTAATAAGAATATTAGAAGGTCATTCTGTAGACTTTGTGTACTGCAAGTAAGCAAGTCCATCCTCCATTTTTTCCTGGATAATGTATCTATTTGTATCAATCGCATGATTTGTAGAGTCACACTGCCAAATATGGTCATATTGCATATAGCTTATGTGCTATCTATATGCAACAGCATTGTGTAACAAGATTTACACATACAAGTAGCAAAACCCTTTTTGCTAGATAGCTAAATAGAAATAAAGCAAACCAGATTGAGTTAAATGCATCAGCCAAGTCATTTTCTACATTATCCCAAAAAGGCCCATTCCCATAAGCACAATTCCTTACAGAGCACAATCCCACTAAATCTAAAACAAGATCAAATAAAGCAATCCCTTGACAAGTATACATACCAGCTCTTTCATCAATAGCAGAAGGTGGTGATACAGAAGAGAGCATGAACCGTGAGTCTTTTGTACTTGGCCAGTGAACAAGAAGGCTTCGCCTTCCAAGTGCATCTCGACCAAACCATATTGTCTTTGAGCTTGCCTGCAAGCAAAGTTCAACAAAGAATTTTACAAACTAGAATTCGGATCAAGGGTATGAACTGCAACTTCCAGTACCATTCAACTGAATGGAACTTACCATTCAAAAGTTACCTGCCAGTAGATTAAAGCCCATGGTCCCTTGATAGTTGAAAGAAGTTCAGGAACAGAGTATTTCCCATTCCCACTGGATGAGCATGCACCTTCACGATTATGAGAAAGGCAATTGCAGCATTTTCCTAGATACTGCATGAGAACTTCAGCATCATTGCTATCACTACTGAGCTCAATTCCTCCAAACACTTCACCTATGAGGTACAGTAAGAAATTTTTGCATAACATTTCTTCATTAAGAACAATTACTCTGATCTTATACAAATTTAAAACAATCTCTCATGCCTGAAAAGAAAATTGGTTCCATACTACTTTCAGAAGATTTAGATCTCCCAACAAGTTTATTTCAACATAAGCATCAGAAGAGCCTGAAAATTAAGGTCTTAAAGACATATGAGTATTGCAGGTGTAAGAACCAAGTAACAAGAAGTGCTCGAAAACCAACATGTTATAGTAATTGAGCGTCAACAATATAATATGAATAATCAAGCAATAAGATGCTAATTTATATGAATAATCAAGCAATAAGATGCTAATTTTAGTGGATAAGAAACCATACCGTTATATACAAGAATATTCCCAGATTTATCCACCAGAGGTTGAGTGATAGAATATATTCCTCGTAATTGCAATGTAGCACCAACAAACAAAACTTCTCCAAATAAGCTATTATTCAAAGCTTTTACATGAGATTCTCTAGTTGTCTCCTCTCCCTCCATTGAAGATCGGATAGCGCTTCCCCCATCGGCATGAAGAAATATAGCCTTGCTCCCTAAGCTGTCAGGGCCCCTTTTCCTCAGAGCTGCTTTGATATCATCTGCAGAAAATAAAAGCTGGACCTCCACCAGTGAGCTCAAATAAGTTCAAGTTAGACAATCTATGTCACTCAAACGATCTGTTTACATTTAGCTGTCCAACTCTGCCCATTCTATTGAAACAGCTACACTTTAAACTATTAACAACATAGCCCTTGTACTCAAACAATCAAACATATAGCATTGCTTGGACACAGCATCTCATGGATTTAAGGCTCCATGACAACATTTTGGCAACTTTACTGATTTTGTCTAGTTATTCTCGAGTTCATTGAACTTCAAAGTTAAACCATAGAAAAGTTGATGTCCAAAATAAAATGCAACTCCTTTTACTATTTACAACTCTAAATAAGCTAAAATTACAACAAAATTCTAGAAAACCATGTAGCCAATGCAGTAACAAAAAAAAAGCAGTTAAAGCTTGTATCTGGGGTTGAGTAATATCCTCCTATCAAATGATAGTTGGCAGAATCATGGTATTTAAAATTTTCGTGTTTAAATTTCTGCAAGGTGACATGGATTGGTAGGAGGACATGGCATTCCAAATTTCATGTAATTTTTACAAAAAGTGAAAAAAAACAGTTCATATTACAAAATTGCTTACAGTTGCAGGTTCTTGAGAAGAAGATGAACAACTGGTTGTATCTAAGAGAAGAGACGATAAATCGATACGAACACCGGAGATGATTAGCGCTATTCCGCACATCTCTTGGTATTCCTCGCTTCTCTGTTTAAACCCTAGAACGACGAAAGGGTTTTTGTTCGGATCTTTTAATGTTCCGTTCAGAAGTAACCTCTGTGACCTCTGAATCGGTCAGAAGAGACTGATTGGCCAAAATTAGTTTCTCATTTCTACTCACGGGATAAACACTCGGCGGTAAGATTGATAACTTTCACTTATTGGCGGTAAGATCGATGACTTACGGTACTTACCCGTTAAATATTTATCGGTAAAATTTAATATTATCGTTTATTTACCGGATAAGATTTTATTCACTAAAACGCATCATATGCAACAATTTATCCCGGTAAGCGCTAACCATGGTAAGAGTTATCGTCCTCACTTATCGGGTAAGACTCTCGATTTTTGCCTTCACTCTTATCGGGTAAAATTTTTAGTCTTTGTCATATTCATCCGGTAAAGTAAAATGACTTGGTAAGCGCTTACTGGGTAAGCGTTTGGTAAACGGCACCTTAGATAACGCATAACATTTTTAGTCATCAAAATAAATTGTTGGTAATCATTTTTACTCAGTAATCATTTATCAAATAAGAGTCTTCTCCTTCACTTATCAATAAGTTTTTCGGTCCTTATTACAGTTCTTACCAGGATAAGATTCTCGGTCTTTATCATTTTCACTCAATAAGATAAATAATGTTCGATAAGCATTTGCTAAACAGTCTTTTACAGGTAATAGAAAATATACTTTTTTTCATGGCATTTGGTTGCGAATGGCTCGCAGTGGAGTTGCATCTTTTGTTTTTGTAGGTAGTTATTATTTTGTGATTGATAACCTAGTTTCAATATGAACAATTCATAATTTGAACATAATAATGTTATGCCAAATGACATGATCTGTAATATGTACGTATCTCCAGTTTATGCATTAAATGTTAACGTATACTGGTTAATCATCTAAATTCTATGGAGCCAATGACCATTTGGTATGGGATTCATCTTTGTTGGCATGTACCAAATCTAACAAAAGTCTCTTTGGCTTCGAAATGAGACCTATTTCTTTTTATGCACTTTCTGTAAGTATTAGGAGCTATGCTGTTATATCGGTCAGAATACGAAATATCGGTCAGGACCGATATTCGATATATCGGTTATATCGGTGATATATCGGAAATATCGGTTAACATAATATTTCTTAGAATTATATATATATAATATGCATTAATTAGAGTTTAGAAATATAGTTTCAAAATTAAAACATCACATCATCTAAAGTGTTCAAAAACAAGCTAATCGCAAGCAAATGGCCAACAATATATGATACAACCTACAGCTCTTAATGCAAGAATATATGATACAACCTACAGCTCATAAACAATATATGAATATATGATACAAGTCTACAACCTGCAGCTCATAACCAAAATAGGATTCAAACCTGGCTCTTGCTGGCTGTGAGAACGACTAGAAGAAAAACAAAGTAGTCCGTCGACTAGAAGAAAAACAAAGGAGATCGAGAAGAGAGCTGGACAGTGGCTTGGGCGCTTGGCTCTGTGTAAGTCGTAAGTTACCGCTTAGGAGCGAGAGAGAAAAGAGAGAGACCGAGAGAAGAAAAGCGAGAGAGAAAAGAGAGAGAAGAAGTCTGACTAAGTTTAGATTTAGATTTAGACCTAATTTACTAAGCAGTCCAAAAAACTAAGGCCCATGGAATAAAAAAAAAGCCCAAATTTTAACCCTTTGTAAAAATCGGAATATCGGACCGATTTTTCACTAAAATATCGCTCAAAATATCGCCAAATATCGCCGATAATATCGTTGGCGATATTTTGGCCGATTTTTCTTGACCGATTTTTTTTTTCGAGCGATATCCGATATATCGGCGATATATCGCGATTTTGACAGCATAGATTAGGAGTGTATGCGTGTTGGTTTAGGTGGTTTACGGCATTTTTATAACTCAACTCCATTACGAGGTTTTGGAAAAATCTTTACTCAACCTAACACATTTAAAAGTATAACCCAAGCCTTACAGGTTTGAGCAGGTTATTAGTTATTTCAATTGAAGTACGACATGAAATAAGTGAGTCGTTTGATTGATAGATTGGTCAATCAAATATCTATCAACATCATTCATATTATTCATCAATATCCATTTGTTGTTGCTGGTGTTAGATTCTTTATCATCATTCTTATATGGTGAATATCATTTGATAACCTATACATTTAGCTAAAAGGAAATACAAACATAAACTCAACAAACATATATATATATATATATATATATATATTAGTTGTGTACCCGCGCAATGCGGCGGGAGCCATGAATTTTAACGATTTTGAAGTTCCACTGGTTTTATAAGATAAGATTTARYGATGATATAGGTTACACTTGGTCTTTACATATTAATACAATTTGAATAAATAAAAGTTATTATTCCAATTACAGACTATCGATGAAAAAAATTGTATGACAGTTTAAAATCCAATATATTTAAACAACTCCTCAAATGTGTTCGATTTACACCAAGAGCAAATAACCAAGAAACTTGAGTTGTAAGATAAACACTCAAAACCAATAAAGAAAACTACAAATCTAACAGATCATAAGTCATGAAAAGAACAAAAAATATGAGTTTTAGAATGAAATTTCAACTATTTACCTTATTTCTTATCCAGAAACTCAGATTAATGTTGAATTAATACATGTATATATATATATATATATATTTAAAAAAAAACCTAAGAACATATTAATTCAGAATATATTATATAGTGCAATTTGGACAGCCTAACTCCAAAATATATAGTATATATATATATATATATATATAACTATAAAAGTATAAATCGTAAATATTAAAAATATTTTTTCACATTATATATAATATATAATAATATAATTAAATCAAAAACTATTTAATATTGGACTCATTTTGAAGGTATTAAAGAGACGATTATAATGGTGTAACTTGTTAAAATAAAAATGTATTTTTTAAACATATTTTAATTGATATACGATTATGTATAATTCGATAAAAGTTTAAAATGAAACATTTAAAAGTAAATGACGTAAAGTAAATTAATTAATTAATTATAGGGGTATAAAATGTAATTTTAAAATTATAATTTTAAAATTATATCATTGATCAACTTTATAAGCCAATGATCTAATGGTCTAAAGTTGCACGGTGACAATTTTGTGATTATTGAGAAGTCTCGTAGCAATTTTATGATTATAAATGTTCATATTGTAGATCTAATCCAATGGTTGAGAATTGCTCTTACGGGTCTCACGAAAAACCTTTGATCTCACATGATCAAATATCTCTCTCTCTCTCTCTCTCTCTCTATATATATATATATATATATAATAGAATAGTATATTATATATAAATAAAACTGTATCAAAGTTATATATACTAGATGTTGGTTGGCGGGTTGGGTTGGGTTGGGTTGAGCTAAACTAACCCAATTTCAACCCTCTTAATTGACGTTTTAACATTTTGGGAGTTTGACGATATAACTGGTTGGGTTCAATTATGTTGTTAGCAGGTTGTGTTGGAAAAGTTAAACGGTTTAATAGTTTTTTTATACATCCCTATTCCCTAGCAAGTATGATGATTTATTTGCAACAAAACATCAAGCAAAACGGTTGAAAATGTTGGTCACCCATATTACAATCGTACCCACTACAAGTAAAAAATCGTTATTTTTATCAAGTTCAGTTCATGTATCTGGCTGTAAGAGGTATTTACAACAGATTCTCCAAAATATGGTTTTTATCTCGGTTTTTTCTCCAAGTGAAACTTCAAAAATTATTTTGAGAATCTTCAAATTTGGAGAATCTTCGAAATTGAATGCTGGTATGCAGAAAAAATTATTTTATTATTCCACCAGTTAATGAATTAAATGTTAAAAGATTTGTTGAGATGGTAAATATATCAAATAATTTATTAATATAATTACTGTTAGAATTTCCAAAAACGATAAGATGTTAAAGTTGTATTTAAATTTTTTTTTTCTTGTGGAGAATTTGATTTTCTTTTTTCCATTTTGGATAAAATTATAGAGAAATTGTTAGAGAAGCTATAGAGTGGAGACAACTGAGTACGAGTGGCTCGAAGCAGGGATGGACCTAGTATAGTGGTTACGGTGGCACGTGCCACCGTATTATTTATCCGTCGAAGGATAAAAAAAAAATTTAGGTTCGCGAAATGTGCAACCGTATTAATTTGTTATGTGTCACCATATGTATTTTGAAACTACAACGAGAACAAATTTTTATTTGGTAGAATTGGTTTGCAAAACTTTTATTCCACTCCAAACCCGATTTTGAATCCTGTTGGTGTCATTTTTCTAGTCAAATTGTGCCACTATTTGAGAAGAAAAAAAATCGTATATTTGTTTCTTATGGTCAAACGGTACCACCATTTGAAAAAAAAAATTATATATATATATTTTCTTGTAGTCAAATGATGTCACAGTTTGAAAGAATTTATGGGTTTGTCCCTGACTCGAAGGACCATTAATCGAATAAGTTGAGAATATATCTTTTTTCTAAAAGGAAATTGTGATGTGGCGCCTTGTACAAATTGAACTATTTTCAGGTTTTTCCTGACGGTGTTTTTTATATCAGTGAACGGAAATTTTTAGGGTTTTTTTATGTGTTTTATCTACGTGGATGTGTGTTTAGTCCAGGAAACACTAACCCTTTCATGTTATACGGACAAAGATGGACACTATCGATCTTTCACTCTTAAATATTGACAGTACATTTGCAAGAAGCATCAACGATCTTTTCTTGACAAGGAAAAAATGCCAAAAAACAATAAAAACGGTTGACATATAGATGTAGCAATCTGGAGAAGAAAGTAGCAAGCACAGATAGGGAATATCAGTCGTTTTACAATAAGTTCGTCACGTCACGACACAAATTGAGTAAGAAAGGCAAGAAGATTGAGAAAATGAAGGACATGTATAAAATAATAAAAGTGTCCCTCAAAAACCAGTTTCGTTTATTATAGAAAGTGGAAGTGTTCATTTATCAAACACATAAACTATAACGATATCTGAAGCTCAAAAAACGTCATTTTCATAGTTTACGTCATATGGGCTATAACATAGAAAATACACATACTAACTTTTACATAGAAAACGAACTAGAACACTAAAACAGTTCGATTCAAATTTTCAACCTATTATCCATAGATACATTTTAAAGCAAAAAAAAAAAATGTCGAGCAGTCACATGGTTTTACATTCCAACGACATCACAAATTCACAATCAATTTCATAACCATATACACATTCACACATTTTAACCACATGAAAGCTAGTTGCGGTGTCACACGAACCCAATTACCAAAATTGTGCCTCATTTTCAGTATAAACTTTAACTCTACCGTCATAGATTCGTGATCCTCGTTTTAACCCTAAGTATGTGAACTTTTATAGCTATTGTATTACTTTACGTTGAACCTGATTAGTTTACTGACATTCGTTGTTACAACTTGAGGACTTCAATTTGTCGTTAGTAATTCCACTGTTTAACACGTTTTAATCATCAAAGAATGAATCTTGTACACGAGCTTAAAAGTGCACCATGCATATAAAATGTCATATTTATGACGAAACATTCACTATCACAATGTGAGAAATGTATTACATATCATGGTTTTGATATATATATATATATATATATATATATATCATGTTTGTAATTTTTGTTTTCGAAAAATATGGCGTGAACTTTAAAACGATAAATGAAACAAGGGGTTTTTATAAACATTTTAAATAGACGAGGGTATATTATAATGTAACTGATGAAAAAGCCGTTGGAAAAGTTTTAGCATCGGAGAATATTTGTACAAATAGGTTTTTGTTAAAAAATGTCAGCAGAAAGTTGGTGTGACAAAAGTAAAAAGTATCTGAATAGATTATGCATTGTGAATGTTGATATGTATTTCGTGGTACAAATTATGCTACATCAGTATAATCGTTACATTTGTATTTATATTATGACATAAAAACATCGTAATATAAACTACATACCATATGTATTTTCTCGTTCACTAAACCTAATCTTTCTTCACGTCACTGGGAAGATCATTTTTACTTCCTTCACATCTTAAGATATAAAAATTATCAGAGATCGTGTACAAAAGTATTTTTATTGTACAATACACATAATGGGTTGAACTCATAAAGGAAACAGTGAAAATTTCTTCAAATTTAGAGAACTTTCCAAAATTAAATGTAGAGGGAGAAAACGGTTTTCAGCTTTTTTCTAAAAACGTCTCCCACATACCAGTAAAATTAAATGGAAGAAAAAAAACCAATGATTTTTTTTTATTACTAGAAAATTACTCGCGCAATGTAATGAGATTTATCTCGATTTTAGTGTTTTTTTTATTCTTCGTTTCTGTGAATGTTATAACACGACTTTGTATGGTTTTGAGAAAATGATAATGTTTTTATGTTTGAATAAAATATAAATTTGAAAATCCCATAAAAACTTGAAAAAATTATCGATATTATAATCAAACTAAGTATTTATAAGTTTTTGTTTTTGATGTAATTAATTTAATTTGATTTTTTATTATAATTTAATATTAAAGTAATTTATTTTCGGTTTAATAATATTTTTTTTGTGAAGATAATAATTAAGTATTCTTTTAAATGTTAATGATTATCTTAATTATATTTTGAATTTTTTTATATTTAACATCAGATGTTTATCATATATTTGTAGTTAGTTATACAAACTCAAAATAAAGCTTTAATAAGTTGTATTTATGTACAGTTTACTTGAAATTTTAAATTTTTAAATATACATCAATAAATAGTATTTTATACATAAAAAATGGTTTTTATAAAGTTTTTTTGTCAAATATTTTATAATACAATATAGATTTTTAAAAAATAATTAAAGTTATAAAGTAAAAAATGGAGTAATTATAGGAGTTAGATGTATTTTTTTTTTTTGCCTTTTCACTTTAAGGAATTTATGGAAACCTCTTACACTTCTATTTTCAAGTAGTTCGCAAAGTAGTAAAAATAATCAAATCTTTTTTTTAATTTCATCGTTCGACATTCATTTATAGAATCAAACTAAGTATTTACCGATTTTAAGAACTTTCTTGATTTAACCAATACTAATTAAAGTTTACTATTTTATATGAATTTTGTTGATTTATTATATATATATATATATAAAGAGAGAGAGAGAGAGAGAGAGAGAGAGAGAGATGTTGGTAATTATACAACCTTTGTCATTTATGCAACCAATACAACCCAATATCAACCATCCAATTCATTTGATGAATATGTGATTTTATAGAGGTTTTGATTATTTCMTAATATAAAGTATTACTCATAATTAATGAACCGTATTCATCTTCCATAAATATTTAAATCATAATAAATAAACTCTAATCATTTCCATAAATATTTTAATTTATTAAGTTGCATTGGTTGTATTTGAAATAAACCCTATATATATATATATATATATATATTTTTTTTTCATTAATATAATATAATATTGAGTTTTTTAAATAAAAAATTATTGGTGTTAAACATGATTTTTTTAAATATTTTTGAATTTACTTCTCTATTTTAAATATATGATAAACTAAAAAAATACAAACTTTCAGGAGTTTTTGAATATTTGAATTATGATTTCTGAGAGTATCTCTAATAATTTTTTTAAGATGGACTGAATAAAGATTTTGAAGATTTTGAACATTTTTTTAACAGATTCCTCAAAAATGGAGAATAGGCATGGGAATAAGATATGCATGGGGATGGGATGGGGACCTAATCATCATCCCCGTCCCCATCCCTACCGGAGAATATGATCACATCTGTATCCCCGTTCCCCAATGGGGAATGGATAATTTCTCCTCCCCCCCGGTTAATAATATATTTTAAATCATGTTTGTTAAATATCACACTCGGTCAATAATGGTTTATGTTTAAAACTCACATATTTTCACAATTTGCTTTTATAAAGTATCAAAATATTTATATATGAAGAAAATCAGATCAAATACGTTTTTATAAAGTTTTTTTAACCCCCACTGAAGAACTTATCCTAATCATCTTTAAATTTCAGATAAATATTTGGATTCTAATAATCCTTTCTGATCGTCAAATGCAAAAAGTTTCATTTCTTTTGCGACCAAAGGTGATCTGGTAATTTATAACAGTATTAATTTTATCTTGAGAAGGGAGGATGAAAAGAGTTGAAACTCATACCTTACGCTTAACACAAAGCCCTGTAATCCTTTATATAAAGCCCCGAATCTTAATTGCAAGATGAAAGCCTTGAATCTTGATTGCTCGAGTTCTACTTTACATAAATCCTTGAGTTTTACTTTAACAAAATAAAGATTTTCGTTGGTTTGCATTGATTTAACAAAAGCCTTGAGTATCTTGCAGGATGAAAATCTTGAATCTTGATTACTGGAATTTTATATAAAATAGCATGCCAAAATCACCGTTTCCGCAATGGGGACGAGGATGAGAGTGTGATCGTATTCCCCGTTGGGGTCGGGAACGAGGATGGAGACGAAGATGGGGATTGGGGTCCCCGTCCCCTTTTCACGATTAATGGAAAAAATATGAAAGAGAGTATAAAAATCTCCAAATTTTAAAAACAACAAAAAATGATCATAACGATAAAAAAATATTAAAATATTATTTGATATATTTTTATTAATAAAAACTTTAAAAATTATATTATAATTATGTAATTAATGTTGTAATTTATAAAATAGGAAATACAGTTGAAGTTAAACATACTTTTGTTTTAATAGTTTTAAAGTTTCAGTTTATATTTTAGAGATTTTTTAGAGAACCTAAGTAATAAAAACAATCTTAAAATAAAAGTGTAAACAATATTATTTATACTATATTATAAAACATTTGACAAAGCCTCTTAAAAACCAATTTTTATGTATGAAATACTGTTTATTTATGCATAGTACTTAAAATTCAAGATTACAAGTAAAAGTGATTTTGCGTAAATACAACTTATTAAAGTTTCATGTTTGAATTCGTGTAACTAGCTGCAGATAAACATAATCAAATAGAAGATAATAATCTCATTTTAAATATAAAAAATCTAAAATTTAATTAAGATAATCATTAAAAAATTAAAGAAAATAAAAAAATAAATTAAAGAAATACACAAAAAATAAGAAATTTTAAATAGTTAGTTTAATACTAATATCAATATTTTTTTTCAATTTTTTTATGATATATCTTCATATATAGATTTTATTCAAAAATAAAAACATTATCGTTTTCTCAAAACTACATAAATTTGTATTTTAAAATCACCTGAAACAAAAAAAAAAAAAACAAAATATCAAAATCAAGATATATCTCATTATATTATACAAATATTCTTCTGTATTTTTTTAAACAATTACTATTAAAATATCAATATTAATTTTAGAGTATTTCCGAATGTCCCAAGACACTATTCTTTAAGCTGACCTCCTTCCTACGAGGAGGATCGACTACGCCTATGGAAGACGATGAGTCAACATCATTCCGTTGATTAAAAATGAAGTTAAACCTGCAGTCAATATCCTCGTCAGTCCTATGTGGCATCAAACTATTGGTGCGTTCAGTTCTCCATCTTCATACCTACCGTACCCGATCACCGCCTCGCACAAGACCCAATGCCCTACCTCGCACCATACATCCCTCTACACTACAACGACAAATCCCAACCGTTGATCAATTAAATCTGACACGTGTGGCCAAAATAAGGTACATAGATCAGAAGTGGCCATCAAAATCAAAACTTCCCTCCAAGCATACAGTAGGGTGCCGAAGTAGGTAATAAAAGTCCCCTCGTGTATTTTTGGAAGAGATTTTTAGAGAGAGAATCTCGCGCACAATAAATTCGTGTTTGTATATATCTCCGCTATCTTCTCGGTGGTCTCAGATCAGGTTTCGTCGAAGGTATATTCTTCAGTCCGATTCTCTTCACAGTCGGTGTAAGAAAAATTATCCAAAACTGATTTTTTTTATAATCGATGATTGTGTTTGTTTACCTTGTAGAATTATGTGAAAAAAGTTCGAAAATGTGTAATTGTAGAGATCATCGCTAGAAAAGGGCATGCATTGAGGTTTGATGATTCGAGTATATATTACTTTGATGCATAAAAGTTGAAGATTGGGGTATTTTTCTGTACGTGGTTGATGTTATACTTTTATCGGGATTAATGTAAGAATTATGTGTGAAAGTTTAGGTTTTTTTGGGTAATCATGGATTGATCGTTGAGAAATGGGGCATGCATTGAGGTTTGGTGCTTTGATTGTATTTATTGAATGTTAAAAACAGATCTAGTTATCATTTGGTGTTTTGGAGTGTTTGGTTAAGGGTTTTGCGCTGCTGTTTGGATGATTTGATTGTTTAATTAGCTTTTGTGTTTGTTAGGGTTTTGAGGGGTTCAGAGGTGGCTTTGCTTTTCATATCGCATCGTTTATGTGGCTTAATTTAAAAAATGGGGTTTATTGAACTGGTATGATATCATTTGATTGTCTGGTATAATTCTCTAATTAATTATGTTGGAGAGTTTTAGTAAGATTAACATCTGCAGAGATTAGATTTCTAAATGTGATTCTGGAATGTTTGAGAGTCTAGCTTTATATAGCAAAACAATTCCTTGTACATATTTCTATCTATGTTGGTTCAAAAAGGTTAGTGATTTTCATGTGGATGTTACTTTGAAATAGAAGAAGCTGGTTTTACTTGATTGATTCTCCATCAGTATGATATGTTCAGTGGTGTGTAATTATTTATAAGATGGATAAAAACTGGAAGCCCCAATTGGACCCCCTAAGTTGATCATTTTTTCAAACTTATGCAACAGTAAATCATTGAACATGTAAAACATCTGATTAACAAGATTCGTAGGTAGAGCACGAATCATGTTCCACTATCATCCTATTTTATATGATTGTGATGGTTACATAATCTAGGACCTGCAGGGAAGAGAGATGCCGGTTGTCGGTGCTTGGGATGGTTGTTAATAACCAGAAAGCATGTTTGAACATTAATAGATCTAATGCATTTATGCAAAACCTCTAAAAGCTTATCATTTTGTGAAACGGGAAACCGACATTTTAACATGACGTACATATTATGCTATCAGATTTTGTTTGCTTGCAAGTATCGTTATCATATGAATGATCACGTTATTTTCGTGCGTATGTGTCCAATGGTGCACATTAATTGTCTAACGGTTTGCTTGTTTTTGGCTCAATCAACTGAATGAGCTTAAAGGCTTATATGTTCGGCAATAAAGTAATGTTTTTTTTTGGTTAGCTTTTAAGCAATGGTCGGAAACGGACAAATTGGGTATGCTACCGAGGCATCGTTGTCCACATAGGCCATCTTTTTCCAGACAAGTCTGAATATAGAAAAAACAAACAAACTCCCCTAATATTTCTAACTATTAATTAGAGGGTATTTAGTTTGAAACAAATTTCATCATATACTGGATGTGCTTCAGTATTATATATGTGGATTCAAGCCCCTATACTTGCCTATATGTGTAGATTTTTTGCATATTTAATGGTCTGTTTATGACTGTCATTTTTGTTTGTTAATATATTCTTTCAACGTATTTAATCGCTAATTATTATATGAATGAGATGCATGGAAATGTTTGTTAATATATTCTTTCGATGGATTTAATCGCTAATTATCATATGAACGAGATGCATGGAAATGAAAACCCTTTTGGTCACTTGTCAAATTCTTTCCACTTGTGTCTTGCACACTACGAAACAAAGAACTTTCACCGACGGAAACATCCATCGTCAGAAATCTGTCGCTAACAATGAAATACATTTCATCTTTCTTATAGTTAATGGTACTTGGTTTTAGTAGTGTTACTTTATTGGAGATTACTTAATATCTTTCATTGTTTTGTATACAGTTGCTATCTTGAAGGCACTTTTTGAAATAAATGTAAACCAAAGGGGACCAAAGTTCCTTTGTTTTAATTCATTTAGAAAATAAAACAGATGCAAATGTTAATATACCCTTTCTTGCAGCGATGGAGAAAGGCAATGTTATGGAAGCGCCATCTTTGTCCGCCCAAGATGAGGCTGATGCTTTTGTGAAACATGACTACTCTGCTCAGGATGTAGCCGATGCTTTTGTGAAACAGTACTATAATATCCTGCAAACATCTCCTAAAGATGCTCATAAATTTTACAAGGATGAAAGCATCCTAGCCCATCCATGTGCTGATGGTTCAATGAAATCGTTAACAACATTGAAGGTAAGAAACTTTCAGTCAATTACAGAATGAAGTTTACTACTCGGCCATCTTTAGACATAATTTTGACTTAATAGTATATACAACCTTTTCCACATGTAAATTTATCCATTTTAATACTAACTATTATCCATTTCTGAATATTAAGGTTGAGTTAGAAGCTAATAATCCGTTCTTGCATAATTGCATTTTCATTATGTGAAACATATGAAAGTCTTTTCTCTACTTGACCATAATGATGATGTGTTTTTTCGGATTATCATCACTTTAGACTCTGATGACATATAGAACCTGTTGTATCCTGCCCTAATAGAATTCATGAATCTTCTATCTTATAGTTTTTATTTATATTTACTCACTGGAGTGTTGTGTACCTCTTAACGCATGCATATTTTTGCTTTTGGGCAATTTCAGTTGCATATCTTGACTTTGACTTGTGGGTAATTTTCATTTTTTTTTAACTTTGACATACAAATGGTGGCTACTTTTTTCTGCTTCATGGTTGTATAACTTATAAATTCATGCCTCATTTCATTCTGGAGCAGGATATTGATCATGAGCTCATGTCTTCCAATATCAAGGACTGGAATCCTAATCTAAGCACCGTGTATGCTCAAGACTCGATAATGGAGTCAGTGCTTGTAGGAGTAACCGGCTCTTTGACTGACAATGATAATGTGACCAGACACTTTACTCACAGTTTTTTCTTGGCACCACAAAACGGCGGTGGCTTTTTTGTACGCAATGACTTTCTTCAGTTTATCGAAATCAACAAGATTTCAGAAACTTCACTTCCTCTTGATGATGCTGCAAACCATCTGATTGCTCCACAGTCGAATGATACAGGTAATTTGATTACTTTTTTGTTCATTCTATGATTCTAATTGGTAAGGCTTTTTGTTTATCAATGTTCTATGTTTGTTTAGCGAAAGACTCCTCCTTGGAGACTGCAGAAGCTCCCGAAAAGGATCTGACCAAGAAGTCTACATCTAAAAAGGAGGATGGTGATTCATCAAAAGGAAAGAAATCACTTCCTGCTGAACCAAACAAGAAAAGCGAACCCTTAACCCCCCAGCCAGCTCCAAACATGCAAGATGATGCAAAAAGAGTGTCCTATGCATCTATTGTGAGCTCATTTCGAAGAAAAAATAAGTTCTGTTGTAGTTTTCTATTTTTCCAGAAAACTTTTCCGAATTATTATTGCCTTTGTCTGTAGGTGGCAAAAGAGGGTTCAGTAGCATCCATTCCGCCAGCATCTCCAAATGCTGTTGTAAGAGCTTTGCCCAACACTGATAGGCAATCAAGTATGCATCTTGCCATACCCAAACCATCTGCTCTTCCTGCCAAAGCATCAACGCTTCCTAGCAACGTTGCTACAGAAAACATCTACGACTGTAAGCTCATTTGCACGTTATCAGTGTCAAGTTGTTGCATTTCAAATCTTTAATATGATACCCTGAACTTCTTTATGATAATTGTTGCAGTTAAGTCGATACGCATCAAGGATCTACCACCAAAAATAACTCATGACTCACTTCTAGAGGTGGTTAAGAAATTTGGTCCTGTCAAACATAAAAATATTCAGATTAAAGAATACTCAGAGGTCTGGTTTCAGATTTACTCATTTTATATTCTAAGAAATCTAATCGGCAAGTTTCTTTGCAAATGCAAGGGAAGGGATTAGTACAAAGACTCCCCTCCTCAACCTTTGCAAAACCATGAGCCTACCTTTATAATTGCTAATTCTAGTGCTCTTTTCAGGATGGGTATCGTTATGCTTTTGTTGAATTTGATAACACCAAATCTGCCCGCAGCGCAATAGAGGTACCATAAGCTATATGCGGATTGTTAAAAAACAAGAAATCAATCCTTTCTTTCATGTTTACAAATTGTTATGACACTGTTTGATTTGATAATAGCATCACAATTTAAATATCAAGTTGATTTCATATTTTTAGCTTATGAGTTGCAATTCATCTAAGACTCCTAGTTACTAGGGTCCATATACGCCATTGACCTAAATTGAGAATTTTCTTCAACATAACCTTCTGACAAGTTTAGTGGCATTCTGGTCTAACAAAGTAACCAAAGGGCCTCATAAAGAGATCAAATAACGGAAGGCGGAAGGTCCTTTTGGGAAAATGTAGAATAATACACCTACTGAGAGACTCTGGCCTATCAGTATTTAGTAACCCAACCTTCTTAGAGGTCAAGCGTTCAAACCTCACCAAAGGTGAGAAGTATGTGTAATTTCAATTTGCCATATATAAATATTATATAATTAAAAAAATGGCATTCCTCTATAAAGGAGTGACATTTTCGAACTTGTCAGAAGATCATGGTTTTAAAAGGAACTTGTTAGAAGGCCATTTAACTAAAAGACCCTAGTTAATAGAACCCTTTAGTCATGGTATAAACTTTATTGTTGATGTTTAATTATACATAATCAAAATGTTTAGCCTTGTGTCTAACGTAAAAAGATAATTATTTAAGTTCTAAGTTTTCTCCACATTCTTCAGGCTCGCTACATCAAGTTTGAGGATAGAGAATCCGAAATTCAGTATAAGAGATCTTCTAATCAAGGTTTGTGAAAAAATGCCATCTTTTAGACATTATATTCCTTATTTTCTAGAAATTTTTACGTTACGCATCATCTGCAGTTCTGCCCTCCTATTTTGGTACACGTTTTTGGCTCAGAACGTTGCTTAGGAGGCAACATACTAATTTGTTCACTCAGTTTCACAAAGGTAGTAGTTGCTATGGAATTGATTTTATCATCTTGCCCTTGCAGGAGGGTATAATAACATGGGGAGGTCACCATCTGGAAAGGGAGGATTCCGAAACGACAATTTTTGGCCTCGTGATGGAGAAGGTCGTGGTAGTGGCAGTTGGGGTAGGTACAATGAACATGAAAACGGTGGTGACCCTTCTGGACAAGCTCGAGACTATAATCAAAGGCGTACCAGGTACTTTCAAGATCATTCACAGAAACAACCTCTCTACTCCTCAGGGTAGAGGTGTAGAGGTGAGGTTAGCATACATTATACCCTCACCAAACCGAGCTTTGCATGATATTTATTGGGTTCGTTTGATTTGGTTTTAGGTTCGTCCAAGATCAAGCTCGGAGCTTCACATAAGCTATAAATCATAGTGATTAAACTTCTTAAAAGGTGCGGGTTTCCTTCTTTGAATTAAAGGTACTTAGAATTTTTTGTGGGTTTTCGTTCTAGGTTTTGATCAAAGGATTTTTGAGTCGAATGTTTCTTCTTGGTTTTCGGTATTATTAAGGGTATACAGAAAGATCAGCCATGGTTTTTTTTTTCTTTCTAAAATAGCTTACAAAGATGCCCAAGAAACAAAGGTTTTATGGCGTTATTTGACTTTTTTTTTCTTTCTTTCAAACTCATGAAGTGTTTGGTTATGTAGTTGATTGATATAAACCAATACCCAATTCGAATTCAAGGACTTGGACCTAAATCTAATATACAAATTGAATGTTTACTTTTCTTTTCTTAAGTGCGGGTGTCGAGGCTAATATATGTGCACCTCGACTAATCCCAGAGACCTGGAGAACAGTTAGAAACTCCGTAGTGGCGTTGAAGGCTGAATTTGGATGTTCATATGCATCTTATTGTTGCATTACTTAAAACCAACTCCTTTGGACCCACTTCTTTTGGTACCTAGTAATTTGGCTATTATACCGTGATATGTTTGCGGAAACGGTTTCTCTTTCCTTTAGGATAGAGGTATCAAATCTTTCCAGACCCTACTTCATGTGGGATTCATTGGTTTCAAGTTTGGTTTTTTTTATTTAGGGGGACTCTAATCTCCATCCTTGCTGGGGAATATGATCACATTCCCAACTTCGACATTAACGGGGAATAGGGATCCCAAACGTGGAATTGAGAATCTTTTTCTCGTTTATGTGAGATATTTTAAATCAAATATGTTAAACACTATAATCAATCTAAAAAGTATGTGTTTAAATTTCACATATTTCTAAAATTTTGCTTTTATGGAGTGTCTAGTAATCATATTTGAACAAAATCACATCATACGTAGTTGTTTGATCACAAATACTTTTGATTTTCCATGTTTTTTATCAAAAAAAATGTATAGAAGGTCTAAATTTAAAAGATACTAAATCTATTTCTTGACAAATAATATATTTAATAATATATATATATATAGAGAGAGAGAGAGAGAGAGAGAGGAAGATCAAATGTTAACCATCATTTTTGTGTTAACTTTGAAAATCCTTTCAACCAATCAAATTCCATTATTCTTATAGGTTTATGTCTTGTTCATATATATATATATATATATGTATATATATATATATATATATATGTATATACGTGGACTTAGATATGGCGGTTTTTAACTTTTGACACCCTTGTCCCCATTCCTGGTTTTTAACTTTTGTGAACCCCTGTCCCTATTCTTGGTCCTCGGTTTTGCGAGGAATTCCCGTCCTGTTGCGATGAGTCTCATTTTCATGCTTATTTTATATATATATATATATATATATATATATATATATATATTATGTATTGGGTTTGGTTGATTTGTTTATTATGGTCTATTTTTATGATTTGAATTTGGTTGTATAATCTATATTTTGCAATTGTTAAGTAATTCTCTCAACGTTAAAAGCATCCACTACGGGTAACCTTGCAAAGGTTCATGGACCGATTTACTAATCAAGCTTTCCGTTAGGAAGAAGTGGTTCTTGATGAGGTGGACAAAGAGGTCCACGTGTTAGAACCTCTTAGTGAAGAAAAAATTAGGGCCAACATATTTTTTTTAATAAAAATATATTTGAAAATATTACAATTTGTATTTTTAATTTCTAGAATAAATCTCCATAACTAGTCATATTTATTTTCTTATTCACAAGTACTTTTTTCCTAAAATTTACCAATCTTAAATCTATTTTATTTATTTTAAAATATATTTATATTATATTATAAAATATTTGACAAAAACTCTTAAAAATTATATTTTATATATGAAGTATTGCTTATTGATGTATATTACTTAAAATTCAAGATTACAAGTAAATTGTACGTAAGTACAACTTATTAAGCTCCATGTTTGAATTTTTGTAACTAATTATAGATAAATATAATTAAATACAAGATAAACTTYTWATTTTAAATATAAAATCTRAAATATAATTAGRATAATTATTGARTTCTAACAGAATACTTAGTTATTATCTTCATAAAAATTATATTATTAAATTAAAAATAAATTAAATTATAATAAAAAATTGAATAACAAATTAAAAAAAAAGGAACTTTTAGATTTTTTAAAATTTTTATGATCTCTTCAAATTTATATTTTATTAAAAAAACATTATTGTTTGCTCAAAACCACATATATTCGTATTATAACATCGACAAAGGGTCAAAGGCTAAAAAAATAAAATGAAACATATAAATTGAAATATATCTTACTGCATTGCGCGAGTACTCTTCTAATTAACTATAAAGTAAATAAAATAATTTTTTGTTAATTATGATAAGTAATTTTGAAGTATTATATAAACTACAAATGAGTTCATGATTGAGAATAAAAGGTTTATGAAATATGTAAGAAATAGAAAACTAATTTACCACTTCAAAAGATTTATGACTGCTCTTAAGTATAAAAAACTCTTACTTAAAGAAACCTTATAACACCGTTAAGTCATTGATTTGAGCAGTTAAAAAATAATAATAAGAGCTTATACTTTTATTTTCGTATTTAGTTGTTCTTTAATTTTGTAAATAAATTGCCTACACTCTTGTTCTATGTTTATAAAGCAGTATTCAACTAATTTTTTTATGTTCAGAAAAACACTGTATCTTTTTTCCATCCTTATAGATTTTTTTTTTGAAAAACATAATCGTGGTATTATTATTTTTTTGTGAAAAAATTAAATAAATTTCAACATAAAAGAAAATTTAGGGGCCATTTATCTCCGTGTAAACACTTATTAATAAGAGTTAATACTTTTATTTAACTTAACGACATCGTATGTAATATTTTTTCTTCCCGTTAAGTCCTTATCGTATAAGACTTTCAATCTTTTATCATGTTTATTTGATAAGATAACGGGATCTATAAAAGATTAATAAGTAAACGTTTAGTATATAACCCCTCAGTAATTAGAGCTCCATCGACATAAATAGGCTTGAATTGGGTTGAGTTTTTATTGAATAATTGAAGCTTGGATCATTTGGAATACGTGGAACTGAATTTTATTTTTATAAAAAATAATTTAAAACATAAACAAGAGAAATTTCATTTATCCTTGTTTCGATTGTTGGGATTGCTTATAAAACAACTTATTAACTTATTTCGGTGTGGTACCGATAATAAACATTTTTGAGTGTTTGGATAAACAACTTATACCGGTGACAAATCAGTAATAAGAAGTTTTTGAATAAATTAAACCCTTATAACTTATAATAACTTGATAAGTGTTTTTGTAGAAAAACATAAATTGTTTCAAATAAGCAATCCCAAACACCCACTTAGAATCTCATTTGGGAGTTGAGACGGTTAAAATTGAAATTCTTAAAATTTAATTAGTGATTTTACATATTAATGTCACACACACACACACACACACACACACACACACACATATATATATATATATATAAATCTATATGTGTGAATGTTCAAACGAGAACACCTATATATATATATATATGTATGAACGAACGAGATCATTGTTTGTTTTCGTCCACTTAAAATATACCGAAAATACACACTTATTATTTGCTAAATGGTCCTAAATTTTTAAGCCTTAATTCTTACGTTTTTGACATGTAATTTAACAAAATTTCAATATAAATAAAATTCCATACCCATTTAATACCAAAACATTAATATTAAGAAAATAAAATAATCTTTTAATTAATAAGAAACGACAATGTAGTCGCGGCGTCATATGAAAGGAGTGCCAGCAGGTCCTCCCAACATTTAACACGTGTCTAATCTTTATTGACCCATTGATTTTTCGACACGTTGCATTACCCCACTGTACCTGGACAAGTGCTTTTTTCCAAGAAACAAGCAGTCAATAACACACGTGTCACCACTACTCCTCTTTCGTCGTTATCACATGCCCTTTCATACCTACTTTCTTTTTAGGCCCCCTACCCTTTTTTTTTTTTTTTTAAATTGTCTCCTCTTCATTTTCCTTCATGCGGAATTTCTATTAACTCCGTTTTTTAAACATTTTAAAACATATAATTAGGTCAATCAAATTCATTTAAAACATATATTTTATTGTAGTTTTATGATTAATTTTTAATTAAATACACTTTAAAATTATATTTTATTATAGTTTTATAATTGGTTTTTAATCAAATATACACTTAAAAAATATGTTTAATTGTAAATTTGTAATTTGATTTTCAATCAAATACACTTAGAAAGCTAGAAATACATTAATTTTTTTTTTTTTGAAAAAAATCAGGCCGGTCCTAGGCCAGGTCTTGTTTTTGGATGAAAACTATAACTGGTTCTTAACCGGCGGTCCCAATCGGTCCCGGGCAAGGCAGGGCTGATCCTAAGTCGGTCCTAGTCCCCGGTTCTCCGCAGGTTACGGGACGGGGCGGGTCCATTTGGCAATCTCTACATAAGTGGCATCTTCATGACTTGTGGACCTAGACAAAAATTACAAATATGCCACTTGCGAATAATAAAAATTATAACGTTTTTTTAGCTACCTCCGCAAATGCGATGACTCCGATCTACCCACAAAGTATAAGTGTTTATCAGATCATTTATCTTATCGGATGAACATGACAAGAGCCGACGATCTTTCCCCGTAAAAGCAATGATAAGGATGGATAATTTTACCCCATAAACATTTAATGAAGAAATTGTTACATACGATATCATGCTAATGGACTACAGTCTTAATCGGTAAAGTAAGTTAGAGGATGTTAACTCTTACCAATAAACACCTACCAGCTAATCGTTTGGGTAAGGCCCCTCAATTTCACAAGTTCCTACACCTCCTCTTGTGGTACCAGGTCACAAGAAAATCTCAAGGACTCATATAGTCAAGTTACAAAGTATAGGTACAATTCCATGAAATTTCTGAAACTTAAAGGAGGTAAATTGAAAAATCTGTCTTCACTCGTGCTATTGTTTCCTTTTCCCCTTTCAACGATGCTCTTGTTGATTTGCTTCATTTCCTCTTCCCCATCTCTAATCATACCATCCAACATTTCCTTTCTCCCACTGTTTCCGGCGATTACTTGTTTTCACTACATCCAGTTCAGCCAATTCGTTCTCCAGTAATTGATTCTTGAAGCAATTTCAATTTCCAAGCTCGAGTGAACGATATGCGGATTATAACCAGTTTTTTCCATCTGGATTTCGTCAAATCGGATCATGGAGTACTTGGATGTCTGTTGAGGAATTGATAGTATTGAAAGAATTGAATCTCGTGTGTGGAGGTTATGGGTGACAGAACGAGCAATGAGATGGAGAATTTGTCTCTGCAAATGAAGAAGAGGTTTTCGAGAGATTTGTTGCAGAGATTTAGGGTGAATACTACATCTACAGGAGATCCGATAGGATCCGACCCGGGAGAAGATACGAGTGATGAGATAGAGCTGAATCTCGGATTGTCGTTAGGTGGACGATTTGGTGTAGACAAGAGTAATAGTAAGTTAGTAAGGTCGTCTTCAATTGCTGCGATTTTGCCGGTGGTAAAGGACGACGACGTTTTGGGGGTTAGCCAAGGGAAAACGGGTCCTGGCGGGTCTTATTCGGGTTTGATCAGAACGTCGTCGTTGCCGGTGGAAACGGAGGAGGAGCGGAGGAAGAGAAAGGAGCTTCAAAGTTTGAGGAGGCTGGCGGCGAAGCGACGGCGATCAGAGAAGCAGAGGAATTTGACGAAGGTTGAAAGGGATGAGTATGTAGCGGCTATGGGCCGGGTGGGGTCGTCGGTAGGACCGTCGCTGGGATCCGGTAACTGGGATTTCGGTGACGTTGAGGGATTGATCGGGAAAGGAGGAACAATGAATAATGGTTCTGGTGGTGGTGCCACCTCCGACGGCAGCGGTGGCGGGTTAACTCAACCGTCATTGCCGGGATCGGTGGAATCACAAGCTTCAAGTATGTCAGAATTTGAGAGCAGACATTTTCAAGGTAATAATATTCCACTGCATTGCTGGATTGTACTTTATGCTGTGTTGTTTGTACTTTAGTGTAAAATATCTGGTAAAGTTAGCAGCATATCTTTGTGTAGATATAACTTTTCAGCAATGGTTAGAAAGTTGAGGAATTGGGAATCCCTAATACCAAAAGCTAACCGGGTAATCATTTATTGTGAACATGACAAGTACCAAAAATCTTATCTAGTAAGTGAGGATGATGACTCTTATTCGGTGATTCGATGTCATTTTGAAGGCCAAAAATCTTAACTGGTAAGGTAAGTGATTGTGGTTACTCTTTTTTGATAAATGCTTACCTTCTTAATGTTGGTAAACGGCCCAAGAATTGATCGTCAAGTTTTCTTCTTGAGTAACGGCCCTTCCACTCGGCACCGTCGGGTCGCTACGGCAGACTTTTGTCCCTGCTCAACGGGTGGGTCTTGCATACAAGCTCACAAGTGACATGGCAGCCAGATAACCATAAGAAGCACTCTTCCATTTGAATATGATAATTTGAATCTAAGGGCTGCTCAATTTAACCAATTTTGACTGCTATTTCATTTCAAGTAGACAAATAGTTATATGGAACGAGAAATATGACTTGAAATCAAGTCTTTCTGCACTTTTTTATTATTATATAATAAAGCAAAATACTAACAACGTCTAACCCGGATACTGCTGAACCAATGATCATTTGGTGTCTTTTTGCACTTACGGCCGAAGTGTCGGCTTCTGTCAAAGATTCTACTTTGCTTCAACTTTTTAAGGTCCAAGCAAACAACTTTTGAATCCACAAAAAGATATCGATACATGTTCTCTAAAGTGTTTGCAGAAATCTCGTACCTACATTGATGTATACGTAACAGTAACTAAAAGTTCAGGTCTTGATGTGTGATTATATTCGAGATAATGTCACATGTAATAGGTCAGGAGGTCATGGATTTCATTAAAATCTCATTTAAGGTTAGATACAGGGTCTTAAGCTCAACGCCCCTGGTTCAAAATAGTCTGCTTCCGTAATTGAGCTAAATAGCTACTGGGATAGATTCTTTTGATTTGGTTTATGTGTTGGATTTCGTCAATTCTCTTCTGTACTAGCAACAAAGGCTTAAGAGTTGTTTGGTTGGTTTTATATTAAGTCTTGTATGGATAAAGCTTTTGTGTGAATTAATATGTCTGTATAGGTTGGAAACATTTTTGATTGGGAGGGGTTTTCATAGATAGAAGGAGCGTGTTGAAAAATATTTGGAAAAAAAACTTGACTTCTTGCATAAAGCTCTCCTTAGAAGCTTACTGGATAAGTCACTTTCTATATCATTAAACCACTACCAAACAGTCATCCATAGCTGACCGAATAAGCTGTTAGTCCCATTAAGCTCATTAAGCTACTAACAAATGGACCCTTACTATGATCATTATTCTTTCAGGATCCAGCACTGAAGGCGAAACGAGTGTGCAATCTGGGCAAGAAGGAAGCAAGCAGGATGACAGCAGATCGAAAGTGGTGAACCCTGCGGTCCAAACTTCAAGACCCAAGACAGAAAATCCATCAAATAACAAAGGGAAAGAGATGAGATCGAATATGGTCGACATGCCATGCGTTTTCACACAAGGAGACAGTCCTAGTGGCAGAAGAATTGAAGGTATCCTGTATAAATACGGGAAAGGTGAAGAAGTGAAAATAATGTGTGTTTGCCATGGGAGTTTTCTGTCGCCAGCTGAGTTCGTGAAGCATGCTGGTGGCACGGACGTCCTCCATCCATTGAAGCATATAGTTGTAAACCCTAATTCTTCTTATTTGTAATGATGGACTAGTGTGTTCTGTCATCATCCCCTTGAAGAATTCAAGCAAGGGACGCAAACCTATCTAAGAGATGAAGTAGATTATTTTGCTAGTCTTTTCATTTATATTCTTCCTTCTTGTTGGTTCTTTTGGCAGGAGACTAGTGTGTATCAAGTAGTAGCAGTGCCCTACATACCTTATTTTCGGGTGGGATATACTGGGTTTGTTTAGTTATCTGTTACTCTCATATCTTTAATATGCAAGGAGGAACAAAAATTTGCTCAAGTTGGATGAAAATCATAAATGAACAAGAGGTACTTACAACCTGCTACATCATTTACCTCCAATCTCCATTTTGGTTTTCTGGGTTCATCTTGGTCCTCATCCAGAATGGCACCCACAATCACATCTGTCATCAATCTGCCATAGAACAATTCTGGGCCTTATGGAAATAAGTTGAAAGCTTCTTCTGCTTGAAAAAACACTAGTGAAAAGTTGAAATTTTATTGACATCAGGCATCAAAAGAAACAGGAACTTCTAACATGTGATGTCCAACTAGATTTTCTTAGCGGCAATGGCAAGTACATGACCATGAGCGAGAGCAGGTAAAACGAGGTCTATAGCTGCAACCTTGTTTAGAAGCCAGCTTTGGAACTTTCGCATCCAGCTTCTTAGGCGCAGCAGCACTCGTAGGTGCACTTGCTTCCATACTGCAATGAACCAAAGTGAACATATCGCTTCAATATACACAATTGAACAAGAAACTGTTTACTGAAGCTTTATGAATGAGAAACTTACGCAGGAGATGAACAATTTTTTACTGGTTTTCCCTTCAAACAGCTCATGCTTGTCCAGCAACTATTCCAACATGACCACTTTGGAAGGTTGCATGACCACTTTGGCAAGTTACAGGAGCCACAATCACCCGATGACCAACAAAACCTCTTTCTGTCACACAAAGTAGAGGTGCTTCTCTTTATCAAAAAGAAAAAAGTAGAGATACTTCACCTCTGCGGGCTACTTAGGTGTAAGAAAGTGAAACACATTTTAGAAGCTTAGACTCTGAGCCTATTCTGAAAAGGAGATGAACTGTTTCTCTTTTTCCTGTGCACAACTCCGCAGATCCAAATTTTGTATGAGCACCTCATAACAGCAATTAAGACAGTTGGGATGCCGTTCTTTACGGGGGCAGTACTCTGACAAGATGGGATAGGAAAAAAACAGAATCCTGGTAATGATTGTGAATGTAGGCAGACTGTTGAACCACATAAATACCAGGTTTACATTCCCTACAGCACTTGTATGTGCTTGTTGATCCCTACGATAGTGCCCTCTATTAACTAATCTAATACACTCTAGTAAACTAGTAATCAAGTCCACTTTCAAAGGAGGGGTATGATTGGAATGCAAGTAGATATCCATAAGAGCATTTCGTTGGACAGTTGCTAGAAAATGAAAGAAACATTAATAAGTAATTTAACTTTCAAACAATCATTCTTGGTTTTTGTTGCAAACCAACCATAGTAGCAATAGAACAGTATAGCTTGTCAGACAAGTAATTCGGTGAAAGTGAGAAACTAGGAAAAAAACGAAAAGAAAGCCCCATCTTTCTTGGCACTACTTGTCCAAAATTGCTCATTCAAAAAGGTACGTAGCGAAAGAATGATGGTCTGCTTGCAACTAAAGTAAAGGCAATTGTTCAACAAGTTAATAACTCTTGAATAAGTTTCATGGGATCAAATATGTAGCTTACTTTGGTTTGGCAGCAGCTTTATTGTCGAGCTCACTGGAGTTGAGATTGGGTAAAGGAGATGGTTGCCATTGATGACCTTGAAAAGCCACTTCGTCTGCATGATGTTCAACTTGAGTTTTCCACCGAACAACCTTCTGGGGCTCATCTAAACTAGACTTTGGAACTTCCAATTTAGATGGGGTTTCCACTTGTAAACTATCCACATCACTTTCCCCACCCATCGGACTAGAATGTGCCCTGAAACTCATCAGATCACCAGATTCCATTAGTTCCCCAGATGCATCTCCAGCAAATAAACAGGCATGGTCGAGTGTCAAACTATTGGTAAGACCAATGCTAAAAAGTGACTCGTTGGAAACAGAACTCCATTCCAATGACGTGGAACATCTATTAGTGAAAACAGCCGATGGAGTCCTGTCATGCTCAAATTCAAGATCTTCAGCTCTTTCCATTACTTGGATGGAAGGAGATTGCGTGAAGAACTCGCTATGTGACATAGATTCCTGGGTGCTGTTTGAAACTGTTGATGATATTGCATCAGAAGAACGACTGGTAGATTCTGATTTAGTAGAGATTTCATCTCTAATGGGTGATAGAGCAGTATTCCGATGTTTAGGAGAAACAATAGGGGTAGTGGACCTGGAGAGCGGCTCTGGATCCATTTGGTTTGAATCTACTCAACAGCCGTCCGGTTTTGATTTAACATGTGGAAAAGGAGGAATCACAGAACTTCTGCGCAAAGATTATCATCATTCAAATCAGCGTCTGAAATTCTTCCTTTTCCATGACAATGACCAGGATCCGGTCTGAAAACATGACAAGCTAAACTGAGTTTCACCATACTAGTTATGAAACCATAAGATACAATATTCATCTCTTTCTTGCATAAGAACAGGAAACAGACTGTGTAACGATATCAAGGACACATGCATAGAATCTCACTAGTGAACAAAAACTTACAACCTACATTTGAGTTCTATGTGCACAACCTTTAGTTGTATAGTAGTAGTTACTTCAAAATGGATTTGTGTACAAAGGGATGTAATTGTTTCGTAAAAAGTGTAAATATTGATGGGCTCTCATGCACAAGAGTTCAGCCAAAAGTTTGATCCTAGTATCAACAGTCGTTTTGACCACAATATTAAAAAATCACCAAACAACGCTTTGAAGCGATACAAGTATAGGTTTTTGTTTTAATATCATCCAAATCATTGTTCTATGTTGTCAACTATTCTTGGATTAACTCCCAGCAGATACTAATAGATCATGGGTGATTATAAGATAATCTTTTGACAATAAGAAGTCTTATGCCAATCTCGGGGGTTGCTCCAGAAGAGATTTTAGATTATCTCACATGACATCTTAACCCCTTGCGAGTAAGCGAGCGAGAGATACAGAGAAAGAACTCATATATTCAAACAAAAAAATGGATCATGTTGAGGTAACATATTAACCTTTCAAAATACTATGTCCACCATATCTAAATACCTGAAAATTGCAGCTGTACATATAAATAAAGCCTCCCTTATTTAAACAAACACGCATCCTATGAAACCTCATGACAACATGTGTTATTTTATGAAGCTAAGAAGTCCATGGAAGTTAATAGTTAATACTTATCTTCCCTGATTTTGTTTCTTATCAATGATCCAGATTCCAGTCTTAATAATGCAGTGGAATCCTTTACTACTCATTTTCCAGCATTTACAAGTAACTAAACATCACAGTTTGGTTAGCTTATTTAATTTGAACAACAAAAAAAGATGAAGTATCATCAAATCTTCAAAAGATCATATACAAGTGACCAATCGATAGCAACATTTCATGGTCATTAGAAACTCTAATCATTTTAGGATTCTCACACTATCTACAAATTCCCTAAATTTCATCAATACCAACGACATTACAGCATCAGAAATCGAAAATAGAACTCAAATGGAGCTGTATATCACAGTTCACCTCCTCAAAACTCATTCAAAAATCCTTTCCAATTTCATAGCAGAAACCGCACAGAAATCAATCTCAATCGTATACCAAAACTTAAATCCAACACATTCACATCGAACAACGTGCAGTCGAATTAGATACACAGATCACAATAATATAAGTTGCGGAATTACCTCAAGTGGAGCTGCCTATCGAATACGAATTTGTGAAATATATTCCCCTTTGAATTGTGCGGGGATGACGAAGAGGGGGCAATGAAAAAAGAAGAAAAATTAGGGTTTTTAGGGTTTCATAACATCAAAGATCGAAAGGCTTACCGATATTTTCGTGAGGTTTCTGTTTTTTGAGTACAGCAACAGATTTCAGATTCCAACTCCGTCGACTTCCCTTTCGCGCCATCATGCGAAATGCCTTTCCTCACGCTCTTTGCACGTGACTTTATATCGAATTTTGAAGTAAATAACCAAGTGCTGGAATAGCTCAGTTGGTTAGAGCGTGTAGCTGTTAACCACAAGGTCGGAGGTTCAACCCCTCCTTCTAGCGATTTATATATAAATTTTTAATCATTTTTTAATGATAAAAAAATGAAAAAAAACAATAATTTTAACTTAAAAATTGTTATTAAAATCGATTACGCTCGAAATTACTCAATTTTGTCAACTTTTTTGTTAAAAAGATTCGTAAAACACTTATCAAATTTTTATAAGTCAGAATTATTTAACTTTTTCAAAAACTTTTTATTACCGGTTTAGCACCGGTATAAGTTGTTTATCCAAACACTCAAAAGTGTTTATTACCGATGTCATACCAGAATAAGTCAATAAGTTGTTTTTATAAGCAATCACAAACATCCCCTAAAACATAAAATCCTTACGTTCTCGTTTGGTTTGAAGGAATGAAATGAATTTCGAGGGATTTGTATTTTAAATGAATTCCAATCCCTTGTTTGTTTGTTAGATTGCCCGGATTTGAAATCTTTAGGGTTTAATTGAAATCATTCAAACATAGAATTTTGAAATCCTTAAGTTTTCGTTTGGTTTGAAAGAATGAAATGAATTTCAGAGGATTTGAATATTAAATTAATTCCATACATTTGTTTGTTTGTTGGATTGTCCAGATTTGAAATCATAAAATTTAATTTAAATATTTCAAACATAGGATTTTGAAATTCTTAAGGAGTGCTCGGGATTTTGTGGCATTGTATGCAATAAGGTTTTAAAAAATGTTAAAAACATTTGTTTTGTAATAATCGATTAATAAAAATGTAATTCAATTATTTTTATAATTATTTATAATTTTTACTATAAATTATTTATAAATAATGAAATCTAGTTTCATTCTAAATCCTACAAACCAAAATCTATTCCAACCCAAATCCCTTCAAATCCAAATCCCTAAAAAAAACCTGCAAACCAGACGGACCTTTAAATTAATATTTTTATACTTGTGTAAATTAAAAATCAATCACATATATAGTTATAGGCGAATTTTCTAGTGAGAAAGAAACTTATGATGAAAAGCGTAAGAAGAGATCTTTATCTTTGATCACTTTCATTCCCACCCATAACTTACGCTTTAGAAGAAAATTAATCTGATGCATATCAGGACACCTCATAAGTATTGATATTCAATTATCATTAATATAATAACGAAGATCTCCTTTTACACTCCAATTGTGTCACCACTTTAAAAAAAATTAGGTTCCTTCTTGTCTCGAAAGACCCTCGCTCTAAAGGGTGTCCAAGATTCCCCACTGTTGCCACCGCAAGAGTCCAGGCCTCGATCGTTTTGTTCGGGAATTTTCTATTTGGCACACCTTAATTTTATTTAAAAAATATTTTAAGTATAAAACAAAAATATATATATAACCCAAGACCCAACAAAACCATAGGATGGTTACATAAAAACCGGCCGGTTTAGTTGATAGTGTATAAAAACATAATTAAATAAAGGGGGCATTCCGAGAATTGAACTCGGGACCTCTCGCACCCTAAGCGAGAATCATACCACTAGACCAAATGCCCAGAGATGTTATGTGGTGCCTCAGTTTTTTATAAGTATGCATTATCCTGATTAATTTTTTTGGTTTAATAAATAATATATTTTTAAAATAAAAAAATGTAATTCTAATTTGTTGATTAGAAGTAGATCGACAAATAAAAACCAAGAGTAATTTCTTATTTTTATGCCATTTATCAAACACTTATCTTGGTAAGTGGTTACCGGTTCAATTACTTTACCGGGTGAACTTACATAACAAGAATCGAGAATCTTACCTTGTGAGATAGAAAACAAAATTCAAAGTCTTACCCAATAAGTGATTGTGATGACTCTTATCCGGTAAACGCTTACCAAGTTATGAACGCTTACCATTAATTTATTTGATGGCCGAAAATGCAACTCATAAAGTGAGAGCAGTGATTCTTGTCGGTACACACCAACCCAAACAAAAACTCAAATCAGTGTAATAAATATTCATATTTAATGTAATTTATTTTGAAAAACGATTACTAATTTACCCAGTAAACTACTGATTTTGTAACATTTAAGAACGTAAATGCATGCATTAAATGTTGTACACCATTGCATAACTACAAGTACCAAGCATTCAAACAGAGATAAAGCTGATAGAAAAGTAGTTGGCTCTTAGATATACAACAGGCTGAATCTACTACTACTATGAAATTGATAAAATACAACCAATAGGTCGCAATTCAGATTACAACCTAAAACGTGGCCAAATGTCGTCCGTAGATATATAAAACCTTAGATCACCCTCGACCATATCAAGCCTGAAACCAAAATGGTTAGTACCATGAACCCGCTTGTGATCTGGTGTGCACCCGAGCTATCGTTGATTCCCGTTGTTCCTGAAGGAGCAAGTCCACCAAACGATGGGTTCGTATTGATCCCGGTCCCTGTACCGGTGCTGGTGCCCGTTCCAGTTCCGGTACTAGTCCCGGTTCCGGTTGAACCTGGTGGCGCGATGGTTGGGTTTGTTGGAGTTGAAGTACCACTGCAAAAGAGTTGTAATCAAATACCTAAAATACTGAATTCATGAATGCAGTTCACAACTTGGTCTTAATGGTCTCATCTCAAAACCAATTGGTCGTGCTTTAGAAACCTAAAATTGAGTAGGGAATCGGGAGATCACTTACAGAGTGACATCTGACATTGATAAAAGTATAGACATGTTATTCATTATGAATGTTGTAACATATTCATCGTGAATGCGTTATTCATCACCTCAATATTCATCATAAATGTATGTTATCATGAGGGACACTTGGCACACCGTAGGCGGTTCCGGCATGCCTAATCAATTTTTTTTTGATTAACCTGGATATCCAACCCGCTATGCGAGCCGATAAATCCCAGGGCGACCACCTGCTTTGCAGATAGCCCGGAGTCCCCGCATTTGAACCTCCGTGGCCACAAGGGGATTTTTATTCCTCTTTGGATTCGAACTCGGAACCTCCTGGTACTTTTGACCTTTGGAGTCAAGCTCAAACCAATCAGACATCACCTTTGTGGTTCCTAATCAATTTTCTGTTCTTACTTGTGGAATATCCTCTCATCTCTCTCTATATATAGAGAGAAAGAGGGTTCAAACAAGAACAAGAACCAAATAGAAGAATACGAAAACGGCCAAATCACACATAAGCCTGTGTGTATGGCCTGTGGGCCTAAGTCACGTGAATCACATATGATTAGACCGTTTTCTTGTTCTCTTATTTGTTTACGGTTCACGTATGAACCTCGCTCTATATATGTGTGTGTATATATAGAGGTGGTTTCAAATACAACCCATGTAATTCCTACAGAACATAATCAATGCTTATATTAGGAAACAGTCGAGATATTTATTGACAAATTATCCTGATCCATTAATTATGATTGATATATATATATATATATATATATATATATATATACATACATAGAGAGAGAAATTGTTTCAAATACAACCCGTCGTATTTATACAACCAATACAACCCAATAAATCGAGATATTTATGGAAATGATGAGAGTTCATTTACTATAATTTGAATATTTATGAAAGATGAATATGGTTCATTAATTATGATCAATACTTTATATTAGGAAACAATCAAAACTTTTACGAAATCACATATTCATCAAATTAAATGGACGGTTGAGATTGAGTTATATTGGTTGTACAAATATATATATATATATATATATATAGAGAGAGAGAGAGAGAGTTTGTTTCAAATACAACCTGTTGCATTTGTACAACCAATGCAACCCAATAAATTGAGATATTTATGGAAATGATGAGAGTTCATTTATTATGATTTGAATATTTATGGAAGATGAATATGGTTCATTAATTACGATCAATACTTTGTATTAAAAAAAATCAAAACTTCTATGAAATCACATGTTTAATCAAATGAAATGGACGGTTGAGATTGGGTTGTATCGGTTACACAAATGTCCTGGGTTGTATAATAACCAACTCTCTCTTTCTCTCTCTCTCTCTCTATATATATATATGCAAGATGATAAGATGCAAGATGAACGGCTAAGATTGATTTGTTGATACCACACATGTTGATTTAACCCTAATAATTCTGAAATCATTCTCAAGTTTCACCAACACACCAAGAACACACACACCCACCAAAAGGCATCATATTCTCACTCCATTACCCAAAGTTTGAAATCTTAAAGATCCAAGTTGATATTTTAAAAATGGAGATGACTAAAACCACAAGATCTACTAACAATGCTTTCAAGAAACACACCTTGCAGTTCCAGAAAAGCAAGCAGAAGATGCCCCTGTAAATTACCATCATCAACAAGAAAAAATCAACAACAGCTAATAAAGATGATAACTTTCAGAAAGGGTAGGATTGTAAATTCACCAGATGGAGGTGATGTGACCACAGTGGCTGTGCCTGAGAAGACACAGTTTATTGGAGTTTGGCCTTTCTTCTGGAAATAGCTGTTAACAGCATAGTTGCAATGGTCTTTGACAGTATTAGGGTTAAAACATGGACCATTTTGATTGATCTGACCACAATCAGCTCCAGCTCCACAAGCATAATCTATGTTCTTTTGAAGAACTGAATCACTCACTCCAGTGTTGCACACACAGTAAGATGCACCTGGTTTTCCAACATCAAAGAAGCTGTTAATTTAAACCCCAAAACCAAAATCTAAGAGAAACCCATTTGAGAAAACCCAAAAATACAGAAACCCATTTGAGAAAATCCAAAAAGAACAGAAACCCATTTGAGAAAATCCAAAAATACAGAAACCCATTTGAGAACATCCAAAAATACAGAAACCCATTTGAGAACCAAGAGGATAACCAGAGAAAGAGCAAGAACAGCCATGATCTTGGCCAAAATGGTAAAAGAAGAAAAAAAAAGTGTTGATTATTATCTAGAACAGAAAACCCATTTGAAAAGAAAAGCAAAATGGGAGAACTTGATCTTACTTGAAGAGCCAGCCATGGCAAAGATGATGAGCATAGGAAGAGCAAGAACAGACATGATTGAAGCCAAATTGGTAAAGGTGATTGGTGATGAAAGTGTATGATTAAAAAGGTATCAATACCGATCTTGAAATGCAAAGGGAAAAGGGAAAGGGAAAGGAAAAGAAAGAGAGATGGAGATGTGGTGAACCAAGATTTGATTGAAAGACAAATAATACGAGAACCAGTGACGGTGGGGAGGGTGGGTGAGTGGGGTGGCAGGCAGGCTATATGGTCACAACTTTATATTCTGTGTATTAAACAGATCCAGATATTTTTACTACCCAAATTTTTGGGTCGTTTAAAATTGCTTATATAGTATGATATCGGTAATAAATATTTTTAAATGTTTGGATAAACAGTTTATATCGGTGTCAAATTGATAATAAGAAGTTTTTAAAAAAGTTAAATCATTCTAATTTATAATAAGTTGATAAAGACTTTTATAGAAAAAACATAAGCTGTTTCAAATAAATAATTTCAAACACCACCTATAAATTTTGTGTCCACGTGGCTTGTCGAATATAGCATGTTATGTTTCTACCGATGATATTTGCGGTTTATAAAAATGTTTGGTTTTGATCTCTTATTCTAACGGTTGTTAAAAAACTTCATTAATGAATGCATTTTCATCTAATCAAAAATCTCAGGGATAAAAACCGCAGATCGGTTCTGATTAGGTAGAAAGAAAAAATCGATAAAATGACAAAAATGTTCATCATTTAAAAGAATTTTCTAACAGTCATTGAAAAAAGCCATCAAATCTGAATTTTCTTGTAAATCGCGATAATTATCTTGTAATTTCAAAACAATAAAGATAAAAAGTGTTATTTTCAACAAACCATAAAGACCAAGTTTACAGTTTACTTATATATGTTACATATTGAAATAAATTGTCGACATTTCTTTTATTAACCTGGATATCTAACCCGACTAATCTCAGGGAGACCACCTGCTTTGTGGATAACTCGGAGTCACCGTATTTGAACATCCATAACTGCAAGAAGATTTTTATTTCTCCTTTGATTTGAACCTGACACCTCCATACATTTTAACCTTTAGAGGCAAATTCAAACCAATCAATCACCACTCTTGTGGTTAGTGTCGACATTTTTAAAAGCAAAATGTCATATTTTTCTATTATATTTTTAATTATTAGTTAAAACAAGAAATTCATTTTTATTATTAAAGATAAAATCATCATTTAATTAATTAAAATAAATAATAATTCCATATTTTTTTTATGAAAGTTTATTTTAAATAGAAAAAAATATAACAATAAATTGTTTGAGATTTAACATTTTTTATTTTACAATAAGTACTTTCATATGCTGATTTTAATATAAATCCGTTAATATTTAAAGACAATTAATTTTAAAATTTATTTTTGTGTTTATTATAATATAATTAAAAGCTGTTTTGTTTATTACTGCAAGTACATAAAACAGTGGAATCAGAAAAGGAGAAAAAATTATATATGAAATTCTCAACGTCTTTAAACTCACCTCCATGGTCAAAGTTAACTCATGTTGGTTAACTTAACCCAAACCATCACCTCCTGTTTTTCCCTTTTCTTTCTCTCAACCCACATTCATTTATGATCCAATTTTTAGAATTGTTTTATTTTAATGACATTTATTTTCAAATTAAAAAAAAAAGAAAAAAAATATTCACGTAAATTATGGGAAAAAATTTATCTAAAAATCGAGTTTACGAAGATGCGTAAGTAAAACATTTGCCTAAAATTTGGTTAAAATGGAAATTCAATTAAAAAATGACTAAAAAATGAATATGGTTAGAGATTGATTAGTTTGGTCAATTTTCCTAAATAAATTATTTATATGATTTAGGGGTTGTTTGACGGTTGTTAAATAATTTAATGCAAAATAATTAAGAGACTCTCATGATATAGTGCAAAATGAAATATAATTATTTAGTAATTGTCTAGAATGAAATTAGGGCGCTGAATGGTTAAGGGGGACCCATAATATAAAATCATTCAGAGGGTTTTGGAATCTTTAAGAAACAGATTTTTTTTTGTCAAACAAAATTCAACTTTTAACGATTTAAAAATTGTCTCTTAATGTAAATATTAAGAGGTAAATAAACAACCTTAATCATTTGAGAATCTTATATATTGTGATAACTATTATCATAAGGTATTGTTTAACATGATTTTTTTTTCCATCTAAGACTATAGTTTAATATATTAATTAACTTACATTTGTCGTACAATGTGTTTGTTTCATATGTATTTAGTTCACAATGTGAAACTTTTTAGTTGTATTTTTTGTTTCCCAAGTACATAAAAATGTTTACATGTGAAACAAATATATATGTAAAACAAACAAATTGTGAAACAAATATACGTGAATTAATACACTGAAGAAATGGTTGCAGTAAGATGATGAATTAATACACTGAAGAAATGGTTGCAGTAAGATGATGAAAGATTATGTGAAACAGCAGATGATGCACAGGTTTAGGGAAAGGTGGCAAGAGTGGTTACGTAAGACATAAAAGAATTGGTTGCAGTAGCGTCAACAAAATTATTCAAATAGAAAGAAGCACAAAAATCTGGCAAAGGGTCATCAGTACTGAGGATCTCCCGTAATCTTAGATAGGTCGTCTAGGGGTATAAACGATGGCAGACGTGACGAGTTTGGCAACGTCTAGGGGTATGGGAGAGGTGGCAACAATGATTGATATGAGTGTTGAATGTGTTGTGGTTGGCAGGGTTTGTAATTTGGATGAGAGGGGAGTATTGTGAGAGTGAGGCCATAACAAGCGTTAGAAGTAGTTGTTTAAACCCCTTTACGTGCTAGTAACGTGATGAGTATTTCAGTCATTTTCCAAAAAAATTACATTTTTTACTGAAGTATTTAGAACTTCTGTACAAACAGTTGCAATCCAAAAAATAAAATAAAAAAATAAATTACATCATTATTTATTCGAGTTCAAGATTTATTTTCCTAGCACAACAATTTTATCCTCAGGTAGGGGCGAAGGCACATGGAATGATACGGTGGCACCGCACATGACAACGTTTCATGGTTTTGTCATAAGGGAAAAATTACGTTTATAAAGGGTGTCATCATATTGATTTATTGGGTGTCATCAATTAGTTTTTTTGAAACTGAAATGTTAACACAAGACTTTAATGGTTGAGATGGTAAACGTTTATGTCTTTGTCCTCGTGACTTTGGTTCATCCTCCATGTGAAGGCACATAACAGACTTTATAATCTCCGTTAGAATCAGGGACTAAATCTGCAATGAGATATAAACTACAAGGTTATTACTGTTTGAAACTTTAGGGACTAAAACTACCACATGTACGATTTTGTATATTACGATGGGTGAGGGTCCCACAGGTTTTGTATATTTTTGATGTGAGGTCATAATTATAGCCTCTTTTTCTTGGTTTTGTGGGGGATCGCTGCTCAATTTTATTGATCGACATGTTAAATATTATGATTTTTTTAACTATGGATGTTTAAATCAGTTTATATACATCTTAATTAATATTATTTTTATTGAATGTTTTTATAAATAAAATTTATAGGTTCTTAAAAGAACTACCATTAAAGAGAATTTTTATAAGAATCTGTAGTTTTTTTAAGAACCTGATATATATATATATATATATGAGTTATTATACAACCATTTACATTTATACAATCAATATAATTTAATCTCAATCATCTATTTAATTTGATGAATATGTGATTTCATAAAAAAATTGATTGTTTCATAATATAAAGTATTGATTATAATTAATGAACTTCAGTCATCTTCCATAAATATTTAAATCATAATAAACGAACTCTCATCATTTTCATAAATATCTCAATTAATTGGGTTATATTGATTGTACAAATGAATATAGTTGCATTTAAAATATACCCTATATATACATATCAAGTTGAATACGATTCGTAATTTTGTATATATTTTAGCACACTTAAAGAATGCACCTTATTCTTCTACAATCCCTTTTCCAAAAGTCAGTTTTCATATTACTTTATGTACATATGAATTCCTAAAGGTGTTGGTTTCCCATTCATGCATCTAGTATTCAAAACATCTCTCTTTCTCTATATAGACTTTATATATATATATATATATATATATATATATAGAGGTGTAGTTCAAACGAAAACACCTTCATTTTACGAAAACGCAAATACATTCTTATCACATATGATAATACACATGAGGAGACCTGGTAGTATGCGGACGATGTGTCCTGCAACTTAGATCGCACCAAAGATCATATGCGTCTCTGATTTAGTTTATCATGTGATGGATTATTATATACCATCAATATAATACCTTTATCACATATAATAATACACGTGAAAGGGCTTATTGGTGTAAGGGCGACTTGACCCGCAACCTAGATCGCGTCAAAGTTCATCCGCGTCTTTGATTCAGTATCACATGTAAAATATCCCACATGATTATCTATAGGTGTTCTCACGTTCTTGTAACGAAGTTTGTCTCGTTTGAATCGTTTCTTATATATATACATATAGACAACAAGTTATATGAGAATAAGAGTTAAGATGAAAAAGTATAAGAAGAGATTTGTACCCTTAATCACTTTTAATCCCAAAACAAATCATGAATGACACTTTAAAAGGGAATCGATTTAATGGTTCTTTTCAATCATGATTGATCTAAGGATGGAGATCCCTTCTTATCATTCACACTATAGCTACCATTCTCACCAGAAACCAACAATATATATGTATATATAATTTAAAAATATTAAAAATTACGAGAACATGACATCAAATTTCGTGTGTTCATCTCATCAAATGCAATGTAATTAACATATTAAATGAAAGGTTATAAATCGATTAAATGTGTTAGACGTAAATTTGATATTAAACAAAAAATGGTATTGGAATGTTTTATTCTATAAAATACCACATAATTATTATATGTGATATCATTGTCATGTATTGATTCACATATGAATTCTAACATCATATTTTTATTCATTATCAAGTGTGATTAGTCTATAAGACCACATTCTTTATAAATGATAATACAATTATCATAAACAATAAAGTTTACAATCAGATGTAAGTAATAAAGGATTATGCATTTGTGATAACTAATACAATTGTTGTATATAATTATGATTGAATCACATGTGAATCATGTGATTATAAATAGTATATCGTTTTTCTTTATATGTTTATTCATATAATATGTGATTCTAAAGTGTACCCCATTGTTTTCTACCATGACAGGTGTTTTGAAGTTAAAGCAATCACAATCATTACAACTATGATTCCTATTTTATTTCTTGTCAATAAAGTTATGAAAAATGAAAAATCCCGATTGGTTTGAGTTTGGTTCTAAAGGTTAAAAGTGTCTGAAGGCTTCGGGTTTAAATCCAAGGAAAAATAAAAATCCTTTTGTGGCCATGGAGATTCAAATACGGTTACTCCAAGCAACATATAATCATCTTGAGATTAGTCTGCTCGCATCACACGTTGGACACTCAGGTTAATAAAAAAATAAAACCCATTTAGGGTTTCACCATGCATACTTTCACAATCAAGAACAACAACTTGAAAATCCTTTTGCCACGTTGCTTATTTGCCCCCACTATACTATGATCCATCCAACTATTCAAGAAATTACAACATAAAAATCAAGAAAGATGAAAGTTTCAAAACAATTTGAATGCTTCATCCCCACAGAAATATGGCAATTTTCTGTTTAATTTGTCTGTAAACATGCATCTTCTAGGCCTCCTTTTGTGCAGTCTTCTGAAATAATTCGATAAATTTTCGAGTTTGATTACAAAAAAAGAGGAATACAAGAGTATCTCCAACAGATTCTACAAAATGGCGAAAATAGAGATTATGGGCAAATTTTTTCGTTTTAATAGGTTCTCCAAAATCGAGAAAGTACGAGAGAGTGTGAAATCTTCAAATTGGAAAACTCCGGAAAATGATTACAACAAAAGAGGAATTTTTTTTATTATATTCCCACCAATAATAAAACGATACTAAATGTTTGTGAGAGATAAATAATATTTTAGTATATGTATAAAGTAATTTAATAATATAATTAATATTGTAATATCGAAAATAAAGAATGTTGAATATAATTTTTTTGGAGATTTTGAATTTTGATTCTTTATTTTCGAGAAATTATGAAAAATATGTCGGATATGCTCTGATTATAGAAATGGAGGTAACGATTCTTACTCTTTTTTTCTCTTCAAGGTTGGCTTTGATCAAGGAGTAGATCGCAACACCAGCAATCGCGATTGCGGTACCAATTCCGGTTTGAGTTGAGATCCTATTGCCTACGATGGTTTACGTTCTTGAAAGTATTAGAAAAATGAACGAAAAGCTCCAGGTTTTCAAGTGAATGTTGGGTGTTTGTAGCATATGTATATATATATATATATATATATAATTACCGAACACAATGATGGAGAAACCGATCACGAAAACACGCTTCAATACGTTTCCGACAGCATGAGTGAGCGGGGCGACCCTTTCCAGAGTGTTGGTAGCAACCTTGATACACAGGGATACACGTAAATAATTAGCCATATGACAAATCACCAAGAACCTAAGAGCATCTCCGACAAGTATGCTATATTTCTTTATCTTCTCCCAAATTTTTGGGTCCGCTCCAAAAATGGTTGTCTTTTTTTTTTTTATTAACCTGGATATCCAACCCGCTATGCGAGCCAACTAATCCCAGGGCAACCACCTGCTTTGCAGATAACCCGGAGACACCGCATTTGAACCTCCGTGGCCACAAGGGGATTTTTATTCCTCCTTGGATTTGAATCTGAGACCTCCTGGTACTTTTGACCTTTGGAGCCAAGCTCAAACCAATCAGGCATTACCCTTGTGGTTAGTTATTTTCGTGATTAAGCCAACGGAAAATGATGTTTGATTTGGTTAATTGACGTTGAAAATGCAGGATTCGCGGTTCACCTGGTTGTATAGATGATAGAACATCCCGATCCAAAACAAATCGGACACAAACTTAACCATGCCAACTTTGGCTATCGCATCGCTGAATCCATACCGCATTAACTTGGGTCCTTCAATCTGATAGAAAAATCAAGAAATCTTGAAAATCAAAGTGACTAAGAAGAAACCGAAAAGAAGAAGAATACAAGTGATGAAGTTATCTTACAAGTATTGCTGGTGGGAGGCAAAACAAGAGAGCGATTATCGAAATGTAAGCATACACATTTGTGCTGTCCATGCCCGTCTGCCAGTCAAAACCGAAACAAACTAACCCATTTGAGATTGCTTTATATATACACACACACATGTATATATATATAGAGAGAGGGGTTCAGGGGAAAACCCCACAAAAATGAAAAACCGAGGAACACCAGATAACCATTCATGCGGATGGTATGACATGTGTATACAAGTAATTGAGGTTGTTTCTTGGTTTTTATGCACGTGTGCATGTTATGCACACACATGCACTGTGCATCCCAACCAGATGAAAGGTTACCAGGTTCTTCCTCAGTTTTTCATTTTATTAATGACGAATATGTGTGTGTGAATGTGCGCATGCACGCATATCTAATTCACTGCTTAAATTTGTCAAAAGATCGATCTTACCATGGCTTTCTTAGAATAGATGCTTCTATAAGTGAAAGAAATGTTAGAAATCATCGCGCTTGTGAACCCAAGCCAGTTGAAAGAAAGTTCGGTCAATGAGGCCATTGATACACCTACATACACGAGCCATAACGCCATTAAAATCACTAGTTTTAGGATGGAAAGTCGGTTTCTTCTCATCAAACCAGTCTTTCGGGATACGGGCTTGTGAAAATAAGAGAAAGAAAAGGAAAATTTGAAGCTCAACTGACACGGGTTAATCATACGAGAACCACAGAAATGTTACAAACCCGTGAAAACCAATTTCATTGTATTGTTTCACGTGCTCTTTTTTCATTGAAGGCTAGAATTTAAGGTACTCTTTGACAACATCAAACTTTTTGTGTATTTTTTGTTTCACAATATGAAACAATACTGTATATTTCACAATGTATAAGTTAGGGAAATAGTAAAAGATTTACCTATGACAACAGGGGCCAATGACATCCATAGTGAAAGGGGAATCTGGTGGCCTAAAACAAACTGAGAAGCTGCAGCACTGAAGAATGGCTCCAAAGCTGTTTACACCACTAAAAATATAAGTACCACACCAACTCAGACTTCCCGAGTCATTCGAGTGAGTTGACTCGGCAAAACACATCACTGAGTCAAGTTAACTCGATCCGTTACCTTTGATGGTATGTGTAAAAGACACGGCGACGGCAGCAAAGGAGACGTTGGACATAACATGTCCAAGAGCATGACAAGCTGCGACAGGTGTAAGGACTCCCAAGAGATCCTTGTTGATCGGCTGGAATTAACATGAAAAGATATAATAAATGCGTTTGAAGTTTATATACGGCAAAACTGACACACAATATTCAACTTTCATAATTATTTGAGTAAATTACATGATTGATTTATGTCGTTTACACAAAATCATAGTGTGTGTCTCTAAATTAAAATAATTATGGAATACTTCCATGTGGTTTACATTTTCACACGCCTTTGGTCCCTTTGTTCTAACACCGTTAGATGATTTTGTTAACTCAGGTAGTTTAGAGGGGTAGTTTAGTCATCTTGGTCATTTAATTTATTTTTTATTTTCTATTAAAACAATATGGACCAAGAAATGTAATTTAATCTATTTTCTGTTAAACCCACGTGGACATCAAATACATAGGTGGGTTGTTAACTTGTTATACAATCTTACAACCAAATTAGAAGCGTCCGTTTGATCATCAACGGTTACCATTTGATCTGTTGTAACTATCCTTAATTTAAAAAAAAAAAAAACCAATGGACACTGGATAGTGGGTTGCATAGCTTGTGTGTGTGTGTATGTATGCTTTTGTGTGTGTATCTCTATATAGAGGGGGATTTAAAAACAACCCCTCTAAGTTATACAACCGATGCAACCTACCTATCTACCGTCCCTCCTTTTTTTTTAAATTAAAGATAATTACAACAGATTAAATGATAACCGTTTACGTGTGCAGATATAGTGTTTGTATGTAAATATTAATAAAAGAGATAAGGGAGTGAAAGAGGTGGGCTCAAAGTTTAATAGATTACATTTTTTGGTCCCTATAATTTTAATAGAAAACAAAAAAAATATGAAATGACTAAATTGCCCTTCTAGTTAACCTGCTTAACAAAATCATCTAAAGGTGGTAGGAGAAAGGGGTCAAAGACGTGTGAAAATGTAAACCACGAGGATGTTTCTCATAATTATTTTGATTTAGTGACGTACAGTGTGATTTTGTGTAAACGACAAGGACCAATCATGTAATTTACTCTAATCATTTATATACTACAAAACTTAGACAGAGTCTTTAACTTTCTTAATATTTAGAGTAAATTACCTTTTTTGTCCTAGTGATTTGTTAAAAATTGTGATTTTCGTTCTCGTGGTTGAGAAATCCTCGTTTTCGTCCCTATAGTTTGTAATTCAGTGTTATTTTCGTCTTTATGATTTACAGTTTATTGTTGATTTGGTCTCTATGGTTCACAATTCTCTATTGTTTTGGTTCATTATACTTAAAGGTGGGAGTTTAGTCCAGGGACAAAAATAACAATAAATTGCAAACCGTAGGAACTAAAATTGCAATTTCTAAACCACAAGGACAACAATGGAAATTATCAACAAACCACAGGGACGAAAATCATAATTTACTTAAATATTTATATACCGGAAAACTCACACGCAACTTTCAACTTTGATGAGACTTGAACCCCTGACCTTCATAAATGTTAGGTCACTGGGGTACAACTAGACTAATGACCCTTTGATAGAAAGATAATGGCATTGGATCAAGTACATTGTGCAAAAAAGATTGTACAATGAAAACAGAAAGAAACTCACCGCACGTTTAGGAAGACCGATGGACCAACTGATGAGACAGTATGTGACACCAACAAGAAGATGAACAACTGAAACAAAGCTGAAAATTGAAGAAATGTATCTTGTAATCCTGACCATATAATTTAAGACGTACCAAAAATATGAGTACCAGATACTTACATTTATTCAAAATTAAAAAAGAATGAGGTACTCCCTCCGTCCTAAAATAAGTGTCCACAATAAAAAAGACACACAGTTTTAGAAATATGTAATTATTACACATTTTAATCAACAAAATGACAGTTTTGCCCTTAACTCATAGAGAGAGAAACTTCCTCCTCCTCGTAATTAAGAAGGTAGAATTAAAAAGTAGACATTACTTTTAAAATGAACATTTATTTTAAAACAAACTAAATTAATATTGTAGACACTTATTTTAAGACAATAAAAATAGTAATATGAACAATTAAAATGGTTTGGTAAACTTACTAAGGATATGGGAAGTAATTGTAGACCTTCTTGTTGAGTATGTTGAATATAACATTCAAAAAGTACCTACATAAACAAATTTGGAAAAACCCATTATAATATCAATGATAATGTGATTGTAATCGTCCTGAAATTAGTCGGCTCGCATAGCGGGTTGAATATTCAGGTTAATAAAAAAAAACTTTATTATAATATCAATGATAATGTGACTGTAGTCCATACAAATAAAAAGTGTAAATACATCTGATTTCAAAATACATATTACATAATTAAAATAGTCTAAGATTACTAAAAATATTACGTAAACTAGTGGTCTGATAAGTCAAAACCGTAAACTGCACAACATAGTACGGTTTGGTAAAAATGCAAGCTGCACCACAAAAGTTCTAAATCGTATTTTACAGTGAGGCGTTGTACGAACGGTTTGTACAGTTTGACGGTTTGGACGAACACCCATAGGACCATTTCAGGAGGTCAAAATTTCAAACCTCACCGGCCATCAATGACTCAGTGAGTAACGTTCGTGAATTGGTTGAACCGGTTAAGCCAAAGCTTGTTAAAGAACCTTCGGTTAAGCCTAAAGCCCGTTTAAAAAGCGGATTCAAAACCGGTTAAGCCCAAGCCCAATCCCAATTAGACCCAATAACCATAAATTCTGGTCTAATAACTAACCCAAGACTGAAATTCATTTATAGTCCCTATAGTTTGGTGATTTTAACGAATCTCGTTCTTATTTTAAAAAATTAACAAAACATGCCCTAATGGTAGCATCTTTTAACAAGTTACATCCTTATGGTTGTCTTTTTTAACCGGTTCGATTCATGTGGTTGCAGTTTTTTAACGAGATGAGACCCCGAATGAATTGACAAGTAAGGTTTTGCAGTTACATTAGAAACCTAGCTCGTTGCAAAAATTCGACCACAACGATCCGGCATGTAAAAATTTCAATTAAATAGGGACAAAAATGTAATTTCACTCGTAACCCCATATAATGCAATGATTAGCTTACCAAGTAAAGAAAAAGAATCCGGTAACAAGAGCTGGGTATCTCTCAGCAAAGCTCTTGGGAGCCTCAGTTAATGCCGACCTGTTGTGAATTTACAAATATACCCTTCGTTAAACAATTTTCCGACGGTTTCTCCTTTTCTTTTTCAAAATTTTAACGACGAAATTCGAACACAAACCCCTCGATTTCCCGATCACCACCATCCGCCGATGCTGCGGCTTTTACCACCGGAATTTCAACGGAGCACCGAGGTCTCAGTAGTTGATTCCAACCGCAGTATCTCAATTGCTTACCGGAGAATTCAACTGGTCTCTTCTCCGACGAGTTCCTAGCTGAAAGAAAAACCGGTTGACTTGTACGTAGAGCTAAAGTAGGTGAGATTCTGCTTGAGAAATTGCTAATGTTCGACGGTTTTGCAGGAAGGAGAGATAAATGAGACATCAATGAAGCCATGATTGTTGTAAACAGAATTAGAAATCGGAAGTTCGGTTCTGATTAGGGCTAAATTGAGCCCTAGAACTGTGAACGAAACAGAGGATCAAAAGGGGGTTTTGGAGAATGATATATTTTGTGATCGATGAGACAAAAGAAGAAGAGCTGTTTGATTAAACGATGGAATCGAGGTCGGTTATCGGGGATTAATGGCGGATAAAGCAGAGAGAGATGAAAATCGAGTTGTTATTTTGTCTGAATCAACAGAACAAAAATTTGAAATGAATTTGAAAATGGGATTTTGGGGGTTATTTGTTTGTTGGTGAAAATATAACCAACATCATTGACTAAATTAATACTTTTAAGGGTTTATTGGGGTTTCTACGAAAACAATAATTAAATAAGAGAATAAGGGGTTGTTTGGAAGTTATTGAATGATTTGGTGCAAAACGATTAAGTGGTCAGAATGGTTAAGAGTCTCTCATGATATAGTGCAAAATGAAATATAATTCTTTGGTAATTGTTTACAATGAAAATATGGCGCTTAATGGTTAAGGGAGGTTCATGATACAAAATCATTCAGAGGGTTTTAGAATCATTAAGAGACAAACTTTTTTTTGCCAAACAAGATTCACATTTTAACAATTCAAATATTGTCTCTTAATGGAACTATTAAGAGGTAAACAAACAACCTCTAAGAAAACGGTTGAATTACATGTGATTTTACATTAAAGTCATGAGTAAAATCATATGTGATTCACCCGACTTTGATAGAGACCGAGGTCGTGGGCCACGTTGCCCTACACACCCTTACGTTTACTATTAATGTAAACTCACATGTGATTTTGTACATCATATAGTCGTTTTTGTATTCTTTTATTTTATTACTGTTTTCGTATGAACCTCCATCTATTGACAAAGGTTATGAACCAATTATATGAATTGAAATTATAAGTTTCGGTTTCTGATTGAATAAACAATTAAAATATTATAGCAGTTTTTTATAATAAAGGTTATAAAAAACGGCAATAGAATTGGTTTTGTGATTGTTTAACGTCTTACAAAACATATGTTTGCAATTTATAATACATTGGGTCCCTACTTCTAATACTGTTAAAAAAAATTCAATTAAATAGATTAAGCAGAAGAGAATTTTAGATTTTTAGTCATTCTAAAAAAATTCTATTAAAAACAACAGAGACCAAACATGTAATTTTGTATGTATTATATCATATATGTTCATTACCAGAGTTTAAGTTAAGAATATACTTCTGCCTTCTGAATTAAAGCGAGCTATTTGAAACAACAGAGACCAAACATGATATATTAAAGCGAGTTTAAGTTTAAGATATTGTTTCACATATATTTGTTTTATAATATGATATTTTCATACGTATTTATTTCACATTGTGAAACTTTTTTTTCGTATATTTTTTGTTTCACTGGGTGAATATAAAAAAAGTCTCGCATAGATTTTTTTTCCACCATGTAAACACAAACATATGTGAAACAATAGCTAAAATGATATATTTTTTTTATGAAAAAAGATAAGGTAAAAAAATATTTTTATACCGGTTTTCTCAGGTTTGTAACCTTTTATTGACTCTCATTTGATTATTGTTATATATATATATATATATAGAGAGAGAGAGAGAGAGAGAGAGATAGAGATATGATAGACTTGGGATCATGTGAGACCAATCTGTTTTCGTAAGACCGGTGATACCATCTTTTTACACTTGAAACTTCACAGTAAAATAATGTGATTGTAACATTCACAGTATAAAATATGTTTTTAGCCGAATTCCACCATTTTAAGGGATTTTCTTTCAATTTTTTAGTTGATATCTGTTGTATTTTATAATTTTTTACTAAAAGTTGATATATATGAGAATCGGTTAAATGTATTGATGTTGATGGGATTCTGGTTGAGCCTTCCAAGTCCGCCCCAAATCTGTTAGGAATTTTATATATGTTTATTTTTTGAATATAAGTTTTTTTTTATAGGGAGGGGGGAGACCCCTCCAGATCAAGGCAAAAAAACACTAAAACGCTAAAAGCAGACAACAACGCGCTCGGGTGGGAGAAAACCTCAACCACCAGAATAACCAAGGCACCCGAGGGGAAAGAAAGAGGAAGACAGAAAAGAAGAAAGAAGAGAAGAGAGGAAACAGAGAGAAAGAAGAAAGGGGAAGGAAGAGAAAGAGAGAGGGAGAGAGAGAGGAAGAAGGGGAGAGAGAATAAGAAGTCAACCACAAGGGAAGGACCCAGTCAAGCCGAATATAAGTTTTAATAAGTTATTTAAATATTCAATTGACATGCCTCATTTATTTTAAAAACAATACGATTATTTTAACATTTTAGCCTATTTTACATTAAATTTATTAAAAATACTCTACATTGTTAAGCGCTTATCGGTTCAATTACCTTACCGAATGAACATAACAAAGACCAAAAATCTTAGCGGTTAAGAGGAAAGTCAAGGATCGAGAGTCTTACCCTATAAATTAGATCGGTGATTCTTACCCCGGTAAGTGCTTACCGAGCTATAAATGTTTACCATCAATCCATTCTGATGGTCGAAAATATTATCCCGTAAGATAAATAGAAGTAGTGACTCTTGCTGGTAAGAATGTACCCAACAAGTATTTGGTAAACGGCCTCTGAGTTTCTTAACAGATTGATTAAAAAACAAATTGTTGAATAATAAAATTTAATGAACATTTTATTCCAATTAATAATTGAATAAAAAATGAAAAAAGAATCATAATGTTTGGTGGAAAGGCCAACGATAGCTTTCAATTTTAGTTTGATGTCATGACTCACGAGGCAAGGCATGACATCTTACATTTGCAATTAACTCCCACAACCACCCATTTTTATTTCTATTTTTAGAATTTATTATTTTTCTAAGGACAAAACGGTACCATTAAAAAAACACGAGGATTACAAGGAAAAAGACATCAAAAACGACGAAATACGTGAGATACAGAAAAAACCAAACTTGATGAAACAATACCAACTAAACCAAAACAAAGAGAAACCAAAAAATGACTAAAAACAGAGAGGCCGAGGACTCTTGAAACGAGAACCGGACAGTCTAGTAGCACCCAGAACCAACAAGGAGCAATCCAACGACGACGATACCTGACGGACCAACGACACCAAGAACCAAGAAAATGTGAACTTCTTGAAGTGCGTCGAGATCCACTGAAACGATAACAATTGGACTTCAAAAAAACGATCAACAGGGGTTGCAAAATGAGAAAACCTTGTTATTTCGATGTCTCCAAATCAAATATAAAGTTGTCCAAATTATTGCCTTCCAAAATGGCTGATTTCTTTTTCATGGAGATAGATTGTGAATCCACACACGTAAGCAGCTCTTCAAGCGAGAGAGTTGGTCGCCCACAAAAAAATATCATTCCATAATTGAAATATCAACAGACAATGAACAAAACAGTGATCCAAAGTCTCGATTTCAAGACTCCAACACAGGCTAAGTAAGGACTCGAGCAGTTTTTTTTTCTTCTGAAAACTCGCTTCAGATATGAAACTTTGAGTATCAACTCAACTTATAACGGAATAATAAGAACTGGGTCGTTTAATTCCGTTTTATGGAGATAGACGACACAATCGTATATTATTTAATATTTTAAGAAAAAACAATTTTAATTCTAATAATTATTTAATTTTTTACATTTTAAGTTGTCAATAACGATTGAGCCGTTCGAAAATCTTCTTAAATTAACATTTAATATACATTAATTTAATTAGAATTACACATAAATAATTTAATTACTATGATTGTAAGACATTAACTATATAATTAGTACATATTTTATTCGAATATCACAGGGACGGATCCATTTTTTTCAAACGATAAGAAAAAACTATAAATTTTTTTTTCCAAACGGTGATACTATTTGACTATAAAAATGACAATAACATGATTCGAACTTGGGTCAGGGGTTGAATAAAAGCTTTACAAATAAACTTTACCAAATAAAACTGTAGTTCAAAAATACATACGGTGACACATAACAGATTAATAGGATTGCATCTTTCATGAACCTAATTTTTTTTTACTCTTCAACGAAGGAATAATACGGTGGCACGTGCCACCGTATGGACCACTATATATCTGGCCCTGAAATACCAGAGCAAAAAATATGCAATTGTTTAAGTATTAAAAGTAATATTTTATTTCCATCTAATTAGGAAATATTAATTTACTAAGGATTTTGCTGTCTAAATTTGGAAAATGGAAAACAAGATCTGACCTATCCGTGGATTTAGCCATTAAACATGCATCATTTTAGCAGAAACTTGGCCTCCCATTACTAAATATATTCATACACTAAATCATGTAATTTTTATTTTTTATTTATCATTTTATATTTGAAAGATGGATTAAAACATTCATTTTATAGTCATGTTTTTAAGTTAATTTTCAAACTAGTTACTTTTTACGCGTAAACTTTACTTTTTAATAAAAAGAAAAAAAATGGTATTTGTGTAAAAAAGTACAAATTGGTGTAAAAGAAGTATGTAACTAGAAGGTTTTTGGCCTAGCGGTATCGTAGTTCTTGACCTTTTAGGAGGTCAAGGATTCAATCATCACCAAAGGTGAAGATGATGTGTTAGTTTATTTGTTATATTTACCGTATATAAATATTATATACTTCCAAAAAAAGCATGCATTTGCATACATAATTGCTTGTTAATAGCTGATTTGAAAATATAGTGTGCGATTCCGTCAATTTCTCCTTTTATATTGGGTAAATTACCTTTTTAGTCCCTGTGACTTGGAAAAATTGTTATTTTTGTCTTTGTATTTTTGAAATTACTATTTTCATTCTTATGTTTTGTAATTTATTGTTGTTTTATTTTTGTGATTTACAATTTATTACTGTTTCTGACCCTCACAACTATTTGTTATTTTTGTCCCTCATACTTAAGGTAGTAGTTAGGCTTCGAAATGAAAATAACAATACATGGCAAACCATAAGAACGAAAACCACAATTTCAAAACCACAGAGAAAAGTCACAGTTTTTAAAAAATCATAAGGACAAAAAACATAATTTACTCTTTTTATATTTTAATAGTTTTATTTGCAAGGATGATTTCAAATAAGAAAGTTAAATATGGTGAAAAATAAGGGCAAGTTGAAAAAAGATTAATATTTGAATAATTAAAAAAATTCATTTCAAGATGTATATAAATAATCTTTAACATCAATTCACACACACACACACACACACACATACACACACATATATATATATATATATATATATATCTTCTTCCTTTCCTATTTCTCATGTTATTTAGCCTTTTAGTCCGAAATGAGAAAAAAATGAAAATACAAATAAAAGAAAAAATAACTCAAAATGAAATAAAATTATATGTTAAATAATCGATAACGTTGGTTTAAAATTCATATATGCATATCTTCAAATAAGAACCTTTTCTTCTTAACATTTCGCCTTATCATTTGAACCGATCCCACCGGTTCTATTTATAAATGTAACAGTAAAGATGTGATTTTTATATAATAAAAAAGAAAAGAAAATAAGACTTGAGAAAGAAACAAAAATATGGTATAAAGAACATCAAGGAGCAGAGTTCAACAAAGCTAAAGCTGAAGATAAAAAAGAGGACCAAAAATCAATGTGGATCAACTTTGATAACCTAACTGCTTCCACAAACAACAGAAGAAATATTGATTTGATCCCCATTGTAACAAAAGCCCATTCCCAATTCTTTTGCAAGTATAAACTTGACAGCCCTACCTGCCTGCTTCTTTTTCTCATCACTGTTTCTTCTGCAATAACCATTAGATTTTTTGAGTTTATACACAATAATCTTTAGAGGAGGTTCAGAACAATAATTAAATAAAAGAACATAAAAAGGGCCAAAATCAGGTGCAAAATCACATCTGATTTTATACTGACGGTCGATGCAAGCGTGTGAGGGCGACGTGGCCCGCTACCTCAGAATCGCGTGAATCACATATGATTTTTAGTGTAAAATCACATGTGATTAGGTTGTTTTCTTATTCTCTTATTTGGTTACTTTGTTCTCGTATAAACATAACTCGTAATCTTTATCAGTAAGACAAATATATGAAATGGTGCTAACCTCTCCTTCAGCTGGTTTTGCCTCTTCACCTTTGGGGTTTTCATCTCCTGTAGTAAAAACATGGCAACTCTTTTATAGCTTCTATTTATGCACGAATGCATGCTAAAATAAATGCAACATTTCCTTTTCTAACAAAACTTTGATCCAAGATTACCATGTGTTGATGCATAGATTTAGATTCATAAGGTTTGTCGTTAGATATTCCACTAAGATTAAAAACTTCCATTAAACTATGTATGAATGGCATTTCAGATATTTGATTAAGGGGTGTTTGGTTGGTTTTTTATTAAGTTATGTGCGGATGAAGTTGTCTGCGTATATTAATCTGTCTGTATAGATCGGGAAGATTTTTGTTTGGGGGTTTTTTTTCGTAGATGGAAGGAGCTCGTTCTTTAATTGGGAGGGGCAGGTTCAGAAAAAGCCACTTTCTATATCATTAAGCCACTACCAAAAAATCATATATAGTTAACTGAATAAGCTAAGTCCCATCAAGCCACGTAAGCAGCTAGCAAACATTCCCTAAGATTCAAACATATCCATCAAGCTATGTGTTTTGGTTGACATTGCTTTATTTTGGGACAAGAGAACATAAATACATCTATAGATAATAATCATGCACAATAAATCGCAATTTTGCAACTAGAAGTCTAATTCAAGAAATGTCACCAATTAGGATGTCTATTTATTATTCTTCAAAATGGTATGTGTCTCTTTGCATGTAACTAAATTGTGTGTATTATAGATTAGTTTACATATTCGATAAAGTTCTTATGCAGCTAAATTGTAATCAATCTCATACGAAACAGAAAGACCGGTTAAATTAGGCTAGCAACATTTTTGGATATAAATGCATTAGTATGAAATCAATATTTGAATTACCTCCATCCTCAGGCAAATCAGAAGTCCACAGAGTGAGGTTATCCCTCAACAGCTGCATGATCAAGGTGCTGTCTTTGTATGATTCCTCACTCAAGGTATCCAACTCAGCAATTGCCTCATCAAAAGCTTGTTTAGCCAAATGGCAGGCCCTGTAATTTAATCATTTAAAACAGATCAACGTCAGATTTAATGTCCATTTCTTAAGTTGAAAAGGGTAAGGATACTTGAGTTTACTTCTCAGGAGAGTTCATAATTTCATAGTAGAACACTGAGAAATTGAGAGCCAGGCCAAGACGGATAGGGTGGGTTGAAGGGAGTTCTTTATTTGCAGAAGCAGAAGCAGCCTAAAATGGAAAAAAAAAAACAATAACATAAATGCAAAGTATAAGGTGTTAGCCACTTAAGGAAGAAGAAGCAGAAGGTAATGCACCAAATAGATAAGATCTAATCTTTCTGTCTTTATGGCATCTATATAATGTGATTGAATATTGAGAGAAAAGACATGCCTCATAGCCTTTCAATGATTGGTCTGCAGCTTCCTTTCTTTCCTCATCCGTCTTGAACTCAGCAAGGTAGCGGAAGTAGTCACCCTTCCTGTATCAGTATGAATCAGAACACGATAAAAATAACAATTCAGGAAAAAATGTGAATAGTAGGTCATAAGGTTCAAAAGAATAGTCACACTCCTAGAAATTGTGAAGCTTGTATGTCATAAGGAGGAAATGTGAAATTTAATGTCCCAAAATACGACACCATAGATTGAGGACAAGGAATTGATCGTATCCTTGTAAACCCTCTTTCTTACATACAAGATCTCATTGTATGGGGAATAAATTTGCAAAATCTAAATATTGTAATAGATTAAAAGAAAGACAGAAAATAGTTAATAGTAATTGCAACTCACAAGTTGATCAAATGAAAAACTAGAGTGGAAACCCATATCAGACAGTTCCAGAAAAATGAATAGAAGGCAAACATGACTCACATCTTGTAGTAGAAAACAGTAGCTTCTCCTGAGCCTGAAGATGGTATCAGATGCTTATCTATAATAGCAAGTATGTCACTGCAAATTTTGGAAAGCTCATCCTCAACCTTTTTGCGATATCCCTTGATCAGATTGACATAGTTCTCATTTCCTTTTGATTCCTCTTTTTGTTCGATTGATGACATAATACGCCAAGAGGCCCTCCTTGCCCCTATGACATTCTTGTATCCAACTGAAAGCAGGTTGCGCTCTTCGACTGTCAGCTCAACATCAAGTTTCGCAACATTCTTCATACTTTCAACCATTTCTGCGACAATGAAAGAATTATAATCAGGATAATAATATAACCTCTGGATACACATGCATACAACCAAATGGCCACTTTCCTAAGGAGAGGCTTTAAGTACATCTATTTTCATCAATTTAAGTTGCCAGCCAAAGTTTCAGCATAGAGTTGAAATATGAAACTAATAATGTGATGTTTCCTTTCAGATGTTAATACTCAAAATATTGATGGATAAACAAGTTTTGGCCAACGACAGAATAACAAACCAATTAATGAGCCAATAATGAGATCATGCATGCTTCAAGTATACGTCGGTCCTACAGCTTCTAGGAGTTCTTTGACGAATCAACAAAACCGATCATATAAGACAACAAGGAAAAAGATCCCATATTAATTTTATCACAGAAGAAGGTGACGCAATTCTAGTGCAGGACTTCAAATTCCATGATGCCGCCAACATAAGAGTTCTATTGCACCATCAAATCATCACGTTGCTGCAACTATTAACTTTACTATGCACAGGGATTAACTTCCTAGTAAAATATCTATCCAAATTTGGATCTTAAAAATTTTCCGGAATAAATCAAAATAAATATCAACAAGGAAGGTTATATAAGAAAGGTGAGCGGAATAGTCCCAATTTTCTCAACTATGACTTATAATATTTTTTAGATCATCTTACGACGACGTAAATTAGACGAATCAGATGAACAATTAATCTCCCGTCGTGATATACATATATACACACATAAAATCACGAATTTTGCCATGAAAAAGACACGCACTAAATCGAGCCAAGCTTATCATGTTAAGTGCTCCCGATTCATAGCAAAAATCACGTTAAGAATCAAAAAACAATTTCAATCATGCATCCACTACATTTTACGCCAAATTCTCGATCAAAATCCATTATACACTCCAGAAAACGCCAATGCAAACAGATATACGGATCACAACGACATTTACGACCGATCTAACAACATAAGATGCATATCTCTCAAATGTACATTGAAAAACGCAAAAACAGATAGGAAAACAAGATATGAAGATTATACCATCGTAGCGTTCGGCTTGTTCAGCGAGCTTAGCCAGGTAAACATGATTTTCTCTCTCCTTTTCGCTCGACATATTGTTGATTTGAATCGATGGATCGAATTTGAATCACGGAGACTTTCCTTTTGCGATTACAGGGGAAGACCAGAAAGGGGAGAGAAAGGGAAGGGGGTGGGTTTTATAGAAGGTGGGATTAAAGATCTAGCAAGTTTGGGAGGAGTAAGACTAAATCTCAACCGTCGGATTGAGTTTGAAATATGGGGCACGATACCGCATCCTTCGTATATGGATTTTTGGGGGTTAGTGTATTGGACAGTTACATAAAATAAAATGTAATAAAATATTTACAATACTTTATAATTTTTTTAATATTATAATATAAATTATTCATCAAATGTTTTTAATATCTCATAAAATTTAATATATAAACTTGTAACAGTTGTCTAATAACAATACCAGATATTGTTCGTTTTGTTCACATCTAGACTCACTCGCTACACATCATTTTGACTTCGGTACCATCTAGAACATTCCAAGCTAATCGTACCAGATATTGTCCGTTTAGTCCACACTTGGACTCACAGTTGTAAAACGTGTCTAATAAAGAAGATATTCAGTCTCGTATAATGCAACGTTTGTTTACTTTTCTAACCAATGTGCATTTGGTACCCCAACTAGATATGACAGAACAACTGTTCATTTTGGTAAAACAGAACTAGACAACAAAACAAATAAAAGGACCAACTTACTCCTATTGAGTTGTTATTTATGCAATTTATTAAATTACAGTAAAACAAATATTTTTTAAAACAAAATAAAATTTTCTTCAAAACAATTAAAAAACGACAACAAAATAAAAAGTTTATTTAGTTTACAATTTTTATTTTATCCCTTTTCTATATTATTTTATTATTAATAATATTTAATAAATAACATAAATTAATTAAAATATAAAAACCATACAAAAACAATGTTTTGTGGACAATAAAATGAAATTTTAAAAGCATGAAATACAATAAATAAAATTTAAAGGATGAATAAAATATAAATAAAAAGACGTATTTGATGTTTTAAAATAGAATTAGGTGTTATTTTATAATTATATTAATAAAATATAGGTTTATTCCACCTAATTAAACGAAACACGTCTGTCATGACTAAGTAATCCCTGTTCTCTCTATGGAAGCCATATAGACACAATTAACAAACATACATAGCACTTGAATATCACATTCCACACATTATATAACTGGACACACCTTACCTTTCTCAAGATATGTTTGTTTCGATACATAACGTATTTCCGCTCGAAAAAATGAACGAAAAACAACAACGAAAGCACGAGACATATGGTGTAACGAATTGCTTTGGAAGTATTTCAAAAGAAAAAAAGATTCAAACCGCGCGGCGTAACAAAACTTTCTCTATTCTACATCTTGCAACTCTCCTTTCTTTACTTCTCTTACTAAAAATAGTAATACAACATGCCTGGAAATCATGTCACCTGACTTGCGTCCAGTACGCATCGCAATTTCATGAATTTCTTGCATCATTCATATATGAATATGAGATCGGACGGTTAGATAGAAGGCCTTTTATAATTCATTTTCTTAGAAATGGCTTCTGGCATACAAGTAGTCTCTGATCGCTGCCATTTTCAAGATCGATTACCCTGGCTTCCCATCGTATTTGTGTAGCAATCATTCGTGCCTTCTCTATAGGGCCCACCTTATCCGAAAGAACAACCCAACCCTGAAATAAAAAGTCGAGACATATCGGTATTTCGAGTTGTATAATACAGTGCAACAGATTTGTATTCTACAGCCTCTTTACCCTTTTGGAAAGAAGATAGAGGAAAGGTCTGATACCTTTTGGGACGCACGATCATTTACAAACTCAATAAATCATACAAACTCATAAACCAGTTTTCATGTGTTGTTTCGCACATATAAAACATCACATGTGAAAATGCAGTTTTTATACGGTGTTGTTTCATATGTGAAAGGTTCGTGACTGTTGTTTTGTGTGTGGAAAACACAGTCATGAACATTTCACATATGAAACAATGCATTTTCCTACGTGTTGTTTCATATGAAAATTGGTTTGTAAGTTTGTACGGATTATCGGGATTGTAAAAGAAGGGGACTCTACGTTGTGGTGAGTACGCCCACCTTTAATTTTGTATAGTTTTTGGTTTTTTGAAATAAAAATTTCCCAGGTTCCGTCTCCTTTGTTAAGAAAAGGTCTATACACCATACTCCTCTAGACCCTGGTTTCAAGTGGGATATACTAGTTTGGGATATACACGTAAAAAAAAACTAGTATTCTCTTTTCCTAGAAGTCATGAAAATTGGGATAATTTCCTTCCTAAATTTATAAAATAGCAGACAATTTAAATCTTCCCTTTAAATTAAAACTTTAGGGGGTGTTTGGGATTGCTTATTTGAAACAATTTATGCTTTTCTACAAAAGCACTTATCAACTTATTATAAGTCAGAAGGGTTTAACTTCTTCAAAAACTCCTTATTACAGGTTTGGCACCGGTATAAGTTGTTTATCCATATTACCGGTGCCACATCGGAATAAGTCAATAAGTTGTTTTTATAAGCAAATCCCAAACACCCCTTTAGTAACAAAATACTTGAAGTTTAAAAAGGAAGGAAAACAAGATATGCATCAGAGTTCTAAACAGACAATCTAATCCTTGACAAAATTAGAATAGGTCGGCGGTTGCTAAAACCATCAAGTCTGCTATTTATAGTTCCATCACTTAGGGTCTTGTGTGATTGGATTGGAGTGACTGCTTGTGTTATGGTTTTAGTAACCCCGACCTATTCTAATTCCGTCAAGGATTACATTGTCTGTTTAGAACTCTGATGCATATCTTGTCTTCCTTCCGTTGTAAACTTTAAGTATTTTGTTATTAAAGTTGTTTTAATTTAAAGGATTTTGAAAGTTTTAAATTGTCAGCTATTTAATAATTTAGGGGTGTTACACTACGATATCAACAATGTTTCTTCTTTAGTATATTTTCAAGCTACAATCACATATTTGTCGATCATAAACAATAAGTTGATGAATTGATATGAAACCATAGGATTCTTTTACTTTTACCATTAAAGAAGAGTTTTTAGATATGTAACAAATGGTCGAACTCGAACATTATCTTTGAATACAACTACCCGTTAAGTTAAATATTGCAATTTTGATACGTAGGGATTACTATTAGCATACACAAGAAGCAAATGAACATAAAAACTGAGAATACAATATAAAACATACCTCAGGGCGTAGAATACGATCCATCTCCAAAAGTAAGCTTTTCATGCTGCATCCCTTTGAAATGAAGTCCGAGAGGAGCCCATTTGCATGAACCATGTCATATGTGCGTGGATAAGTTGGGAAGGGTTCGCACCTATACTCGAATATATAAGAAAATAGAGAAACATCATGTCACATTCAAGACATGGATAGAAGTGGTTGTATCAATCCCCTCGTTCCGTAAAAATTACAAGAATATCACTTTTAGATGCCCAAATAGGTATAACACAACAATTCCCTTTTTTGGCAAATTTCTGAGCTAGAATGACCTATTTTTAGACATTCTAGTAATAGTAAAATATTTCCATAAAACTATGTATGAAGTCAAAAGTTCAAATTTACCCAAGGTAACGAAATATTAGTGAAGATTCACATTGACTACAAAAAAGTTGCCTTTATTTAGAGGGAGAATCTAAGCATGGAACACAATGATACGACGTTGACATTAATACTTGTAGATAACTCTCAAACTCTACATACTCCCCGTGCCAGCGAAAACGACATAATCCGACTTAATCTTTGTTGATACAGATATAAGAATTTGGAATTTACTTCTATTGAATCAACATCACACTCATTGTTTTCACTTCTCTTTCTTAGGCCATGCTTGGCAACCATAAGCTAGCTTATTTTTTGATCTTATCGAAAAAAGAAACTGTTTAGATAGCCATACATAAACTAGTTTTTTGAAAAACTACTTCAAGTAGTCTTTCAATAAGCTCCACGGGATTTTTTCCACCTTTTCCAATTATGACCCTTATATTTTTCAAATTTATTTCTCAACATATCAGTTTAGGTCATCTTACATTATATAGCTCAAGTGCTAGTTTTTACCAACATTATTAGGTTATCAACTAACAACTAACTAATAAGCCAACAACTAGCTTGTCAACCATTAGCTACCTTATCAGCCAACAACTAGCTTATTAGGTAGTCTCCAAACATAGCCTTAGTGACAATTTTAACTAAAGCTACTATTAATGATCTTCTCACCAGTCCCATATTTTATCTCATTTGTCCCCAATAAAGAATCCATTTTTATTTCCCCATTGTTAATATGTGAAATTTATGATGTTATATTTCCCTGAAAGTGTGGACTGTAAAGGGGTGCAATTCGAAAAAAGTGAAAGCATGGTTTTGATTAACGAATGTTTTGTTGATATGAACTAAACGTGGGCATATGATTTGAAAATAGAGGAACGGCATACAATAAATCATGTATAAAAATCCTTACCAGTCATGCAAAACGCCAGCGAAACCCTGATCGAGTATGAGTGGAAGTGTATTATGGGTCCCAGTAGGCACCACATTCATCACCCATACCGACTTTTTTGCTTCTAAAAACGCGGCGTTCAAACCTCCATAACGAGCATTCATGTCCATCACGTTCCGTATCATATTATATGGAGGTAAAGGATCTTCATCCCCAGGCCTTTTCGGATGATCAGAAAAGATCAAGGGTGTAAGTAAAGACCAATAATTTCTCAAAGCTAACCGTGATGACTCAAAGTCGTCATAGAATTCATCCTGCTGAATTTCTGTGGAGATAAACATGTATCAATTACTGCAACATCTTAGGGATACTAATAACTGACTAGAATCAAACAGATGAAAACGTATTAAATGCTAACATTTCACTAGGCATAATAGTTCAATGAAAGAGTTCGACCATTAGTGAAATATATAAAATGCCCCTCAATAAGGTTAAAATAAAGGGGGCTTGCGTACGAGAAATAATGTCATTGGTATATTGTAACGATTACTAAAGAACAAATAAGTATCATCGGAATGGATTTATGCCAAGAAAGGAAACAATGCATTTGTTTTGGGAGAACTCAAGATGGAAATTGTTGCAATTATTTTGAAAGAACAGAAGTTGCATTAGAACAATACTTTCCATGAATTTCAAGCTCAGCAGGGCTTATTTGAAAACTCGAAGACCTGTTCTGAATGGGAATCCAGCGTTTGCTGGCAGTCCCTCCTATACAAGGAGCAAGTGGCTGATAACTGGACTGAATATCCTCCTGTCCTCTACAAGGTGGAATGACACCCTGCTTGCTGCAATTAGTAACCAAATAAAAATTACTGAAATATTCCTCAATCTTTACTTAAAATTTGGAAGGAGAAAATAAAAAAGCAATCAGGACTCAGGAGTAAGTTGTGTTCTAAAAATCCCTACTTAGAACCACTTAAACAACCACCTAGAAGTTAACCATCCCCTGCTGATTCAATTACTGAAGATTGCTTAATCAGCCACCATGGAATTAAGCATCCCACACTATTTCAACTAGAAGTAATCATGGAATTAAGCATTTCAATAGTTAATATTAATCAACTTTTCTCAACTTGCTTTCATCAAATGACTTCTTTCAATTTGAAGATCATCTCTTCATCCTTTTCTGATTAACTGGAAGACTAAAACTAGTCATTCAGATAAGTAACTTATCAAAATAACATGATATGAAACTTTTAGTTCTCAAATGTTCATAATCTAAAAATGATCATGTTATATACATTTAAAGGAACCGCTTCTGCTTTAGGCTTATGTATCAATTTCTATAGGCGGTTATGAGCTAAAAGGTCAATCCACCACTTAACTTTGCTTAGCAAATTTGGTTGCAGCACTTAGAAACTCAATCACATAACACAAGAGAATGCCCTCATAAATTTTTTAAAAGATATAAGATGAAAAACAAGACAAGTAAAATATACTAATATGCTATTAAGTATTAAGTATTAACCTCACCTGGATGAGTAGCATAGGGCATCAATAGTTTTCTGCCATATGAACGTTTCTTCTTGTTGAGCTATAAACGTCCAGCAGATCTTCTGAGCGAATTCTTCGATAGGACTAGCCATGCTTCCCTTCTTTGTACTTGATGAGCTTCCATGTAAAATGAAGTAGCCTCCAGGCTTGAGAATCCGGTCAGCTTCAATAAGAAACATTCCATCTAATTTATGAAATACCATTAGAGACAGAAGAAAAACCACTCTTATACAAATCCATTAAACATATAGCAACAGTAATCAAATTTTAAGCAGCTAAATTTCATATATATGAATTATTATACAGATGGAGGTTAGTCTACTGAACATATGTTCATGTATTAAAAGACATCAGCAAAACTACCTTTTTTGTCCCATAGGATACCGCATTGTGCACAATGAACCATGTCATACGACAATGAAGGAAATGGAAGTTTCCTTGAAATGAAGTTGCCAATAATTGCTGGAAGACCTCTTTCAAGAGATAATTGAACTTGGCTACCCGTTAACTCATATGCAGCCATACAGACGGCCATTAGTTTCAATGAGAGCAAATGAGCACCAAAGCTACCAAACCCACAACCAATATCAAGTACTGTGCGTACCTGTTAATATAGAAAGTGAATTAGACACAGCGTGTAATACAACTGAATATATTCCAAAAGAGAAAGGTGAACTATCCGATGCTAATTAGATATACCCTAGTAATGACGACAATAAAAGAAAACTCTAGGGAAAGCTAATGAAGAAAATCCGTTAATAGTGATGAAGTTATCAACAAATTGAACAGAGATAACTTCATTAAGCATATGTCAGTACTTACACCAGCTTGAAGAAATTCCGCATCACTACTCAACCCTATCATCTCTGCAATTTGGTGGGAGTATTCTTTGACGCCATCAAAGATTAACCCGTCATCCGAGTGGAAAGAAATTTGATTCTCTTCCAGTAGCATTAACCTAAAAGAGGTTTGAGGGGAAGACGTCATGGGCAGTCATTAAATTCACAAGGTACATAGTATCAAGGGGGAGTGTAGTCATGAGGGCATAAACATAAGAAACTTATCATTTTGAGTCGTTTATCCAACCCAAAATTAGATAATCACCTTTTAGTCATGCTCCCAGAAGAAAGAAATTGGTCTTTAGTAATCTTCACATTTGCATTCCATATCACATCTCCACCAAGTGGCCAACTCAGGGGAGTTTTATAGTCTCTTGGAGGACGAACCAAACAGTCTTCTTGGTCTCGTGTTAGTTCACAATGCCTATCAAACTCCTCACCATCTTTAAACCCCGCTAAAAGATTCGCAGACACATTATAGCAAGGAACATAATGTTCTCTTTCCTTGCCACAAAGCCTAATCTCCTTAAGATGACTACTACTCCCAGTGGATAAACTCGTTAACTCCAAATAATCACTGGCTGCTTGTTCCTTTAATCTTCTATAGTTTGTATAAATGTCCGATTTTATACTAAAAGTGACAGAGTCAAAGGCGCTAGAAGAAGAAGAACCAAACAAAACAATAAGTGCAGAAACACTAACAAAACACAGAAGCAGCCAATTCCATGGCGGTCTAGGGCCGAAAATTAAGGAAAACTTATGGAATAAAGGTCTTCTCATATCCAAATCTATCAGCCTGCTTCCACCCACTGGTTTAATCAAAACTAATGTTTGACCTTAACTTCACACGAGATATGAAAATGGCAGCCTACCATAACATCAAAGCTCACCGAATTATCGTCAAGTAAACAGTGGTATAGGGAAGTTATCCCTCTATTCGAAACCAACCTCGTGACGGTTACATTATCGTAACATCAAACTCAAAAATCTCATGTCAGAGAACCACTGAAATTGCCATAAAACCACGCAACCGATACAACTAAAGTAGATCGAGCAAACAATCACCCTCAATTTTCCAAATTCCAAACACAAACTCTTTACAATTCAAGTAAACGCCAGCAGAAAGATCTTCAGATCAACCTGAAATTGTCATCGAATACTCAAATTACAACTTAAATCCACATCAACAAACATTCAAACACACCCAGTTACACAATTGGCATCACATTCATCACAAAATCGATACAGATCTGATCCATAAAAACAAAAAACCCAATCAATACAACTCACTGGATATAACCAACAAAGAGCTTGCACAACAACTTCAATCCACAATCAAACAAACAACCACCATATTTATTAGGGTTTTAGGCGAATTACCAGTTGGTTAAGTGTTGAATGTAGTGCGTGGCGTAGATTCGAATCAAAGCAACAGCTCTATGTCGCCATTGACAACCAAAAAGCTCGGTAACAGCGGTTAATTGATTCTGTGTGCTTTTATATATATATATAGTATGGTGAGAAATGGGATTTAACAATTGGGAATGGATGGATCGAGGTTGAGAACAAAAATGGAAATTGAAGTGAATTAATAATTAAAAGAACAGTAAAATTGTAATCAAAGTGTTTGGGGGAATAATTGTGCATGACGGCCTTTGCACTTTTCCTCCCTTGTGTGATGTGTCATTACTTTGTTTATTTATTATTTAATTGTAGTAAATGCCAGATTTAGCCCCCACTAGGCTTTATGCACAGGATGAGATCATCAGGGGGGTTTTGGACTTTTTATCCTTCGTAAAATTTTGATTCAACTTTTATATTTTTTTAAACAGTAAATTGCATAAAAAAAAATAATGTATTTTAACTTAATTCATATTTTGAGTAACGTATTTTTAAAGCTTTTAATTTGGTACCTAAGATGTAAAGTTTTAAATATTTAAGTATTCGGATAATCTGTTGAATACTAATTTTAGATTAAAAAAAATTTATATCACTAACCACGTCGGTAAATAATACATGATTGGATATCGCATCAATCGCTACATTAGCATGATAACCAGTTAATGCTTCAACAAGTTACTTGGGTACTTAAATGTTTAAAACTTTGCATCTTAGGTACTAAAATAAAAGTATTTAAAGTACGTTGTCAAAAATAGAAATCAAGTTAAAGTACGTTAATCCATGTTTGTTTTCTTAAGAGACGTTGAAAACTGAAATCTTATTTTAATTTTGATTGATAAGAGGTGATGTTGAAATTTGAAAGTGGAATCAATAAGACTGTTGTTTTTTGCAAACTGATAAATGTTTGAATTTGTTTAAACTATCTATTTTACCCATCAGAAAATTTTAATGTTGAATTTATAGATAGATTTATGCAATTTCACATATTTATTCATTATTATTACAAAATTTAAATCCTATTAAAATACATCAATCGAGAGAAATGAGTATCATTTTGGTAATGATTGAGATAAATTATATAATTTGTATTTATAAAACAAAAATATCTTTAATATTTAAATTCTATTAAAATATATTAATTGAGAGAAATGAGTATCATTTTGGTAAGGATCGATTGAGATAAATGATTGATTAAGGTTAATCGATTGAGAAACATTGTTGCTGAGGATCTGAAGAACAATAAGAGGCAAATAAAATGTTGGTTTACCTCTTACCAGATAAGAAGAAGATAATATATAAGTGTCTCTGAAAAATTGGAAAAAAAAAAAACAAACAGTGTGAATGACCCTATCTTTTAACGAATCATTCATAAGAGGCATATAAGAGTTTTTTTTTTAAACAAACAAATCGTTAGTGTTCACATTTATATTTTAATTTGTCCTAAAGTAAGAGATCTTTTACTAAATGTTTACCTGGTAAGTGCTTACTAGATCACTTACTTTACGGGATAAATATGGTAAATACCGAGAATGTTACCTTGTAAGAGCTACGACAGAGACAGATAGTCTTTTGCACTATATCATGAGAGTCTATTAATCATTTTGACCACTTGATCATTTTGAACTAAATTATTTAGCAACTACCAAACAGTTTCTAAGCCTTTGTACACCTCTTGATGATATGAGCTTTAAAAAAACGAATGAAATTGAAGAATTCAGATATTATTCAACCTGTCAAATATGGTTATTTTAAAAAATATCTATTTCCATGTCACCATTCTATTTTAGTCAATTTTCATTCCACGATAGCATCAAATTCATATCATAATGATTTGTATCGCAAACCACACGTCATATATGTATCAAATAATTGCTTACGTTTTTTTTTATTAACTTGGATATCCAACTCAATATGCGAGCCGACTAATCCTGTGACGGTCGCCTGCTTTGTGAGTAACATGGAGTCACCGCATTTAAACATTCATGACAACAAAGAGGATTTTTCCTTGGATTTAAATTTGGGACCTCCAGGTACTTTTAACCTTTAGTATCCAAATTTAAACCAATCAGACACCATCGTTATAGTTAGTTTTTATTTATTTATTGACCAATTGAATAATCAAATTGATCTCAATCTTGTCCTGTTTTGGAAGTTGGCACATGCTACAAATTGGTTTTTTTGTATTTCTATATCTTTTTTTATGTATTTTAATAAAAATTTATTACACAATATATATTTATATTTTTATAACCATATTAATTATACTCTTTTGAATGCTAACGGTCAATACAAAACTATACATACATACATACATATATATATACATACATACATATATATATACATACATACATATATATATACATACATACATATATATATATATATGATGAATATTTTTGTTCGAATATATAAATAATAATATAGAAAAATACAATATAGATACTACAAAATACTCCATATAAAGTATTATTAAGGACATCAACTACTTGTTATTATTTGTTATTTTTATTAAAAGTAAATTATATGAAAAAGTAACATATTTTAACTTAATTATTATTTTGGGTAACATACTTTTAAAACTTTCATTTTGGTATCTAAGATGTAAAGTTTTAAACATTTAAGTACCTGGATACCGGTTGAAGACTTATTTTAGACTAAAAAAAAGACTAATTTTAGATTAAAAATCTATGTCACTAACCCTGTCAGCAAATGATACTGAGTTGGATACCACATCAGCATGATAACCGGTTACCCGAGTACTTTAATTTTTAAAACTTTACATCTTAGGAACCAAAATGAAAGTTTTGAAAGTACGTCACCCAAAATAAGAATCAAGTTAAAGTACGTTACTTTTTTTCATGCAATTTGTCGTTTTATATACATTATATAGGGGGAATTTCAAATACCAACCATATGATTCTTACAAACCCTACAAACATAATCTCAACTATTGGTTTTGTTTATTTTGAAATTTATAGGAGGTTATAAAATATAGCTGAGAGTAAATTCAGAAACTGATTTCATCCACACCGTTGATTATCACATGTATGGTTGAGATCGATTTGTAAAGTTTGCAAGAATTACATGGTTTGTAAAATAAACTTCTCATATTTATATCTGACGTTCTTTTTATATTAGATGGAGTTTTAAATATTTGCCCTCTTAGTAGGCCAAAGTCCTAGTTACAAACTAACTTGACATCTATTTTGATAAATAAATAATAATATAATTTTAAAAAATTGATTAATTTAATAAACAATAGTTTAAACAGAAATCTTACTAAGTGCATGGTTTGATTTTGTCGGTTTTATCTATACTATACTATAATGTATTTGACAAAAACTCTTAAAAATCATTTTTATGCATAAAATACTATTTATTGATGCATATTACTTAAAATTCAAGATCACAAGTAAATTGTGCGTAAACACAACTTATTAAAGCTTCATTTTTGAATTTGTGTAACTAACTATAAATAAACATAATCAAATACATGATAGACATCTCATTTTGAATATAAAAAATCTAAAATGTAATTAGAATAATCATTAGTTATAATAAAATACTTAATTATTATATTTATAAAAATTATATTATTAAACGATAAATAAATTACTTCGTTATTAGATCTAAGTTAAATTATAAATAAAATATTGAATTACAGAAATTATACAAAAAAAAAACCCAGAACTTTAAATAGTAAATTCGATACTAATATTGATGTATTTCTTTTTTTAAATTTTTATGATATATTTAAATTTATATTCTATTCAAAAATAAAAACGTTATTGTTTTATCAAAATCACTAAACACCATATTACATCGACGTAGATAAATAATAAAACGAAACACTAAAATTAAAAGATATCCCATTATAATAAGCGAAAACATCTTTCTAATAGTAAAAAGACATTTAACCAAATGTATTTAGTTCGTTATTTCAAAGGAAGTGAAAATGTTGCAATGGATCGAACATTTTTATTTCTTTAGAAATGAATGTGGTTTTACTTTTTAAAATATATTAAGAATGAGAAAAATAAAATAAATTAAAAATGAAAATGAAATTATGCCCAATCATCTATCATGCAAAGAAGCAAGGTTGGTCGAGATTGGTCAACTTATTTTACCAAGTGTCGTGTTTTCGTTGGTTGTTCTTTTTCTTAAAACTTAATTGATCCTATATATTAGAGTAGTCTTTGATTCATTTAAACTTGACTTTCAAATGTCAAAAATGTCTTAATATCCTAATTTCAAATCCAATAAAAAATAAAAATTCTTTTTTGACCATAAAGATTCAAATACGGTGACTCTAAACTACCCGTAAAACAAATGGTTTTCAACAAATCAAAAATTAATATTATACATTTTTTTAAAATTAATATTTAAAAATGGTTTTCAACAATTTCATGTATATAATAATAACATTTATGTTTCTTAAACAATTTATCTTAACATTAAAATATTAACGTTTTCATTTATTTATTATCAAATAAGTAACGTATATTATTTTAACACATTTACCAACAATAATGTTATCAAAAACCAAGTAATATATAATAATAAAAAACAAAAGAAATAGTTAGCATATTAATTAAAAAAAGGGACCACTTAGCTAGGGGACCAGTCCTCTAGGTCCGACCGTTTACAACCAGTCCCTATTTTTCTCCTATGAACCGGATCCAGCCAGAACCGGTTCAGGCAAGTGGAGGTAGTGATTTTGACCGGTCCAAAAACCAACCGGTTTTGCAACTATATAGCCCATACAAAAAGTCATGAAACTGAATCAATAATCAACTTGCAAAAAAAAAAAACGTACCAAAACTGCGTACATTTGGTTTGGTTGGCGTATACATTGAATTGAAGTTGTAAAGAAAGAAAGAAAGAAAGAAAGAAAGAAAGAGAGGCTATACAAGAAGCCCTAGTCTTATTCTCTGATTGAAAAAGGTCAAAATCGTACTTTTACCCTTAGGTCGGGTTTTAAAAGATCGGTGGTTAAATAAGGAAGAAAAAGAGAGAAGTAAGCTAGTAGCGGAGCATGTAAGTACGACGACGAAACCAATTGTAGTCGGGCAATAATTTCACTGGTCCGGATGCTGCTATCGCAATGTCCTGATCAACAAAACATCATTCATTACTCAAAAACCAAATCTTTTCATACAATTTACTTACTGGGTAAGTGATTACTGGGTGTTGATACCTTACTGAATGAGCATGACAAGAACTGAGAATCTTACTTGGTAAGAGACATAGGAAGGACCGAGAATCTTACCCGGTAAGTGAGGGAGAAAATTTTAGGTGTTGTTTACTAAGCGCTTACCCTGGAAGTGCTTACTGTGTCACTCTACCTTGTCGAATGAACATGAGATGAACATGACAAGAATTGAGAATCTTACCCGGTAAGAGTGATAACAAGAACCGAGAGGTAAGAGCTTACCGGATAAAAATGTTCCATATGATGCCGTTTTAATGGACTAAAATCTTACCCCGTAAGTTAAGTGAAAGTGTCGACTCTTACAGGTAAGCGTTGGGAAAACGGGCACTTGTTTTGGGACAGGCTTATACAAAAATGTCATTTTTTAGTTATTTTGGGACGGATGAAGTAACAATGTCATGTTCACTACAGAAAGGAAAGGAGAACCTCGATATGCGAACGAATAGGAAAACGGTTTTTTAGAGCAGATAAGTAAGAAGGGAGAAAAAAGAGGGTTTACCTGATCAAATATGAATCTGTTGGCTACACGTTTGATGGTGGCAGCATCGACTGCATCAATTCTGGCAAATAGTTCGGCAAATGGAATTCTTCGGCCATAAGTAATTAGCTGCAACACGAAAAACAGCCAACTATAAGAAGAGTTCATTGCACCATTCTGTAGATCATGCACACAAGCTAACCTAGAAGAACCAGAAGAAAATGGAATGTAATTTCTAGTTAATGGCATTCTCCACACGAATGCGAGTATGCTTTTTGGATTTATCATAAAGATTTAGAGTAGCACTGTAAAATGGCTTCTGGAAAGCATGATCATGGTTTTACTAGACGAGAAGGTAAGCCGGTACCCTCGGTTGTTTTATGTCAACTTTTTATTATTGTAAATGGTGTTCTGATTCCTGTTTGATAATGAAATCAAACCGCATTTAGCAGGGCCTCACCAGATCCTACTCAATGTGAGATATATAGCTCGTTTGGTTTGGTTTACTTCAGTTTTGGGGAAATAAGATGGAAATTGTAAAACGTAAACTAGAAAGTGTTCTATGAGGGTGTGTTTGGTGCACAGACTGGACTGGATAAGCTAGAGTGAGGTAGGCTAGTGAAAGAATTGTGCAAGGTTTTTGGGGTTTTATTTTGACATGGGTGGTTTAGTAATTTGCCAATCTTGTCCCATCTTCTTGATTTTTGTTCCACCTATTTCCTATCCCAGTCTAAAATCTAAATGTCACACCAAAAATGGGACAAGTTTTTGTTCTGTCATGTTTCATCCTGTCCCGCATACCAAAAGCAGCCATAACCCCATTATAGTCAAATAGAACCACTTTCATAAGCCATGAAAACATCAAATTTGAGCTTAACAATTCAGAACTAGTGATTATAAAACTTTGTTAAACCGATTTTTGGTTTTTGGGAAAATGTAAATGGTTGTCAAATATCCTTTTTCTATCAGGTTTAAAGATTATTAAAAACATAAACGCGAAACCAAAATTTAAAAAAGTTGTCAAACGAGGCCTGATGTACCTGGCGACCAATGTCTTCAGCAGTAGGGCTGGTTCCATCAACATGGAGAAGCAATGAAGATTTCAGCTGCAAAATGTACAATAAAGTTCAGTACATCTCGAAGAACATGTTGCTCTAGACAATGTGAATGAGATGATCTGCCTACTTTACTAGCTGATACAATCAATTTCTAATAAGTAAAATAGAAACCCGAAACGAGAATTCTATTTGGAATGTTTTTTCTTTAGAGAGAATCCTTACTAGCTGGTGCCCTGCCAGCATTCCGAGTGGTGGTTCATAAGCGACATACACATGATCTTAAAATGCAGTGTGGTCAAAAATCAACAAATCAACATATCTATTAAACTCTCATATTGATCCGGAGCTGAAATATCGCATATTCGCAGCAGATAACCAAGTAAATTGTATAATGTGACTAAAGTTCAGTAACTATACATTGTAAAAAATTAATGGAGGTACATATTATTCTTAATATAACTTAATCTACTTTTTAGATGCAGCCCAATTGTCATCAAAACTCCTGTTTGATAAAATAACAGATTTAAGGCCGAAACTAATAAAACTAAACAATATGATATAAATGCATATTCAACACCCTGATTACCTGATTCTGAGCACGAAGTAAATCATCGTCCCCAACTCTGTAACAGAGTTTAGATATCTCTTGCATGATTGCAAAAGCCACATCATCCAAGCAATCGGCCTACAGAAAGAACAAAAGAAATGAACAATGGCATTCAGTAATCACCAATCCGAACCTCAATCTCAATGAGTAACACAGAAGCCTCTACTTAACACGCAACTAAATAAAGTAGAAATGCCCTGATAAATGTTTGTAGTGATCAGTAGTAAAACGGTTGCAAATATGAACTCAAACTTTGGCAAAGATGATGCCTAATTCGCACCATACAAACAGTAAAATGGACAATATGCTTCATAAAGCTATTGTCATCAACTCTGTGGACGGCAAACAATCTAAACCTAGAAAAAGACCATGCAATATAATAGGTGGACCTACCAACATGCAAGACAGTTCAGCAAGATATCCAAACCATAGAATGCTAGCAAGTTCAATAAACCAGATGTGGTACAGTTATTATATCAAGCATATTTTTAATAAATTAGAGGATACTACAAAATTCTTAGAAACTGACAAACCATATATGACTTTGTGTTGGGGGATATTATCACTTCCCTGGCATTTTGCATAAGAGTTTCTTTCCAATTTGACTGTGACCTTCTGACCTTAACTCTTTTTCAAGGGATGGGGTGTGAAAGTTCGGAACTGACTCACAATAAATAGCATAATCTAAAACTGAGGCTCACCCACAAAATAATCTATATATTGGACATTTCCCACTACATAACCTAACAGCCTTTTGTTTTCCCTTTTCTAACTTGTACGAGGGAAAGATGGGAAGTTCCTAAACCCATGAAATAACACATTTTATCATTCTATCAAGATCCTCATACAATTTGGTCACAAAAATGCTTCACGTGATTACATGAAACTTATTAAACCGCAAGCCACTCTGATGGAGCCTTGTTCAGTTACCTCCATTTCAATGCAAATGTTGTTCTGTAATTTCCTCCAACACAAAGTCATTACTTATCAAAGGGTTCCAAATCTTCTGCAGCATCAACACCGTTCAAGAACATGTATGCAATGCATTTCAAGTGTAGAATGACAGTAATCATTCGTAAAATTTGAAGTAAGTGGGTAAGCCTAGTGCATAAAAAACGATTATAATTGTGAACTAGAAAGACAAACCTACCACTGACAACTGAGTCTCTTACTGGAACCAACACACGACTAACTAGGCCAGCACCCAATTATTAGTGCTATATATATATATATATATATATATATATATACACATGCATATCTGCATCAGTAAGTATGTACTTAATACTTTTAAATATCATATCAGATGATGCTACATAAAAGGTTAAACATAAGTGCAAGCCTTTTTCCACCAAAAAGGTAATCGTTTATCATTGCACCTGCTAAAAAATATAAACTTAAAGGTTCTGCTTCTGTCACAAACCTTCGCAACAGCATATACCCCAAATAGCCCTGTGTCTTTGTAGTTGGTGTTGAAAGCCATCATGCTCTCAGCAATTTCATTAATAGCCAGTATCTGCGCAAGCTGTGAGCTGTACATAGTTTACAAAAAGCGCCATTAAGTCTCACAAACCAACTCTAAAATGCAGTGCGCAATAACAATGGCGTTTGTAAAGCATAGCTAGAAGTTCGAATGGAAGAGAACATGTTTCAAATCCTGATCAAGTTGTGAACACCCATAAACAAGAGAGAAGATAAAACCAAAAGAAAAAGGGCAAAAAAAAAAAAGCAAAAGTCACAAAGGGGATGTCAAGGCCATCCAGGCAACATAGGAAGACAGAACATGATAAATATATTTCTTACAACATCATCTGCTCCTTCCGTAAGAAAAAAGGATCGATGGGTTGAGACATTTGTTAACCAACTATATTCATGTAAATCTTTTATATGGGCGAGGAGTCTGGGCAGAATTGTATCATAAATTAAAGAAGGGAATACCGACCCCATATGTTTGCCACCTCCGGCAGATTGGTTCCAAGATCCAAGCATAGCTTGTATGACCATCAAGGCAACTGAATCAGGATCAGTCCATGATGCCCCGTTAAATGCAACGGCAAATTGTGCAAGAGGCATATCATCATCCCTCATGCGAACCTGATTATTCCATGGTTTCAATTAATATTTAATTATTAATATCAGAGGCATGTGCTTATGAGAATGCCGGAACTTAAGCCATATAAATCTGTAGTGCACACCTCTGATCCAGTGAATAATGCTGGCTCCTTTTCTACTAACTGTGAGGTAGTTATGGGGTTGGCTGACAGTTTTGTGAACATTTTCTTCACCTGCTCCACCACATCCTCGTGTTTAACAGCTCCAGAGGCAGAAATAACCTGAAGCATATAATCATATAAGAATTCTGCTGTCAACTGTAAAAACCTGAAGGCATAACAAGGGGGACTAGTATAAATAGTTGAACTGTTATTAGAACAGTTGGACCAAAAGCAGTCTCAAAATCACACAGGATTGATAATTTAAGTCAAGTACCATCCTGTGGGCAGAATAGTGGGTTGAAATATACTCTTGGATATCCTTCTTTGTAATCTTCTCAATGTTTTCAGCAGGTCCAAGAATAGTCCTACCAAGAGGAGTGTGTTGGAAAGCTGTAGCATGCAAATGGTCAAAAATGACTTCCTCGGTCTGTGCACCTACCTGCAACAGGAATTGTAAATTTAGTATGACCACAACTATTAAGATCATTATGCAAAAACGACAAAGCGGAAAAATTTAGAACGCATGGAGTAAGGACACAAAAACCAAATAGGTATCACTCCCCATCAATCAAGAAGATTTTATTCTAGTGCTTCTTACATCTCCACCAACTATTTTGAGTTGTTCAGTGACCAAGTCAGTCCTGACATATAAAGGCGCTGCATACTTTTTGGCAATGCATTTTCCAGGGATGTCGCCATATGCTCTAAAGACATGGACATCAGGAGGGGGTTGGAATGCTGAAAGTCCACGGTGACATACTGTACTATAGTCACTTCAATTACTGACAATACTTATCATAAATCAGTCAAATGAAAAGCCTTTATCATGTTTCAAGACTATAGTAGCCAAATCTCCTCGATAGAAGAAAATAGTCTCATTTTTCTCTCAAGCTGTTTTTTATTGGAACTGCATTTATAAAAGAACAAATAGAAGGATCAATGACATGGAAGGACCTATAGTGGTGCATATGGTGGCACGTGCCACCGTATTATTCCTCCGTCGAAGGGTAAAAAAAAATTAGGTTCGTGAAAGGTGCAACCATATTAATTTGTTGGTGCCACTGTATGTATTTCATAACTACAATGAGAACAAGTTTTATTTGGTAGAGTTGGTTTGCAAGGCTTGTATTCCACCCCAGACCCAAGTTCGAATCTTGTGAGTGTCATTTTCTTAGTCAAATGGTGCCACCGTTTGAAAAAAATTCTGGGTCCGTCCCTGATCAATGATGAAATGTCCACAAATTAATATTGCAGTACTAGCATTCATGTGGCATAACTACTTATTTTATTTTGATATTTTGTACAAGTATATGCCTATCACTTGATAGTTCCTATTATCATATACCCATCTAGTTGTTGTGTAGTTCACCATTTGGATACCACCTTGTGCTAATTGCTTCAGAAACAACAAGAGTTACAGTGGCAGGCATACCATTTAAATAGTTTCAGAGAAGGAAAACACCAAGAAAATATTATTCTAAAATATGCCACTGTATACACCGTTATTTCCAACTTGGTTTTGATCTTGTACAAACTTCAAAACACCTCTTTTCTAGTGCTTAAGATATTTTGGTTCTACTCAACTGATCTCTTCTCCAAAGACACTAGCATAGCAAGTACGAATGCATGAATATCTTGGAAAAATTATTGCAGCAGAATTTATGTATGTGTGTGTGCAAGTGCATAATTTATACATAATCTTTGACGATTATCATAGTAAATTTAGTAAGTGGCACTAATTTTGTGCACAAAAATAATTAAGACAGCGCTCTTCACAAAAGTCACGAGCTTAAAAGATCCACAGGTTACAGTACTCACTGAAACCAAGTGCAAGGCGATCGCTGTGTGTGGGTGGGTATCCTATAGGAAGACAGACCAAACGCGTTCATCACTCATCTACCCAAATTCAAATAGAAGTGTGCAGAACCTTTCTAGTGCTAGAAAATGCAGGAAAATGTTTGAAGGGTGTTCTCAACATCAAATGTAGTGAAATACTTTTACAACAGACAATGATAATAATTAGTCGACAATGTGCGCAAACGTAAAGATATTCATTCAATGGGAAACAGATTCAGAAAAATAGTGTTGACATGCAAACCTCTTCCATCTCACGAAGAATCACACCACGCTCACGATTAATCAGTCTATCATCAAAAGCCGAGTTCTGCAATATATCTGATAGAATATCAAGTGCCTTAGGCACGTCTTCCCCCATCACTTTGGCGTAATAAGTCGTCTGCTCCCTCGAAGTGTAAGCATTCAAATGCCCTCCCATATTCTCAATCTCCTCCTCCAAATGCCTAACCGACCTCTTAGCAGTCCCTTTAAATATCATATGCTCTAGAAAATGAGCCACACCATTAGTCTCATCGGTCTCAAATCGCGATCCTGCATCAATCCAGACCCCGACGGTAGCCGTCTTGGATGCAAGGTTAGACTCCGTCGCGACACGGAGTCCATTAGGTAGTGTTGTGATACGCGTCTCGGGATAAGTGAGCAGAGACGTATGATCGGCAGCAGCAGGGATAGGCGAGTTGTGTTTAAGAAACCTAGGATCAGGATGTTCCAGCCGTTTGAGCTTCGATTTGACTTGTTCTGCAAGGCGATCATAGATCATTTGATTAGGAGGTGGTGGAGCTGGTGCGCGAGTGTCGGAAGCGGTGGACACTGCGGTGGCAGTTGAAGCGGATCTAGTGGTGGTTGCTAGGGTTTGCTGAGAGCGCCGAGAGAGCTTGAGAAGGTGGCGAATCGCCATAGCTAGGGTTTGATGGTTCCGATCAGAGGATTAGGGCATGGGGGAGACGAAGATCTGGAAGAATAAAAGGGGGAAATTTTTGGCTGAAAATTCTCTTCTCTGTGACGGGGCGTGTGCCCCTTAATCCATGCTTTGTGTGCCCGGTCTATACGGTCCAAATAGCAATGTTATGGACCCGACCCGATTAACAACCCATCCGACATAAATCAATTTTTATTAACATTTTATTTTCTCTTTTGTTCAAATACATTATTTTATATCCAAATTTGTGGGAGACTCCTTATCTCTCTCCGTCAAATGGTGCACTTTTAAAATGGATTAAAAGTTTAGAAAGTTGTAGTTTAATCTTATGGAAAAATTAATACGGTTTGGTTAAAGAACGGTTAATTGTGTCAATTTGGTAAACAAAATTAATTTTTCTTAAAATGAAATCAATCTTGTAATCAAAATGCAAGATTACGTTTGGAATAAGTCTTGTGTGTATTTTAGCAAATTCCACCATTTCAGTGACTTCTTTTTGTTTTCTTTTGGTTGATTTGAAGGACTTTTTCGGTTTTTTTATTGATTGCAAGATAATTGTTAAAGTATCTTGAAGCACCCTTCAAAATTTAAACGTATGCACCTTTCATACCTTAGGTAGCGTATGGTACGCAGACATGATTGAACATGACATAACTTGACAGGACAAGAGGATAGGATTAGACAAGACTAAACTGGACATAATAAGTGTATGTTTGGTGTTTGGTACGACTAGAATTGGACAGGACAAAAGTAGACAAGTTACCCTAAAAAATTATTTGATGATTTTAAATATTATATGATAGTTATAATTAACACAAATAAAGTAAATAATCAAATAATATTTACTTTATAAATATTTTTTACACAAATTTCATATAAAATGAATACATACATATATAATGGCATTGAATGAAAATTTTGACATAATTGATGTAGTATTAACGGTGGTGGAGGTGGTGGTTGACAACGGTGAATGAGGTAGATGTGGTTGATGTAGTGAAGATAGTGGTGGTAGTGGTTATGGTGGATGTGAGGTGGTAATGGATGGTGGTGGTCGATGGTCGACGGTGGTTGTGGAGATCATGGAGGTGATTGTTGCAATAGAGGAGGAGTTGGAGGTGGTCAACGGTGGTAGTGTTGGTGGCAATAGTTGGTGGTGGTCGATGGTCGATGGTGGTTGTAGAGGTAGCAATGGACAATGGTGGTCGGTGGGCGACAGTGGTTTTGGAGGTCATGGAGGAGGTTGTTACGGTAGAGGAGGAGTTGGAGGTGGTCAACGGTGGTAGTGTTGGTGGCAATAGATGGTGGTGGTCGATGGTGGTTGTAGAGGTAGTAATGGACAATGGTGGTCGGTGGCCGACAATGGTTGTGGAGGTCATGGAGGAGGTTGTTGCGGTATAGGAGGAGTTGTAGGTGGCCATAGTGGTAGTGTTGGTGGTGGCGGTGGCCAATAGTGGTTGTAAAGGTGACAATGGACGGTGGTAGTCGGCGGTCGACGGTAGTTGTAAAGGTGGTGAAGGAGGTTGTTGTAGTAGAGGAGGAGTTGGAGGTGAGAAACGACGGTAGTGATGGTGGCAATGGACAATGGTGCTCGATAGTCGACTATGGTAAAGGTGGCAATGGACGATGGTGGACGGTGGATGTGGATGTGATGGAGGATGTTGTTGTCGTGGAGGTGGAGGTACCACCGGTGGCCGAAACCAGCGGTGATGACCATTAAAACAAATACCATAATAAAGTTATATATCGAACTATGGTAGATTAGTAATATTTTATTTCATGTCTCATTCTTGTCCCATCTTGTTCCACCTATTTTAGTGGAACAAGAAAAAACCTCTTTTATCCCATGTTGTCTCACTTTGTTTCAATTCTTGTCCCTGTCCTATGTGACACGAAACGTGGGACAATGAGTTTTTGTTATGTTTCATGCTGCGCTAAACTTGGGACAATGAGTTTTGTCTTTTTTTTGTCCCGTCCTGTCCCATGTACCAAATGCAACTTTAAGGGGTTGTTTGTTTTGATGGTATGGTTTTGAGGGATTTGGAATCGGAGAGATTTGGATTTGTAAGGATTTTTAATATTTGATGTTTGTGGTTTGTAAGATTTGGAATGAAATTGAATTCGTTTTTATAAACAATATAGAAAAAGAAATTATAAAAATTATTACATTATTTTTTTATTAATTGATTTTTACAAAACAAATATTTTAAACATTATTATACACAAATCCTACAAAATCCCATGAAATATCACATGAATTTTATGATTCTGGTCCGATGCTTTTTGATTGGTTAATAGATAAAAAATCGACAAAAGAGCGAAAATATCCCTCATTTAACGGAATTCTTTTAACAACCGTTAGAGTGATGATACTTCCAAGTTCGAATATTTTTATAAACCATAATAGTCATTTTGTAATTTCAAAACTGCAAAGACTAAATATGTTACTTTTGACAAATTACAGGGACCAAATTTGCAGTTTAAGCTTTATGTAATAAACAATTTATTTATGGTGATTAGTTAAGTAAGCGTATTTGCATTGAAAAGGAAAGTCATTACTAAAATATTATACTTTTAAGGAGTGATTATTTTGTATTTGATAAAAATACTTGTAAGTTGTAACATAAAACAATTTATATTTTTTTACAAAAGCATTTATCAACTTATTACAAGTCAGAAGGGTTTAATTTATTCAAAAAAAATTATTATTGGTTTGACACCGGTATAAACTGTTTATCCAAACACTCAAAAGTGTTTATTACCTGTGTCACACTAGAATAAGTCAATAAGTTATTTTTATAAGCAATAACAAACACTTTTATAACAGTTTTTGGCGAATATAGATTTTTTAGAGTAAACTATAAATTTGGTCCATGTTGTTTGTTGAAAATACACTTTTCATCCTTGCGTTTTTAAAGTTACAAAATGGACATCGTGGTTTGTAAAAACATGAGAATTTGGATCTTTTCTCTAATAACCGTTAAAAAAAATCCTATTTGATGAGAGCCATTTTTGTCTTTTTATTAATTTTTTGTCTTTGACCTAATCAAAATCGATTTTATAATTTAGGTCCATATGACTATTAATCGAGTAAAAGACAAAAAAATAGATAAAATAACGAAAATGTCTTTCATTTAATGGAAAATTTTATCGACCTTTAGTCAAGCAATCAAATCCAGACATTTTGACAAACTACAATGATCATGTTGTAATTTCAAAACTGTAGGAACTAAAACTGTATTATTTTTACAAATCATAAGTACTAAAAATGTAGTTTACTTCGATTTTTATGACCATTTTAAAAAATGAGATAATATAGTAGTAGTTTCTAAATTGCAATATCCAATTAAGGCTATGCTTGGTAAAATAGTTGATAAACTAGCTGATAACTGATAAATAAATTATGTTTAATAAAAACCAGCTTATAAGCATATATAATAATCAAAAAGTACATCTTGAAAAGATAGTAAGTTACATACATTTTCATAATATAATTTGAATAAATTTTTAATAATATAATTAAAATAAGTTTAAAATAATATAATATATTAATTAATATAAATAAGATA